CAATACTACACCTCTTGGGGTTTCCCTAAAAGCCATGCTCTGTAATGGACCCAACCATGGGAATATGTTGAAGATAGGCAATAAGATCATCAGAGATCCTACGAAAAACATGTAAACCATTAAGCGAAACTTTTAATCTTTTCTTCACTGCTTGTAGTCGCAACCTTGTGACAGTCAGTGATGCTGGTTTGAATCTACTCTAATTATCGCACATAATCCAATAAGGTCTCTGAAACCCTTTCTTGGTGGGGGAGCAGACGGAATACCTGGCATTTCCATAAATTGTAGCAGTACGTACTTCCATGTATTCCTTGTCAAAATCTCTAACCTGTCCCTAAATCCCGGTACCTTCCGAACCTGATGGAATACCAGTCACATTTTCCTCATTGTAAGAAAGGGTCCAGACACCCAGAAAACTATCGTTCTACGAAAACAACCTCAGGTACTATGGAGAGATAGTTAAGAAAGTGGTCTTCTCTCAACTTTTTGAACATAAACTTACGAGCTCTTCGTAGCATAGATTTCTTTCCAAGAAACCTCACATCATATGCTCCCTCGAATTCTTTGATCATGTAATGAAGAGTAGTAAAGTAGTTGTTTTCCCTTACTTCGATTTCACTGAAGCTTTTAATATAGTGCATCACCCTTCGCTATCTCCTAAACTAAATTCATTTGGGATAACTGGCAAGTTGTACGAATTGAGGGACTCGTTTCTGGAGAACCGCTTCCAGGTTGTCAAAACAGGCTCACCGTTTTTTCTCCCTCGAAATCAGTGGGGTAATCCAGCGTACCTTTTCGGGACGCCTTCTCTTTGTAGTGTATATGAATGATACTTACGCTTTCTTTAGACCAGATAAAACCTTTCTCGCTGCATAGTATGAACCTTTCAGTCTGATCAATGTAACAGCATCACTACCATCACACAAAATGACCCCGACAAGCTGCCGATATGGTGGGATACATTGGCTGCTTCTACTGTATACAGAGAAGTCTGGCTTTATGCTGTTTGGCGAACAGTGTGCTGACTAATCTTCTGCTCAACAACCATGTACTGCAGCAAACAGGTATTATCTAAGACCTTGGAGTTAAGGTACACCAGCTACCTTTCTTTTGAAGAACATGCAACATGTCTGATCACCGTCCAACCCATCGCTCAATTCTAACTGAAGTAGGATTAGACTGGATAAAGGTGGAAGGTGGCCAGACTAAAATATGGCATCAGTTTAGAAAATCTCAGATAGTTATTTTGAGTAGAGTATGAGAATGCAGATTTGCTGGTTGCGGCCAGCGCGACAACAGAAGTCAGTGACTGGAGACTCTAGATGATGTGGTTCAGTGTAGATTACAGCGGTGCAGATGCATCCACATTATACTTATCATGATGAACTTTTGTTGCATTCCATTCCCTTCTTAGTCTTTTTGTTACCTATCTCCCTATCTGTCTATTTTTTGTCTTACGATCTTCTAACGTTATGTTGAATTTGGGGATTGGGACCGTTACGCAGTAATTCCAGACCTGATGTAGTTACTGACTGGCTGTACTTTATTCGATAAAGGTGTTTTGTGATAGGCTATGATTCATACTAGTTGTGTCGGAGCTTATGATAACAACAGGTTGCGTAGGCTGAAGTAGATGAAAGGGGTTTTGAACTCAGGACCGAATGACAGACAACTAAGTCCTTGAACTGCTGGATCAAATAGTTGTTCATGTTTCAGTTTTGAAAACAACCATGTGAAACTGTATTTTCCATTACCAAAGAGAAACAAGTGGTCTTTCCGACTTCGCGTTCTTAGACGAGTAATCTTGCTGAAGTACGATTTCGCCCTACCAACCGCATCGTAGTGTAGCCACCTACTCTCCAACAATTAGTGCTTGTTAACTCACCAATATCCAACACACCCTCCTCCTATCATAAAACCTCAAACAATAACGGTTTCGTGTAACATACATCATTTGATCATTTCGATAGGAAAGCCTAACTAACCACCACTCGGTCGGAATGCGAGTGAACACTAAACAGCTATGTCACATTGAAATTCGATGAAGGAGGTTCCATGAATTCGTCATATCCTCTTTACTTCTCTGATAAAAACTCAACATTTATTCCTCAAATATCAACCTCAGAGTAACAATATTTCCTCCCACTAACCATGTGATCAACTTATTTTACAACTGGAAATTCGCCATATGTTCAATTTATTGCTCCAAATGTTTATTGATTCTGCATAATGTATTGGTGTGAAGTGCTTGAGGGAGAAAGATGTGAAGTAGTTCACCTAGTTTGTGTTCCTGTTACTACTGTCAGTTAAGATGTGTTTATAATCATGAACTGGAACTGACTCAGTAACATGTTACCACTGTGATATTTGATCCGTAAGTGAATTTTTGTAGGACTGAGTGAAGTGCACTCATAAGCCAATGGAGACTGGGTAATGTTATATCTAAATAAATCAACAACATATTTGCAGGTTGCAGAGTTAAGTGACACCAGTCGAATTCTCTGATACAGCATGAACTTGACAGTAAAACTTGGGCACTGTGATAGGGTATCATTCCACAGTAAATTATTTATTTGATGTTGTATACAATGATACCATATGAATATGAGCAATAATTTCCGCCCGAAACTTCATACAGTAAATAATACTATATCAATATGTGGTATATCAAATAAACAATCTACTGTGGAAAAGCATAAGTTTCTTAAAGATTATAATGTATGGCGTTGGTTAGCATTCACATCACACATGTTGCTAGCCACTTACTTCAGATCCATCATTTGCAGAAAAATGCATCTTATCGCTGCAGTTTCTATTGTGACTTTCACCTAGTGTACAACACTCCAAATCCCAGAGCAGTGTCCACTAAGATCGAAGTGCTTGTTCGCTAACTCTGCCATCTGTGGTGAGAATGACACAGATACACACCAGAAACTGTGACCTGCTCGAAACCACAAATAGCATCAAGAGTGCGAGGGTGAAAGCTGTACGAAATATATGTTATTGAAGAACGTGCAATTCTGTAGATAACACGCCGGCTCAGTAATGCTACTTAATCGGACCAGGTTAACCTAAGAAGCATTTAGCTGTTTCCCTCATTTATGATTCAAATAACTCTATTAGTAAAGCTAGAACATCAACTGCTAAGTAAAGAGTAATGAAGCACTTTCATCCCGCTTCTATTGGCTCCAGTCAGTGGATAAAACGTTCATTGGATGCAACCATTCATTGACCGAATTCATAATAATTAATAACCAAGTTACAGCCCTCACATTTCTATACGTTCCATTACTCATAGGATAGAGATTAATAAGGAACGTATGTAAACAGATGACGACCGATTTGAAGCCCTTCCAGGCAACTGTTAAAATGGCCAACCGGGTTCCGGTCTCTTAACTGGAGAGTTAGTTTTTCACGTATTAATTGGACTGAAGGAAAATATTTGTAATCGGTTATCTCATCAGTTGTTAAGTTATCGTTCCATGTTACTCGAGATCACAAATCAAGCCCAGAAAAAGGGAAAAACCTCTATGAATATCAATGAATAACAAATAAATACTTCCATACTTAGCACTAGTTCAGCTTATCTACAGATTGTGCTGACTGAATCATCATAGAGGGTACCCCCTGGCTGGCGTAAGTTTTCTGCACTTACTTATGTCAGTCATTGATGTAGTCCACTGCACACCTGGCTGATAAGCTAAAAGATCAGCACCTTTTGAAATGAATTTTTAACTTAGATTTTTTGAATTTAACCCTTGCATATAGACGTTTAAAGATGGTAGGTGTCTGGTGATATATAAGTACCGTATACCGACTGCTCGACGCTACCATGTGTATCACTTTTTATCCATCTGTTGAATAAAGTGGTTAGAAGTAAGATGGATAACGTATACATCATCATATTTTAAACGTTTAAACTGGATACGTATATGTACAATGCAAGTAGTAGTACATGCGCACAAGAAGCTTATATTCCAAAAAGGTCTGATCAGTATCGATGCACTTCTCATCATAGACTGGTATTACCTAAAGAACGATAGGAAGCTTTTATCATGAGTACGTTTCCATTCAGCCACTCTGGGTTGATGACTCTGTTGACCGGAAGATCTGATGATGTTAACCTCAATCTCACAGGATTATGGGTATGCATTAGAGGGGATCGAAAACTAGGATAAAAAGACAACTGCTCAGAGCTCTTTGGATTTCAGTGTGAAATGATTGTTTTTCCTGGCAAAATGAATGAGAGCAAATTCTAATCAATAGTGAGTAACGATAGCTTCACTACCTTTTGTACTCATTTAAGGAAATTATGAACAGGTTACCTACACTTTTCAGGTCTTGTATAATTCATGTGTATTTTGCCACATACAGTATTATTCATTGTGGTCAAGCAGGGGTACACTTCCTTTGTCTTTGAGTTGGCTGGTGTATGACGTCAGTGGCGGTACAATCAAATTTGTACATACAAATCCATGAACAATAACAGTTTATATAATAAACTGAAGTTAAGAAATTATCACCAGTTGCCATAACATAAACCATCCAAAAAAATCTTTACTGAAATACTCGCTCCTCTACATTTCGGGTAACCTAAGCTAATAGCACACATTTCAGTGAGTGCTCATGAAGAACATACATACATAACTCCACGGAAATGTGGAGTCAAAACTTTAAATAATCTGTAAGATGATGTCAAGTTCCTTGATTTTGAAAAGCTGACTTCTAAAGGCACGAATTACACTGGGAGTATTCACAAAATATTTTTAGTGGTAAAGAGTCCCATATTAGTACTAAGTAGCTGCCCAGTGCTCCCTAGTTTACAATGGTTCTCCAACTGACGTCAGTACATGATGAATACTAATTTGATACCTTTTTGTTTCAAAACAGTCAGGATTCAACTCTGAAGAAGTAAGTTTTTTCATTATTAGGTAACCAATTAGTTAAATTTATCGTGATTGAGTCATAGTAAAATATACAAACAAAACTATTAATTTATATTAGCCTCTCTTTTTCATTGAATTTGGACGGCTTTTTGAACCAGATTTTGAACTTCGTGTGGACTTTGTTCTTTCTTTTTTGAGACTTTTCTCTGGATTAGTAGCAACAACAGCTGGTTCAGCAACTGAATCAATCTCCTGATCCTGATTGATTAGGGCTTCTTTCTCCTTCTCCACCTCCTCTTTATATTCTTTTATTAAATTATTTCTATACGTCATGCACATATCGTAATATTTGTAGTGTGCTTTGTCATTCAGAAACTAATTGGAGAAATAAAATAAAATGATGGAACATTGAATATTAACTGTGACAGATAGAATAAATGCAAAGATAATTTAGCTAATATTATAAAAGTCCAAAATCCGTGAGCTTTTGCACAACAACCAAATCAATCTATCAATATTAACACAGGACCAAGCACTACTGTATAATGGTTCAAGTTGCCATGCGTTATAACAGCACAACAAGTAACAAATTAGTAAGATGAAAGATGAAGAAAGAAAGAAAACTCGGTCAAAAGCAGCAGAATGCAGTAAAAAATAGGAGGCAGAAATGAGAAAATGCTGAATTCAGCAAAGCGGTTAAGATGAAGATAATATGTAGATCTATCTACACTAATGGCATCGATCCTGAGCCATATCAACTAGAGTCTGCTGCCACATGGACCCCAATCGGCTTGTCTGTATCTCCTTACACGGCACAAACTAACAGCCTAGGATGCCATTTTTTAGTCTGGCGGCCTCAAACTTTTTCCAACCTGTACATCCTTCGCCCAACATTGCGCGACAGCACAAACAGAGACTACGTATGCGTAACAAATATCCCAGCTATCTGAGTCCATGAAGCTTCACTTTCCTATCAACTAGCGTTTAACTCCTTCTTAAGACTCTACACCTGACTTCTAAGTTACCGACACAGTGACACAATAGCACACAGCAGATGCTACGAAGGCCACGTAGGTCAAACAACAGAACCCTTCTTATGTCCTCTAACTTTAATGGACATGTTTCGTAACCGTAAAGTAGAATCGAGAGAATTTCACAACAATATACTGAACGCATAATTGGCAGTTAACCTCGCCCGGTTAACGAGTTGACTGGTTACCACCCGGTCTTAAACCCGGATAGAGAGGGAAGGTTGGGCACACGGCTAGCAACCCTACCCCGGAAAACAAACCCAATCGCTAAACAAACTTCAAAGCACAAACGATACATAAAAAATAATAACAAACTTATTCCTCACTGGAATCGGACAGGCGAAATGACGCCAGTTGGTGAAAGCCTTCGGGAAACCAATTGGCCGATATGTCTTCTCTCTTCTTCTCTCCATGAAAGCGAAAGTAAGGCTGGGGACATGGAATGTCCGCACCATGTATGAACCTACCACGGCTTCCCAGATTGCAAAAGAGATGACGAAGTATGGCATGTAAATTCATGGAATCTGTGAGGCATACGCACATGGAATGGAAGTGGACTCTGCAAACTGTCAACTGCACAGTCAATAATCTACTCCGATATTCTCACCCAAACGACAACCACGAGCACACTAAGTTTCCGAGTGGCTACCATGATGTCGCCAACAGCATCAAAGGCTCTCTCTCTCTCTCTTATGCAGTGGGAGCCAATCTCCTCCTGAGGGATCAGGATCATGACAGCAAGATGGATTCAACTCAAAAGGAAGGAAGGTCACAATCATACAGTGCTACGCTACCCACCTACAAATAATGCAGAGCAAGAGAAGAAGGAGGAATTCTATAGACAAACGCAATCAGTACTGGAAAAGACCTCACCCACACGAGATGGCCACTTCAAAATTCATTTGAATGGGCAGGGTGACATGAATGCCAAACTGGGAGGGGACAACACAGGATGAGAACTCATCCATCATGGGTCGAGGAGCACTCGGTGAGGTGATGAACGAGAATGGAGAACTATTTACAGGCTTCTGCGCATCCGACGATTTGGTGATTGGAGTGAGGCAGTGTGTACAAATACACACAAGGATATTGACAAGGCAGCGAAATGGATTTGATTTCACCAGACACCATGACACACTACACTGAAAATTAGATCGACTTTATCTCAATCTCAAGAAAATGGAGACGCAGTCAGCCTACTTGACACAAGGTGAAGAAGAGGAGCAGATTTAGGTGGTTCACACCACTCACTACCTATCCAGTGCAAAGAACCCACCTTCCAAATCAAGTTGAAAGCCTTCAAGGAAGCTGGTAATAGACCGCAGTTCAAGTACAACACTCGGAACAGAAACTGAAGGACGAAAATACAAAGGAAATCTTCACGGCAGCCAGCCATCAAGACAAAATGGGAGACATCGAGCAACATCCGTGAAGAAACCTGTGTGGAAGAACACTGGAAGTCTTTGAAAGCTATGTGGAAAGAAATCTGCACAGCCGTATTAGGAAGGAAGAAGAAAGAAGACAAGGAATGGATCTCGACGGATACCTGGAAGCTGATAGAGCAGGGAGAGGAGGATGGTGATGGTGAAGCAGAAGATAAACCAGTGCAAGGATTCTCAACGAGGAGAGGAACTGAGTACAATGTATAAAACACTACACTGGAGAAAGAAGTGAAGAAGAGTTCACGGAAAGACAAAAGACACTTCTACGACACATTGGCAAGTGAAGCAGAACAGGCTGCAGGCTGATGGTAGGAGAGATAGAGACCTGATAACATTTTATCAAATAACCAGGTTGCTATCTGGGAAGAGATCAACACAGCACAGACGAAACCAATAAAAGATGATGAAGGAAATCTAATTACGAAAGAAGAGAAACAAAGGAAACGATGGGCTGACCACTTCAAGAAGCTCTTGGATCGACCACCACCACCACCACCACCACCTGCACTTCGTCCAGAAATACCACCTACAGCCCAGCCACAGAACTACAAGTGAACATAAATCCTCCAACAAAAATGCAAGTCCTGAACGCCATAAATCTACTGAGATGTGGGAAAGCAGCAGGACCAGATTGGATCCCACCAGAATCACTGAAAACAGATGCAGCGACAACAGCGGACATGCTCACAACACACCACTATTGCAGAAGGTGTAGAAGGAAGAGAAGGTACCTGGCTAGTGGCTGGAAGAAGGACTACCTTGTCAAACTTCCGAAGAAGGGAGACCTCAGTGTTTGCAAGAAGTCCACCCAGAGCAAGCAAAATATTAAGCCGCATCATCCTGGAGAGACTAAGGGATGCACTGGATTCAAAACTACGACCCGAACAAGCTGGCTGGCAGGCTGGATTCAGGAAGTACAAATCATGTGCCGACCAAATTGCAACGCTACGCCACTCATCATCATAGAACAGAGCAAAGAATGGCAGTCAACCCTCTACCTCAACTTTATCGACTTTGAGAAGGCCTTTGACAGCGTCGACCAACAAGTAATTTGGCAGTTGCTTCAATACTACGGAATACCACAAACCTTTATCAATCTCATTCAACAACTATATGAAGATGCCACATGCCAGCCGAGTAATTCACAATGGGAAGCTAGCTCAGTGATGCTTTTGAAGTCAAGTGAAGACAAGAGTAAAACAAGGCTGCCTACTATCACCCATGATACTCTTGATTGTGGTCAACTCGACTGGATCATGCAACAAACAGTGAGGAGCTGTGAGAAGAGGGGGATACACTGGTGGACTGCGGAAAAGAACCTAGAAGATCTGGATTTCGCTAACGATGACTTGTGTCTGATGTCACACAAACATGAAGATCTACAGGCGAAAACTAACAAGTTGACAGAAGAGGCAGGGCATGGCAGCGAAGACGGGACTTCAAGTGAATATAGAGAAGACAGAGGTGATGAAGATACCCAACCAACAACAACAACAACAAACTCCAATCACCGTCAACGGATGAAACTTAAAGGAAGTAGCCTCCTTCACCTATCTAGGAAGCACAGTCTCAATTACAGGCGGCACAGACGAGGATGTCAAAGTCAGAATGGGAAAAGCAAGACAGGCATTCATTAGGCTGAAACCAGTGTGGAGATCTCCTGCACTGCACTCAGCATGTGGAACAACATCCGGATCTTCAACACCGACGTCAGTCAAGTCAGTGCTTCTGTATGGTTGAGAGACTTGGCGCGTTACGAAAGGGATTTCCAACAAACAACTGTAGACATTCATCAACAACTGCCTACGCTGGCTACTGAAGATCAGGTGAGAAGGCCAGAAAGAATAAGGAACAAGGAACTCACTCTGGGAACGAACCAACCAAGAACCTATCACCCAACAAATATGCAGGAGGAAATGGAGATGGATTGGGCATGCACTGAGAAGGCCGACTGGGGACATCACACGTCAGGCCAGTTGCTCGAGTGAAACCTCTATGGGAAGCGACGAGTTGGGCGTCCCAACTGAGGGTGACACGGAGGAGATCGTGAGAGGAGGAGATATGCTACTGAAGCCCTATGTTCCATCAGTAACCCAAGGGACAAATAATAATAATGATTGGCAATCGGGTATCGCGGGGGCGCCGCAGATGGCCCGATTTAGCAAGAGCCACTTGTTCTCTATCGTTAGCTGGGGCATTGCTGAAGACCAGTTCTCGAAAAACAATTTGCACTTAGGTGGCTCATAACGCATCCCTAACAGAACTATGTCATCTGTGTACTCTAGTTCTACTAAGGAGGCTTCAGTGATTAGATCAATTCTTGCGATGTCAGATAACGATAGGCAGACTTAAATAAGAATGTCTATGACGAAACTGAATAGAAATGAAGAGAGTTGGGATCCCTGAAGGACAACAATCGATCTACACAGCTCATCTGACAATTCACTATATGCTCTAACGCGCTCACGGGTGTTCAAGTAAAGAGCCTTTACCAGAATGATGCACTTATTCGGTACTCCTTTCAGTGAGAGACTGCAATAAGACCTGATAGTCGATGGATTCGAAAGTCACCTTCAAGTCGAGAAATGCAGCTAGTGTTCCATAATCTGGCGGAGTATGAATATCTAGTCGATACTCCCAAGGACAGGTCTGAAGCCTGCTTATATGCCTGATTTCCCCAGACTGGCTGTTCCTGAGCTCCATTCAAACCTTTAAAGTTTATAGAACCTAGAAGCTTCTACACTATATTTGTTATACTGCTTCCTCTTTAACTGGCTGACTTACAAAATCAACGTAGAACATCGCACACATGTGCACTGACTCAAGTTCCCACGCTTCACAGTTAATGAATGCTTGAATTGCATTCACTTCTCATTGTACTGGGAGCCTACAAAAATGTGTTCACGTCTATGCACTAATTAAGAAGATACTGGTAATTTCCACTGCTTGTTTTGACCACTCTCTGAGGGTCGACTATGGTCTTCATCTCTGCTTTTACAGCAAATCGCCAAGCTTCTTCTCGATGAATGGTATTGTTTCGTTCCGATGACTGTCGAACCAGTTCCTCGATGAGAGTGGCGTTGGTGTTCTCACTGTCCAGCTGGGCTCCCAATGGTCTTGTTGGTGCAGTTTTTATAATTCCATTGTGACCCAGACATACATGCGCTAGAAACAGCGCTTGGTCGACGTCAAAGAACGTGCTCCAGAAGGACTGACAGTCTTCCACTAACCCTTTCCAACGATGATTTCTAGCAATGTCTCCACCACCGAGTCGACTCTACGCCATGAAATGTCTTTCTTTATGTCTGAAATTTGCACTGGTTAAAAATAAATGACTGTCTGATCACAGTTGCAGCAGGTTATCACTATTACCTGTTCTTTCTGCCGGGATTCCGAAAATGCCAATCAAATGCCTTTCTACCTGACTTGGCCTGTTTACTTGTTCATCAAAGCTACCTGAGGTACCTGAAAATGAAGGGTTAGTACGTAGTTACAGAGCCCAAGAGACATCTGCTTGTGGCCAATCACACACAACCATTTGGCAAGTTTCAGATTTCGGTTTTTTGCTGTCGAATCCAGCTAAGAACCAAGAACCCGTACCACAAACACTGGCAGTCCTCGAAGTGATAGGAATGCGCTATTTTGGATACCGACCTCTTCTAAACCACCCTTCCGTTGAGAAGGCAGCATCAGCATGGTGTTGCTGGTCATCCAAGAAAAACACTGCACTGCTGTCACACCCTCGTTCAACCAGCAGTACGACTTCGTCCTCGGACCCCCATCGTAGTGTACCAATTTGGACTGCAATGGTAATTGCTTTTCGTCCTACCACTATCCAACAAACCTTTCTGGTACAGTAGTAACTCTAGACAAAAAGCTATTCAGCCAGTGTAGCTAGTCAGATCATAGTGATATGCAAGCCTGACCACCATGTCAAAGTAGCAGCTATCATCAAGGTCTTTGCACAGCTGATCGGAATGTTCTAAGTTCCTCAGTAGAAGCAGATGATCACGGGTAAAATGCCAAACTGGTTGAAGGCACATTAGCAACCAAGAATGAATGTCTCAGAAAGGTTTAAAACAGTCAAGGTCAGCGTAAACATATACGGATACATATATACCGTTAAATTTGATACGTCTGTTATAAACCCTTTGTCTTGGGGCTTACTATACCGGCTGCTGAAAATATGCTTCCTTGAAACACTTCGCATACTTATTTGTTCGATGGTCTATAGGAGAGCATCAGCCTGTTAACAACTTGATCTTGATACGATTTTTGTGGGTTGTATAGTTACGTCATGAGGTCTTATTTTGACTCTGAATGACACCAGTTTAAATCTTCAGGGAAAAATTAGTCTTACGACTAGGAAAACGCTTTCGTTATGAGTATGAACAAGTAAACAACACTGGTAATTCAGAGCTAGTGTCTGGCAACTAGCCTTTGCCATTTAAAACAGAATGAAAGGCAGCCCAATGTCATACCACTTAGCTGAGTGAGTGATACCAAAGTGCATAACTAGTCGATGGAGTATGACTAACAAATAGGTCTAGATGATCACACTGACTACTACTTTGTTCACGGGTAGAGTGATTATTGGTATTACTCATCCTCCTGTCAATTCATCTGTTTCTTTATAAATGAATTCATAACGATGTCTTCTATGACCCCTCATTTCCCTTCCTTGCATCTGTCGAGAAAACATCCCACTCAAAACCTTCATCTTCATTTTCCCGTTTCCCCACTGACTGTTGTATAATCCCTTCCCGATTTGTTAAGTAATCTTATGCTATGGTTCAGTGACAGAGCCAATTAATTCATAACGCACTACCACTTCAGTATTAGTTGCTGAAAGTCGGTCGACAGGAAGCCTTGCATAACCTAGGTTTCTTGCATACTGGCACTCATCAGCAAGGTGTGTCTGCAACCGTGAGGAAACTGGTGTTCCCTCAGCAATTGGAACCTCCGCCACTCAGTGTTGAAGTTACAAGATTACTCATGAAAATATGGCAACTCAACAACTGAAATGACTCCATTCTCTCACCTGAGCAGTTTTGAGCATAATTATATGTTTCTGCCTGTATTCACCTCGTTTCCTTTTGTATTCAGTTATTTCCGCCTCTAAATTATTCATAAATTCATTAAATATTTCGCGTTTCGCCTTTATTATTTTATCTGAATCACTACTTGACAGTAATCTGACTTGTTTTAAATATTTCGATGCAATAAACCATTGATCAGTGTGTGGACCTATCAGCTTTCTTGCCTCTTCGATTCGATTCAATTCAACCTCATCCGGCTTCAAGTTGAATTTGTGTAATTCGATCGGTTTAACAAGACTGACAGTTCTATTCAGTTCTTGTGGGAATGTCAGTACATAAATTTTAGATGGATCTGATGTGTATTCCGTTAATGGTTGTTCTTTAGGCGTTTGGATTTGACTATCTGTAAGTATAAATAGAACCAATGAAACAGTTTTCAACCAAAACAGTGTGCGACAGAGTAAGATATAAGTAAAATAAAGTTTTGAAATGAAACCACAGCATCCTGATTACTGTTCAGATGTATTCATGTATGGGCACATATGACAAGTCGACAAATGTCTTTAACTACTTACAAACTAAAAGTAGTATAACCATCTAACAGTAATTGAAAAGCATTCAGTAGTGAATCTATAGAACACAAGGTACACTTTAATAGTTTCATAAAATCTAGAACTTTGCAGAATGCGACGAACTTGTGCATTAAGTAAGGGGCAGCTTTTAGCCCCACACTTCCATAGTACTCATTGATTTGGATCGAAATGAAGGAATGAAAGAACGCACATTAGTGCATTGGCTCAAACTGTAAAACTTCACAATGAACTAGTCCATAGAAAATGACTGAAATCATATTAGAAAACGTTGTGTGAGACAATGAGCAATTTGAACATACAGACCAGTTCGAATATGTCGAAGAGTGAGTATACCTGCTCCACTGTGACCGTTTTCCACAATTTCACCAAGAGTTCTCAACAACTGATTCCTTAGCCTCTGAAACCCCAGTCAGGTAGTCTACATAGTCGCGCATGGCTCAGACCAACAGTCAGAAATTTCATGCACTGCTGTCAAGTCTTGGCTTGACCACTCTGAACCCTCTTCCAACCTGATAAAAAAATCCACTAGCGTGACACGCCCAGGTAGGCGGTGGCTCGACATGCGCAGTATATTTCCAAGCCAACTCACCCGACCAAGGTTCACAACCTCATCAATCCACTTGCCTTTCATCATTATTACCTTTCCTCCCGACCTCAACATTTATAATAAGTTGATTTACTCTACAGTGCACGAAACCTCACCTAGGTAACTAGTTGACTGGTTACCACCCGGTCTTAAACCCGGATAGAGAGGGAAGGTTGGGCACACGGCTAGCAACCCTACCCCGGAAAACAAACCCAATCGCTAAACAAACTTCAAAGCACAAACGATACATAAAAAATAATAACAAACTTATTCCTCACTGGAATCGGACAGGCGAAATGACGCCAGTTGGTGAAAGCCTTCGGGAAACCAATTGGCCGATATGTCTTCTCTCTTCTTCTCTCCATGAAAGCGAAAGTAAGGCTGGGGACATGGAATGTCCGCACCATGTATGAACCTACCACGGCTTCCCAGATTGCAAAAGAGATGACGAAGTATGGCATGTAAATTCATGGAATCTGTGAGGCATACGCACATGGAATGGAAGTGGACTCTGCAAACTGTCAACTGCACAGTCAATAATCTACTCCGATATTCTCACCCAAACGACAACCACGAGCACACTAAGTTTCCGAGTGGCTACCATGATGTCGCCAACAGCATCAAAGGCTCTCTCTCTCTCTCTTATGCAGTGGGAGCCAATCTCCTCCTGAGGGATCAGGATCATGACAGCAAGATGGATTCAACTCAAAAGGAAGGAAGGTCACAATCATACAGTGCTACGCTACCCACCTACAAATAATGCAGAGCAAGAGAAGAAGGAGGAATTCTATAGACAAACGCAATCAGTACTGGAAAAGACCTCACCCACACGAGATGGCCACTTCAAAATTCATTTGAATGGGCAGGGTGACATGAATGCCAAACTGGGAGGGGACAACACAGGATGAGAACTCATCCATCATGGGTCGAGGAGCACTCGGTGAGGTGATGAACGAGAATGGAGAACTATTTACAGGCTTCTGCGCATCCGACGATTTGGTGATTGGAGTGAGGCAGTGTGTACAAATACACACAAGGATATTGACAAGGCAGCGAAATGGATTTGATTTCACCAGACACCATGACACACTACACTGAAAATTAGATCGACTTTATCTCAATCTCAAGAAAATGGAGACGCAGTCAGCCTACTTGACACAAGGTGAAGAAGGGGAGCAGATTTAGGTGGTTCACACCACTCACTATCTATTCAGTGCAAGGAACCCACCTTCCAAATCAAGTTGGAAGCCTTCAAATATACTGGTGATGATAGACCACAGTTCAAGTTCTACACCCAGAACAGAAACCGAACTGACGGACGAAACTACAGAGAACATCTTCACGTCAGTCAGTCAGTCATCAGGACATAATAGGAGATATTGAGCAACATCCCTGAAGGAACCTATGTGGAAGAACATTGGAACTCTTTGAAGGGTATGTGGAAAGAAAACTGCATAACCCTGTTAGGAAGGAAGAAGTAGACGCAAGACAATGAATGCATCTCCATGGATACATGGGAGCTGATGGAGGAGTGAGAGGAAGATGGTGAAGTATAAGATGAACCAGTTCAATGCAGACCAGTGCAGTGCAGTGCAGTGCATGGATGAACAAGGAAAAGAGGAACTGAACACAACCTATAAAACACTACACTCGACAAAGAAGTGACGAAGAGTGCGTGGAAAGATAAAGATACTTCTGCGACACACTGGCAAGTGGAGCAAAACAGGCTGTTAGTAGGAGACACAGAGACCTGACAACATTACATGAAATAACCAGGTTACCTACCATCCGGGACTGGAGATATCAACACAGATGAAAGTAATAAAAGATAGTGAGGGAAACTTAGATATCCAAGAGGAGCTGACCACTTCAAAAAACTCTTGAATCGACCACCACAACCACCTGAAACTCGTCCAGAAATACCATCAGTAACTGAGGAGTTATCAGCGGACGCAAGCCCTCCGACAAAACCAGAAGTGAAGTCCTGAACCCCATAAGTTGCTGAAATCCGGGAAAGTAGCTCGAACAGATAGAAGCCCACCAGAAGCACTGAAAACAGACGCGTAGACAACAGCGAATACGCTCACATCACTATTGCAGAAGGCCTGGAAGGAGGGAAGGGTAGGTACCTGCTGGTTGATTGAAAGAAGGGCTACCTTGTCAAACTTCCAAAGAAGGGTGACCTAAGTCTTTGCAAGAACTGGCATGGAATCATACTCCTGCCACCCATAACAAGCAAAACATTAGGCCGCATCATCCCGGAGTGATTGAAAAATGCTGTTGATTCAAAATTTCGACCGAAACAGGTGAGCTGGCTGACTTTGGAAAGAACAAATCGTGTGCGGATCAAATCGCAACACTACGCTACGCATCATAGAACAAAGCACAGAATGGCAGTCAACTCAACTCAACCTCAACTTCATCGTCTTTGAAAAGGCCTTCGATAGTGTCGACCGAGAAGTGATTTGTCAGGCAGCTGCTTCAACACTACAGTTTTAGAGCCACAAACCTTTATCGACCTCATTCAACAGCTATATGACGACGTTACATGCCAAGTAATTCACAATGGAAAACTCAGTGTCGCCTTTGAAGTGAAGACAGTAGTAGGACAAGGTTACCGCCTAATATCACCGATTACATTCCTGATTGTGGTCGACTGGACTGGACTGGATCATGCAACAAACTGTGAAGGGCTTTAAGAAGATGGGTATACTCTGTCTGTATCAATGAAAAGGCCCTAGAAAAAGATTCAGATTTCGTTGGTTGTGATGATTTATGTCTAATGTCTTGTCGCACAAACTCGAAGGTCTACAGGCAAAAATCAACAAGTTCGCAGAAGTGAGGCAGCGAAGACCGGACTTCGTTCAGGTGAACATAGAGAAGAGAGAGGTGATGAAGATATCCCAAACAACCAATCAATAACAGCAACAACAAGCACCAGCCAGCTTCAACTGGAGAAATCTGAAGGAAGTTGTCTCTTTAGCCTACCCACCTACCTACCTACCTGCCTAACTACCTACCTACCTACCTACACACCTACCTACACACCTACACACCTACCTACCTACACACCTACCTACCTGCCTAACTACACACCTACTCGCCTACACATCTACCTACCTACCTACACACCTACCTAACTACCTACACACCTACACACCTACACACCTACCTACCTACCTACACACCTACACACCTACTTACCTACCTACCTACACACACACCTACCTACCTACCTACACACCTACACACCTACCTACCTACCTACCTACCTACCTACCTACCTACCTACACACCTACTTACATACCTACCTACACACACACCTACCTACACACCCACCTACCTACCTACACACACACACACACACACCTACACACACACCTACCTACCTACACACCTACACACCTACACACCTACCTAGCCAGCATCGTTTCAACTACAGGCGGTACAAGCACACATGAGGATCTCGAAACCAGCCAGGATCAAAATGACAACAAGACACGTCTTCATTAACCTGAAGTCAGTGTGGAAATCTACTTCAATGCACTGCACTCAGTATATTGCCTGGACAAGATCCAGATTTCCATCACTAATTCAGTCAAGTGAGTGCTTCTATGTGATGGTTCAGAATCTTGGCCTGTCATGAAAAGCATTTCCAACAACTACAGACATATGTCATCAACAGCTGCCGCCTACGTTCACTCGATACTGAAGATCAGATGGCCAGAAAGAATAAGCAACAAGGAACTCTTGCCTGATAACGAACCAACCAACAACCCATCAACCAAAACAGTATGTTGAAGAAATTGGAGATGCATTGGGTTGGACATACACTGAGAAGACAGTTTGGGGACATTACTCGCCAGGTCAGGTCTTTGAGTGGGACCCCAGGTGGGAACGAAAAGTTGGTCATCCGAGGCGAGGGTGACATGGAGGATATCGAGTAAGGAAGAAATGAAGGCTTGTTGGCAGGGTTGGAGCCAGGTTGAAAAGACTGCAGAGAAGAGAGTGAAACGGGGACGTACTGCTCTAGCCGTATGTTCCACTAGGAACCCAAGGGATATATATGTATATATATATAAAACCACATCAGTGTCATCACACTACTTTCGACATTTCATTTTTATAAGTTGTTTTTATTAGTAGCAAAATTTTCCATATTTCTGGTATAGGTGTTGCGTCATTTCTATTACATGCGTTGCGTGTTGTTTCGATGATCGAAGATTCAGTAATCAATCTCTCCTAATCTCCACCTATTTATATGGAACTTAAATACAGTGGTTTTATCCCACCCTATTGTGTGGTTGTATGTTAATCCATGCATAGCAATAGCCGAGTTTTTTCTAGATTATTGATCTTATTTAGGTCTGTCATTTTATATTTAGCTAAATTCCTATGTTAGGCTATTCTAACTGACCTCGACCGACTAGTTTGACCTATATAGGTCAATATAATTAGGTGGAGTGAGATATTAATTACTCAATCTTTGTTCATCGAGTCAACATGCAACGCATGTATTAGAAATGACGCAACACATATACCAGAGATATGGAAAATCTTGCTACCAATAAGAACAAATCATATTAAGTGATATAACTATAAAAATTAGATGTCAAAGTGGTGTGATTTCATTGATATGATTATGAGCGTTAATAATTTATGCTCGAAATGTCACCAAGTAAATAATACTAGTTCACTGTGTATTATAAATCAAATAAACAAATCTAATATGGAATTAAATTTTACCACAGCGCCCAAGTTTTACACCTATATTAAGGCTATGATACTAACTGGCTGACGAAACATGAATTTTATTATACCTAGCAACGTTTCAAGAGCCTGTAAGTTTTTCGATTGGTCGGTGGAAAATAAATAAAAAATCATGAATGTCATTACTTATTTTTCAGCTACTTTTGGAAGGGATAAATCTTATATACTATGTCCTTGGATTTAAACTGTATAAGAAAAATCCAGAAAATAGTGGGGAAGTCAGTGGGATAGTAACCGACTCTTCAGTCTGACCATATGCATATCTGCGAGTTGCACATAGGTTCTCCAGATCTTATGCGCAGTGTACTAATGTGGAATCATTAGGCATTATGGAATAAAATGGCGAAACTCACTAAGAAATGGACTTATGCAATACTGAACATTAAGTTTGCACTAAACTGCTCTGTGATCAAGCTAATAGTAGTACAGGAAATGAAATTCATACTTTCAAATTTGCAATGAATAAAGGAGTCTGTTTTGAAAATTGTCAAGTTATGATTAAACAACTGCTCAATGTCCAATGGTTTTCGGGGCATTTAAATCAGCCTCTTCATTTCCTTATAAAGATTTTAAACTAGGTTTTAAGATTTTTATTCAATACTCAAAGGTGAGGAAGGTTTTAGGAAATCCATGTTTTGATTTTACATCCTTTTTGAGAGGAATATGTAGCCTACTTTAGTACATTGCACAAAAGTAGTGGACAGAGAAATCACCTCGAAGGATGACAAATGAAATCAATTTAGAACCACACACACACAAGTGAGTCGGTTCGATTTCACATACTCGACAGTAGTATACAAAGATAAGAGCATGGAAAAAGACTGATGTTAAAGTAGACAATGGTGTATGCAAGGAGAGGGAATTAAAAGACTAAGTTTGGTCGAAACATTCAAGTCTAAGAAGACGTCAAAGAGTGAATGTATCTACAGCACTGTGACCCTCCTTCCCCCAATCACTCTTGACCTCTGATTCCTATCGTCTTCCAGAGCACAGCCAGAAAGTCTACGCTCCCTAAACGGATCAGACCAACAGTCAGAACTTCATGCACTGATACCACGTCTTAGCAGGTCACTCTGAACCTTCTTCCAACTTAAACCAACATCCGCTTACATTTCTTGTCGAAGTAGGCGAACGATGGACATGCGCAACACATGTTCAAGCAACCTTGGTCGCTAAAGGTTCACAATCTCTTCCACTGTCTTACTTCCTTTGCCTAGTACCGTTCGAGAAAGGAATTGCTTCTATAAAATTCCAAAATACAACCATTTAAACGGCACACTTTGTCATCACACTAACCTGAACTTTATTCGTTATCGTGACAGACGATACCTCAAACTAGACTTTCTTCGGAAAGCAAAGTAAAATGTAATAACTCAAGAAATCTCCACATGATCACTTACCATCAGATTTCGTTGTAATCACTGACTCACTATCATCCATAGTGCTTGGAGTATTCGGTTATTCATCAAACCATATCTTCGAGATAACGTGTTCTTGACAGCTCACCTCTCATCGCCCTCCCTGGTTCCATTTCTTCCCAAGCCCTTTTCAAAGCTTTTATTTCTAACAGTTTGTTATCCTCACTGATTACTCTCAAATCATTCTGGAAAATGCAAACGAAATTAAAGAAGAATTTGCACACGGATTTGTCACCTAGTAATTGTTTTCAGTTAATTAGTGTCCACTGAAGCCAGTTCATCGACTCAAGGGTCCAAACCACTAAGCTAAACGACACAACACTATGGTGCACTGCAATTCGATGTTACATCTTACGGATTATTCAACAAGAAGTCTTAAATATAGCTACAGAACTATGGAACTCTAGAAGAGTATAATTTTGAGATTAAATTAGTTTATTTGATACACCTAGTGGTCGATCACTGAATGCGTGTCCATCGATTCAACGCCTTGTGCATATATTGGAAATGATTTAACACCTATTTCAGTTATGTAGAAAATCCTATCACCAATTAAATCAAAGAAGGATAAACATTGGAATTTCAGAAAACTAAGATTCCCTTAGCATGACTATAACAAATAAATTGTGCTCTAAATGTCATCCAGTGAGTAGTTACTACATTACTCACCGTGTACTGTATCAAAAAAGTAATGTAACACGGGTGAAGCTTTATCTGGCCAAAACCTCAAGGTCACAAATAATCAGTGTTGAAACCAGCTCCAAGGAAAACAATGTTACCTGACAGAATTCCAGCTACATCCTTGATAGCTGAAGCTAGGGAATTTATCATACATCTATCCAAACCATAACTGGCTACCTATAAGAATGTACTATATACATGAGTTGGGTACTCATGAATTTGTCAAATGGAAAGCTCTTACCAAAGTTGGTTGAGTCAGTTTAGAATTTGGCCACTAGGCTGACACAATACTCTAATGCACTATAATTTGCATCAGATCCTAGGAGTCATTCGGGTATGAAGTGCCTAACTTAATTATATCCATTGAGTTTATGGTTTCTGAAACAAACTAATTTATTGTAAACACACTTGTGCTGAATACTTACACACAGTAGTTTCGCCCGAAGTATTACACTTGAACTAACTGTTGTGCTTGTCCGTATTCATCAGTAGATCACTTCTGAAACGGAAATTCAGTGCAAGATAGTCTTCAGTCACTCATTTAGTGACTATAATGTTAAAATGGTCGACAGACTACTAAATTCTGAGGACGTTCATTATCGTCGGATAAACATTTCGTGCACACAATCCAGTTCCTATCGGGAGTTAACTACATCCTAATTTCCCATACTCACGAATGATATACGTTCAAATCAGCTAGAGAATGTATGTTAGTTGCCTCATTGTTTCGCATATACTCCTTTTTTACTATTTCAGCAAGCCTGGTAACTAGCTCCACGAATTTTGTACTGACTGAAAATGAATAATTCTATGAAATCCAACATGAAACAACTCACAGCATTGTTACAAATTAGTCTCATTCTCCAGTGAGCCTGATTGATATCAATTTTTGCTGAGGTACCACGTCCAGATCCAGACTTTTGGGCAACACCACTTGATTTACCGCCAGCAGACTTAATTGTCGCTGATTTGACTGTTCGACCACTAGAACTTTTATCTGCTGATGCACCACGAGATGGATGATTCACTGTGGCAGATTAAAAAATGCTGAAGTGAGAAATCAGTTTACAAACCCTGGTTAAAAAATATCGTGAGCGTGGTTAGCGAATTTCTCTTTCCCCTGCTCTAAATATCTCTCCAGTAACCTGAGTCTACCCGTCGACTCATAAAAATAAGACTTCAGGGAAGACTCTTATTTCTGGCAAGTTAATTTATCAAAGTTGTACTGAAGGGAGTTGCATCGGAAACAGTAGAAGTCGTGCGTCAGGAAATTACAGTCAGTAATGATTAAAAAAATATTAAACATTACAGTAAAATCACACTGACAAACATCCTTATTTTTTGAGAATCCTGGTGTACAGCGTATTAACATTCGATTTTTCTATGCGTTATTGTCTTGCCCTCTGCTGAATCTTCGTCAATCAATAGTCATCATTTCATGTGCTTCACGATGTTGTGTCGTATACGATTTTCATTTGTTTTCCATGTAATTATTGTGCAATCGGATTCGAATGTAATCAGTATCTGCATTCAGAAGCAACGGATGTTTCTTGCTCTGTACAACCAGCAAGAATTGTAGATTACGGTCAAGAAAATAATACGGGGGAGGGGGGTAAACAGCTTAGCTGGGTTTAGTAATTTGCCACACCAAAAGAAGTGAGCATCGAGGATGACTGGAAACTTGTTCGTGGACTTCCAGGACCACCTAGACTAGAAAGAGTACTCATACCAAAGATACTAACAGAATTTCAGTCCTTCAGATATATTCTCATAGGCGAGATGGATATGAAGCCTGTTGCTATCCCAGGCTAGCTTCTTTTCCACCACTATAATTTTGGGGGAAACGCCTAGTCTATGCACTGAGATAATCGCATCCGAAAATGGTGGCAATACTCAAAGTGATTTGCTTTTTGAGTTGGAATTCAACTAGGAAACGTTCACTATCTCACCAGACACTATCATCAGTGAAACTTTACAGAGTGAAGTAATTAATATCCATGTTTATAACTGGCAATTTTATCTGGATTCCAAATTATTAGTCGATTTGCAAGTGTTGGTTGCATTATAAACCTGACTGAATTTAATCTTGTCTTCATGTTCCTCGAAGCGGTGTACAACTACATAATTGTCTGACCTCTTTTATTTGAATAAGAGATGAATTTAAAAGAACATTTATCCTTATTTTAACCATTTTCTTTGTTCCACAAGGTGGAAATTCAAAAGTAAACACCATAGATTTTTAATTTATCAAAACCTACCTTTACCTTCAGGATTTGTCGTTATATTTCAAAGTATTCTCATCACGGACCGGCATTATGCATAGCACCACTGCAAATATGTCTGATTCTTTTTGGGCCTCCTCAGCAGTGCCCAACTATGACGTCATATGGGACCGAACCCCATGACCTTCTGACCTTGCACCCTGCAAGTTACCACCCAGCCACTGGGTTACAATCCAATTAAATCAATCAATTCCCAACTATTCTCAAAAGTGAATACTAATCCTATTCTCACTACTGATTTCCTTCGATATGGATCTCGTAATGTTCTGGCGATTCTGGGACCAATGACGGTGAATATTAGGCCAAATGTTCGTCAACGATGGTCGCACTGGTCACGAATCGGCAGAAGTTAGAAACATTGACTCCTGGACTCGAACCGATTGGCTGAGTGGTAGCTTGCAAGTCATGAAACCCGAAAGTCTCGAGTTTGATTCCACATGATTTCACGATTGCGCACTGCTTAGAGGTCCCAGGTGCTCCCAGCCTTTCTGTAGTCAGTCCTGTGGTGGATATTATTCATGATGAAAACTCTACAAGAATCAATGTATTCCCCCACAAGCCTCCAGATTATCGTCATGTTTTCTGAGACCTCTGTATCAGGAAATATAAAGAAAATAGAGCCTAATTCAGAGAGTCAGCTTGAGTTACAGTTAGAAGCTAACTTTCCTTGTTTCTTTGATTACACTTGATAGTCTTACCATAATTGATTTACGGACTATGCCGTATATACCACTGAAACGAGTAGTTATTCATCACTCAATCGGAATCTCTCAATGGACAGATAGAAGTAAACTAAGCAAAGAAGGACAATTTTATTCGACGAAAACTGCGCTGATTAGTGGATTTAACTCACTGGATGAAGTCTATCAAACTTTGTCTACTTATTCCAGTAGAATTAAAACAGATGCTTGCAAAATACGCACAATACACATCATTATCTCCATATTTTGGTCTAATAGTGAAATTCTACACTTAGATCCCACCTAATTATTTCACTATCAGTGCAGTTTGCCAAAGGTATAGTCGGATACTCTTTTTCCCCAATCTGTTCAGCTAACTATTCAGTAATGGGTTAGCTTGCGCAGTTAACCAAGTTACTTATGAAAAGAAATACTGGTTGATGGCTTCGAATAATGATCGCGCTATATCGCGAATTGACTGAAAATGTAGACCATTGAGTTGCAATCAAGTCACACCTTTCAACGGTATTAGGTTCGATCTCTCGAAGGGTCGTGGGTATGCGCTACTGAGAGCAAAACAGTTATCCAGTATTTAAAGGCTTCTAATCTTTTCTGAAATGATATCAGTCCTTGGTGAATACTACCCCGTAATATAATATCTATAAATCTACTGTGCAGCACAATATTTTGCTGGGCATAGACTTTGGAAATTCTTCACTTACAATGACTTTCCAGGCATCTGGAATCAAACTACCTAATTTCTGTTTTAGCATAACACTGAAATACACAGCTAAACTTTATTATTATTATTATTATTATTATTATTATTATTAGTCCCTTGGGTTACTAATGGAACATAGGGCCTCAGTAGCATATCTCCAGTGACCTCTGTTCTCTGAAATCTTTTGAACCTGGCTCCGTGACAACCCACATGCTCTTATTTCCTCCTCTCACGATCTCCTCCGTGTCACCCTCAGTTGGGACGCCCAACTCGTCGCTTCCCATAGAGGTTTCACTCGAGCAACTGGCCTGACGTGTGATGTCCCCAGTCGGCCTTCTCAGTGCATGCCCAATCCATCTCCATTTCCTCCTGCATATTTGTTGGGTGATAGGTTCTTGGTTGGTTCGTTCCCAGAGTGAGTTCCTTGTTCCTTATTCTTTCTGGCCTTCTCACCTGATCTTCAGTAGCCAGCGTAGGCAGTTGTTGATGAATGTCTACAGTTGTTTGTTGGAAATCCCTTTCGTAACGCGCCAAGTCTCTCAACCATACAGAAGCACTGACTTGACTGACGTCGGTGTTGAAGATCCGGATGTTGTTCCACATGCTGAGTGCAGTGCAGGAGATCTCCACACTGGTTTCAGCCTAATGAATGCCTGTCTTGCTTTTCCCATTCTGACTTTGACATCCTCGTCTGTGCCGCCTGTAATTGAGACTGTGCTTCCTAGATAGGTGAAGGAGGCTACTTCCTTTAAGTTTCATCCGTTGACGGTGATTGGAGTTTGTTGTTGTTGTTGTTGGTTGGGTATCTTCATCACCTCTGTCTTCTCTATATTCACTTGAAGTCCCGTCTTCGCTGCCATGCCCTGCCTCTTCTGTCAACTTGTTAGTTTTCGCCTGTAGATCTTCAAGTTTGTGTGACATCAGACACAAGTCATCGTTAGCGAAATCCAGATCTTCTAGGTTCTTTTCCGCAGTCCAGCCAGTGTATCCCCCTCTTCTCACAGCTCCTCACTGTTTGTTGCATGATCCAGTCGAGTTGACCACAATCAAGAATATCATGGGTGATAGTAGGCAACCTTGTTTCACTCCTGTCTTCACTTGACTTCAAAAGCATCACTGAGCTAGCTTCCCATTGTGAATTACTCGGCTGGCATGTGGCATCTTCATATAGTTGTTGAATGAGATTGATAAAGGTTTGTGGTATTCCGTAGTATTGAAGCAACTGCCAAATTACTTGTCGGTCGACGCTGTCAAAGGCCTTCTCAAAGTCGATAAAGTTGAGGTAGAGGGTTGACTGCCATTCTTTGCTCTGTTCTATGATGATGAGTGGCGTAGCGTTGCAATTTGGTCGGCACATGATTTGTACTTCCTGAATCCAGCCTGCCAGCCAGCTTGTTCGGGTCGTAGTTTTGAATCCAGTGCATCCCTTAGTCTCTCCAGGATGATGCGGCTTAATATTTTGCTTGCTCTGGGTGGACTTCTTGCAAACACTGAGGTCTCCCTTCTTCGGAAGTTTGACAAGGTAGTCCTTCTTCCAGCCACTAGCCAGGTACCTTCTCTTCCTTCTACACCTTCTGCAATAGTGGTGTGTTGTGAGCATGTCCGCTGTTGTCGCTGCATCTGTTTTCAGTGATTCTGGTGGGATCCAATCTGGTCCTGCTGCTTTCCCACATCTCAGTAGATTTATGGCGTTCAGGACTTGCATTTTTGTTGGAGGATTTATGTTCACTTGTAGTTCTGTGGCTGGGCTGTAGGTGGTATTTCTGGACGAAGTGCAGGTGGTGGTGGTGGTGGTGGTGGTCGATCCAAGAGCTTCTTGAAGTGGTCAGCCCATCGTTTCCTTTGTTTCTCTTCTTTCGTAATTAGATTTCCTTCATCATCTTTTATTGGTTTCGTCTGTGCTGTGTTGATCTCTTCCCAGATAGCAACCTGGTTATTTGATAAAATGTTATCAGGTCTCTATCTCTCCTACCATCAGCCTGCAGCCTGTTCTGCTTCACTTGCCAATGTGTCGTAGAAGTGTCTTTTGTCTTTCCGTGAACTCTTCTTCACTTCTTTCTCCAGTGTAGTGTTTTATACATTGTACTCAGTTCCTCTCCTCGTTGAGAATCCTTGCACTGGTTTATCTTCTGCTTCACCATCACCATCCTCCTCTCCCTGCTCTATCAGCTTCCAGGTATCCGTCGAGATCCATTCCTTGTCTTCTTTCTTCTTCCTTCCTAATACGGCTGTGCAGATTTCTTTCCACATAGCTTTCAAAGACTTCCAGTGTTCTTCCACACAGGTTTCTTCACGGATGTTGCTCGATGTCTCCCATTTTGTCTTGATGGCTGGCTGCCGTGAAGATTTCCTTTGTATTTTCGTCCTTCAGTTTCTGTTCCGAGTGTTGTACTTGAACTGCGGTCTATTACCAGCTTCCTTGAAGGCTTTCAACTTGATTTGGAAGGTGGGTTCTTTGCACTGGATAGGTAGTGAGTGGTGTGAACCACCTAAATCTGCTCCTCTTCTTCACCTTGTGTCAAGTAGGCTGACTGCGTCTCCATTTTCTTGAGATTGAGATAAAGTCGATCTAATTTTCAGTGTAGTGTGTCATGGTGTCTGGTGAAATCAAATCCATTTCGCTGCCTTGTCAATATCCTTGTGTGTATTTGTACACACTGCCTCACTCCAATCACCAAATCGTCGGATGCGCAGAAGCCTGTAAATAGTTCTCCATTCTCGTTCATCACCTCACCGAGTGCTCCTCGACCCATGATGGATGAGTTCTCATCCTGTGTTGTCCCCTCCCAGTTTGGCATTCATGTCACCCTGCCCATTCAAATGAATTTTGAAGTGGCCATCTCGTGTGGGTGAGGTCTTTTCCAGTACTGATTGCGTTTGTCTATAGAATTCCTCCTTCTTCTCTTGCTCTGCATTATTTGTAGGTGGGTAGCGTAGCACTGTATGATTGTGACCTTCCTTCCTTTTGAGTTGAATCCATTTTGCTGTCATGATCCTGATCCCTCAGGAGGAGATTGGCTCCCACTGCATAAGAGAGAGAGAGAGAGCCTTTGATGCTGTTGGCGACATCATGGTAGCCACTCGGAAACTTAGTGTGCTCGTGGTTGTCGTTTGGGTGAGAATATCGGAGTAGATTATTGACTGTGCAGTTGACAGTTTGCAGAGTCCACTTCCATTCCATGTGCGTATGCCTCACAGATTCCATGAATTTACATGCCATACTTCGTCATCTCTTTTGCAATCTGGGAAGCCGTGGTAGGTTCATACATGGTGCGGACATTCCATGTCCCCAGCCTTACTTTCGCTTTCATGGAGAGAAGAAGAGAGAAGACATATCGGCCAATTGGTTTCCCGAAGGCTTTCACCAACTGGCGTCATTTCGCCTGTCCGATTCCAGTGAGGAATAAGTTTGTTATTATTTTTTATGTATCGTTTGTGCTTTGAAGTTTGTTTAGCGATTGGGTTTGTTTTCCGGGGTAGGGTTGCTAGCCGTGTGCCCAACCTTCCCTCTCTATCCAGGTATAAGACCGGGTGGTAACTAGTGTACTAGTTAACCAGTCATGGCTAAACTTTAGAAGTAGTTTAGTGATTAAGACATCACCATGAGGGTGCTGTTAAAACATAGTGATAAAAAACTCACTTTCCATCTTCAGGTGCACATCAATTCACGTATTCCTTGAGAAGTTATTTTAAGGGCTTGTTTCATATTCTGAATGAACACTCAAAATAACAGAAGTTGCCCCCTATTCAAGCCTAAAATACTATATAACAATGAAAATGAAGAAATTCATTTCTTCACTTCTCCATTCTGTCAACTAACAGAAATACTGGGAAATAAACATAACTAGATGATGAACGGTTAGCAGAACTCATGATACCGACCAAATTCTCAAGTTGATTGTGGTCTCTTATTGTCAATTTTCTCCTCCATGGCTGAATACAAACGGTGCATTTTCCGTTCCGTAGATCAATTTATGCATTCGCCATTTGAACTTCAATGGAATGAAAATTTCTTGTCGTCTTCAAGCAACACTTTTAAGCCAGTTTGACTGGTCATTTTAAAGTTGGTATGATGCTTCGATTCCACACCGATTTTGAGACAACAATCCTACAAGTATAAGATCATATGCGTTGACAGAAAAGCTATCGAAAAGAAAAGCTTCCTAAAGTTATATACAGTGCGTGAACATTCCAAGAAAGAAAAAAATTGTGTGCTTACCTTGACATTCTTCAAGTTTTGCACAGCGTCGTTCTTCTAAAAATGACCAGTTGCTTATGCTCAACGGCCATTGTTTACTGTCTACGTAAGCTTCAATCCAATAATGTCGGTCTTGTTCTTTGACATTATTCTCTTTTTCATCTGAAATGTGTGGAGAATTCAATCCACTTGAAACTGGGCGACCACGTCTTTCAGGATTTGCACTGTTGATACCACTGCTACCACTACTGCTGCCTAGTGTACTGCCACCAGTAGAACTACTTGAACCACTCTGATATAAACAGATGATAGAGTATACAACATGCCATTTGTAGTGCAATAAAACTTGAATATGCAGGAGAATTTAGGATGACAGTTAAACTTGAACACTGTAGCACGGTATGCCGGTTTATTGCTTGATGTCATACCCCACCCGATGGCTGCAGGACATAGTTGTTGAGAATGGCATTTCTCACGTGTAGTGGAACAAAACAGCAAGTAATTTCATACTTAGGCGTGGTTTTCGGCAAGCAAGGCGTGTCAGTTTGTTAAATTGTGTTAGTTAAGATGTTTAAGACATGTGAAAAGTGTCCCGAGCCACTTTCCACTTCAGTATATCATACTAATTAAGGTGGGATTTTGTTGACAAAATGTCACAGCAGACTGAAGAAATGAAAATAGGAATCTCAGACAAGCATTATCGGCTGTATCATTTTATCTATTGTAAAAGACATTTTATCTTAATAATTGTTATAATAGAATTGTTTAGCTTAACCTACTAGCTTTCTGTTGACTCCGTACTAAATTCCGCGGAATAATTACATACTAATCAAAATCTTAGCACAAGGAATATTCAAGCAGCATCGAGATACTAACAGGCATCGTGAAATTCTACCCAGAACAACAACGGGAGATTACAGGTTCCAATAAATAATAATTGGATGGAATCGACTACAGTGCATCATCCCAATTTCTAGCCATAAAATAAGTTTTCTTCATTTTTATGAATTATGATGGGTTGTGATCAAGTAACTTAGTTGAAGATATGCATGACTCAGATCGTATAGAATACAAGGGCGGAAAGAAAGACGGCTTGTTATAGGGTTGCGAATGTCTTGTCTTACATTCAGTTCAGTGGATGAGTCGTAGCGTGCACAAAGCGCAAACAAATGCGGTGATGCTCAGACAATGAGCTTTACAGAAAGCCGGTATCACGTAACATTCTCAAAGTCATATTTAACAGTTCAAACATATGATATCAAGGCCTTTCAGTTTATTTGTCATTATAACACAGAGAATGAAGGATGGTTGGGCCTGAAAGAGACACGCACTCATGAAGACCCTGATAGTTGATTTCACTAAACAGAAAGTTATAAACTATGGTTCCCCCACTTGAAGACCTACGGACACTTAGATCGACACTTGTCACCGTAGCGCGCAAGTTTTCATTGTGTCCGCTTCATTCATTGTGCTGAGTATTTTAATAAATCTGTACTTTCTCTCCGCATATCCCTCCGATTTATTTTGTTGTGTTGTTTTCAGAATTGAATTGTGAGTTAATTTAATTCCGCACTTAGAACTAACTGGCACTAGTATTCTGAATGAAGCACGGAGAACAAGTATTGTAATACTTGTTATGAACAAATTTCACGTGATCCCTCCAAATAGGTCCAACCACCGGTTTTGTCAAACAGGTCAAACAGTTTACACAATGTTAAACAGTGTCCTTAAGCGCAACCCTAGCAACTGGTGAAATGACCGATGAGGCTTCGGTATTTCGCCTGGAAAGAACTTTTCAATTAACTAAAGGAATGGACTGTCTTATCAGTTGCTAGAGTGACCTTTAGAGTCACCCATATTAAATACTCATTCTCACACTAGCACAGCAACAAAAGAGTAGACTCAACTGTACCCTATAGTGACAGCCAGTAGAATTATAGTATTTGTCAAGGTCACAGGGCTCTAATAGCCAAGGTGAATATCGCTATCTGAGTAGCACTTTTTACGAGCCCGAAGAAGTCATGCCTATATCACGTGTCTGTCCGGACAATGACATCACCACAAATGTCATCTTACTTCCGTTCATTTTCTTTGTCGTCATTGTTATCACGCTTGCAAACTTGAACAGATTCACTCTTATTCAAGAATTCATACATATTTGTCAATCTATTTATCTGTTTACAGGATAACGTTTCCGTTCACACCCCAAACCACATAATTATATAACATCGATACTTCAAATTTTTATTGTTTTAATATCTCATAATCTTGGGTATCATATTCTAATAGCAGGATCAGTATGTTAAAAGGAAGGTTGGATCATCAATGCTGATTGGATGGAAACAGACCAAGTACACGACCTCTCTCCTTATATAACTACACAGGTCGTTTTCGACTGCTGCTTCTTGTGTCTCTATTGTTTAAAGGTGTCACTAAAACCTTAAGAATGACTCAGCATCTTTAGTAGATACCTGATATTCATAATCTGTCTTACTACAGTCGGATACTTTTGCAAGTTTGACTAGTTTACCTGGTTTTGACTGACTACTCCGACATCTTTTCTTGGCTGCACACATCACCCTTTAGTATTTTCGCGATGACATAACTGTATCTAATGTGACCAATAAGGTCCCTGAACGGACCTACTTTTGACATCGTAGACTATCTGAGTTGATAGTGACTAGCAGTGGGATCCAGAACATACATATTGTCCCATTCTGAACTCGTCAGTTGGATGTACCTCCATCCCACGGAGTGGGAAACTACAAGTGTTACTACGTGAAGTTGTGAGAACGAACGATAATATTTAACGATTGACAGTCGAGGTTTGAAACGGTTCAACCCGAGTGATTTGCAAAGGGAAATCAAACAGCTGCTAATCAACTGAGTTTATAGTACCTGGGAATGAAAACGTTTATTAGTGAAAATGGACCCTATTTATAGAGTTTACAGAAACCTTGAAAGACAATGAATAACTAGTATATTTAAAGAGTCAGGAGCCAATCAAAACGATAGCGGATTGTATAAAATGTGATCCATTTGAGAGAAAAAGAGCGTGAAGAAAAATTTCAAATATATTCAAGTTGTAGGTATGATATATAAGGGATATAGGCATTTCTAATAACAGGTACACAAAATTCCGAACCCTGTGTTCGAGAATCATCCTGATTTCAATCTCGTTATGAATCCGTTGGAAAATATGGTTGTTTTCCAAAAACAACCTACTGTTTACTGATAAGTAGTAGTTTTAGTTTCAAAAGTACTAGATCATTTTAAACCAGCTTCATGAATCATTGTTATCGCTCCCATAAGAACTGCACTAAATACAAAACAGTTTAGCTCCATTCTTAACTGATTGCTTCAGTGGTCAGTAAACTCATTGGTTCTTGCCAGCTTCCTTCATAATTATCAACTGTGAGTGACTGAGACGGAGGACTACTGGACACCAGAGTCTCAGTACATAACATAATCCCGTATAGCATTTTTAATTTCACTTCTTTTTATGGGAATACGCCAAAGGTCGTAAATTTCCGCCTAGTTATATGCAAATTGAAATTTTCGAAAACACTGCTACTGAAATTTTATAACTGAATAGTTTTACTATTCACTGGTTTGAATAATTCCATTTAATTTAAGATTAGGTCCTCTGAAGACGTTAGTGTCTATGCTTCCAGTGTCACTTTACTGTATTTACTTTACAATCCCCTTCATATAATCTTCCTTGACTACTTCCCCCAAATTCTACATACTACTTAATTTAGGAGTATGATATAATATCTGAATAGCATTCAAGAATAGTGAGCATACCATTGACATACCTTCTAGTGTGGGATTTGGACAACTTAGATCACATAACTCCAGCTATTCATAACGAGGTCTGTTAAGAACGAATATATCAATTATCCTATTATCACTCGTAGCAGTCACCAAATAAACCAAAAAAAAATAACTTGATGCATACAGGATATGAACGAATTAGTAAGGGACTGAAGTTACACCAAACAGACCGATAGAATCAACGTATAAGCTAGCACACAAGTGCATTAGGTGTATGGAAGGAGAGGGTATTTAAAGACCAAGTTTAGTCAAAATGTTCAAGCTTTAGAAGACATCAAAAGTGAATACATGTGCACCACTGTGGCTGACTGTTAGCCATGTCAACAAGAGTTCTCAACCATTGATTCCTATCGTCTCGGAGACTCCAATGAGGCAGTCCATACCTCCCTACATGGGTCATATCAATGGTCAAGGACTTCATGCACTGGTGCCACGTCTTGACCTGACCACTCCAAAATAATTCAACTTCTCCCACCGCACATCAAGCTTTATAGTGGCTGGGCATGGGTAGCATATATCCAACCTACCTCAGTCGACTAAGGTTCACAACCTCATTCATAGATTTGTCTTTCTTTCCTAGCATACTTCACCTGACTTCAACATCCCTTGAGGAGTCATAGACGCGCACTGCTGAGGAGTCCCACACTAGGATGAAACAGCTGTCTAGTGCTTCCAGGTTTCCTATGTTCCTCTAACTGATGTCAGTCCATTATGAATTCCAACCTATAATCACTTATGTCTGAGATTTGATTAAAGTAATCCATCTTTCTGCCTTGTATACAATACGATAATAGTGAACATATTGATGTTAGATGAGTTGAGTTATTCAGTTTCGTGTCTACCAGTGGTCATCAACAAGACATATCTGTAACCTTGAAGAGAATCATGCTCCCCTGAAATTTCAACCTATGCCATTCAGCAGTGAAATCAGAGACTTTACCTCAAAGCTATCAAATTCATGGCTGACCACCTGCTGGACTGGATTGCTGACAAAAACTGGTCGCCGGATCTCAACCAGCTTAGTTGTTAAACTCTTAGTTTCGATCGCACTCTAGCGATAAAATTTCACTTTAAAAACGTAGTTCACTACCATTTGTTCTGAAAACAATATTCTATTTTAGTTGATCTACTAGATGTATCTCATAGTGAAACAGTATTATTTACTGGATTGAGTTCACCACACAATTCATCGTCCATAGTCATATCAAGACAACTACACAACTTCCACAAATGGTTGACATAGTTCCAATTCTCTCTCCATCTTTTTCATGTAGATAGTAGAATTTTCCATATATCTGGAACAGATGCTGAATCATTCCTACTGTATGCATTTAGTGTTGATTCGATAAGCAAAGCTTCGGTTATCAACCGCTCCCTCCAACGTGCTATGTTAGTTTTAAGGACTTTCATTCCATGTCATCCTATTATGTAGTTGTACAATTGCATGCATAGCAACGGTTAAACCTATTCCCATACTCCTAAGTGAATAGCATCTGTTAATTTTGATTTGCCTAGGTTTTTGTGCTCGGATAGCCCAAGTGAGGCTGGTCAACTACTTTGACCTATGTGTCTGACCTCAAAATCATTGCAAGGAATTTGAAAAAATGAATCATTTCACCTAATTGGATCAAAACTCATTCTTAAGTGAGTTTGTAAGTTCCAGTGCCGCTCAAATAGCAGTCTTATTGAGAACCGTATCTAATTTCTCTGAGGTGACTTCGTTGTGTGGTAACACAGCAGAGGTTTTGAATTCTCTTTTTTGCACAGTATTGACATTATTATTATTATTATTATTATTCATTGTTAATGGAAATAATACGATACAAAAGCGAATAAAACTGTGAATAAGCTTAACGCTGTCTCTCAAAAAAGCGGTTGTCACACATTATTTTCATTACAAGATGCTATGGAAAGTATGTCAACATGACTATTACTAGTGCGAACATCCAACTTACCCCCGGTTTCACATTTCGTTTTGACATTGCCGATTTTCTTGGGGACATTCTAGCGGTACTTGATTTAACAGTTGTCAGTTTCGGGTTAATTACGTCCCTAGGACTTGATTTGATCACATCAGTTTTTGCAGCTTCTACTAAACGACCTGAATTCGATCCTTGACTTTTGCGACCGCTATTAGATGACAGTGCATCGGCGAGTAACATATAGGCAAAAATGCAGGCACCTCCATAACCTTCGGCATATGCTACCTCTTTGTCACCCATTTTAAGGCATAATCGTGTGAATACATTAGGAACAGATAATCGCAAATGAGCCGTAATCAAACTGTCATTACTAGCCTGTCAGAAATAAAAAGGAAAAATGACCGAGAAAAGCAGGAATTATGTTGATGAATAAATGTCACAATAGTTTCATGCATTTTATCCCCTTTATAAATTACAATGATCAAAACATTATTTGAAAAACATGAAGTTACCAGGGCAGTCAAATTTTGGCCACTGTCGTTCAATGAATGTCCTTCTTATTCCACTAGATGTTACAAACTAGAGTAGAAGTAAACGTTTTGTCTATTCACTTTCGTAAATGCCTTGTCTAATTATGAAGGGTTGTCGGTATTGCATTCTATTTACATTTGTTTATTTGACGTTGATAGCATAAATGCTTGTTTGTTTGTGTTGTGTTTAAATGTTACCGGTTTGGTTGCATTTTTTGAACTGAGTTGTCTTGTGAATACATTCTCCATTACCTTCATCTGCGTCGTCTGTTGTTCAAGTTATCTGACACTGGTGGATCTGGAACGTTTGGAGCTCTATGAAAACTTGGAAGTATTTGGGTTCGTATATTCACACTTGTGCACACAGTACAGGACATATACTAATGACTAATAAGAGTAGTTTAGGATCACTCATGTCAGTTAATAGCCCTAATGAATCAAATAGAGGTGATCTCATTTATCCACTGATCAATTACAGTTCTCCTAAAAGGTTATATGCACCTAAACAGAATCGATAAAATAAAATGAATTGTCCTTATTATGTGGACCGTGTTTGAATTTGAATAGTTGTGGAAAGAAGCGCTTAAGGCATAAATATTTGCAATAAATTTGGAAGGGGTTCAAAACACACTAATTCTTTTCAAAGAATACCTTCTCTGTGTTCGATGATTATTTCGCTTAAGATTTCATCTTCTTTCGATGCAGAAGTTTCAACACCAGCTGAGGAAAGACTCTGGAACTTTTGTTCCAGCATATTTGGGAAAAACCGGCTGGATATTTCACCAATTGAGTGATGGTGTTTCTGATAACACTGGAAGTAAGCAATCGTCGCTTCCAACACCAGAGTGTTCACCACTAGGTTATTGTGTTACGATAATTAGTGCTTGTGCAATGGGTATGGTTTGATATTATGACTCGTTATCTCGTGACTACTATAATCAAAGTAACAAAGCTAAACTTACCACGACTTGACGTCTAAATACTAAACCTCTAGAATTCGGTTCATAATAGTCTTCTAATTCTATTGTATGAAAATTTGAGCATAAACTTTGTGAGGCTGAGCCTAGTGGCTTAGGGAGTCTTTCACTACCCATAACACCTGGACCTAAAACACGTAGACTCCATTTTCCACTTGATGCAGGTCCATTGTTTGCGATCCCCAACAAACTATATCCCATTTTATTTTCAGGCAAAGGTAGCCAAGTATATGGAAATTCAACTGATGGTCGGATTGTTACACCTAACATTGCAATAGTAATGAAAAAGAGATTGAAAATTATTCTGGGTGACAAAAATACAATTTCTATTAGAATGACTGGGACAGCTGAGATTCAAAAACCAGTATAATGATAACTGCATGGCGACTAAGAATTTCGGCAGACCCATGAAGTGTTGTCCCCGGTTGTTATATGTATGAATGAGAGATATACAAAAGTTTGTTCCGCATTGAAAACTGGATTCCTCCCCTCTCTCAAATGTCTTTTTCTTCGAATTCAAACAGTCAGTGGAGCACAAGACCAGTGAAATGATGACCACTAGTCTGTAAACTGCTACAACTCAGATATATGTCAAAGTGATTAAGGAATTATTCCTGAACATAGTTTCCAGCACTCAAATAGCGGTTTTCATTGTAAGATAAATTATATAACACCGCAGATAAATCAAATTTAGATGTTGATGTTTTATAAGAGCAAAATTGAATGCTGAACTGCTGGCCATACTATTTTACGCTGAGACCTATTACACATGAAAGCGAATACAATGTTGGTGATCGATTTCAGAATAATATTGTTTTCCGCTCAACAAAGTTACCAGAAGTTTCTTTTTCTTTACCGTTTTGCGTAAACTGTCCCTTCAGTAGTAAGATTGGCCAGCAGATTCACCGATACCACATATTATGATTTTGCTGCTTCAATTCTATTGGGCAAGTTGCAGGTAGTATCACTAAGTTGTTCTTCGTTGAGACACAGGTTCGTAGTTGCAGATGTACCTAATCGACTGGAGCAAACAAACTGAAGACTCCGAACAAGTATACCATCTCGCTAATTGACTCCTAACAAACAGTTTGTGAGCAAGCATTTTATCCCATCATATCATAAGCTAGTTTGTTTTTTTGTTTCGATTCTTCTGATATACATTTATTAAAAGGTTTCCAGGAAGTAATATCGCCGGAGTTGGGTTTTTACAACTGCTGTTAACTATCCAAATTGGCTATTAGTTTCAGGTTTTCAACATCTATCGTTCATTATACTTCCATGCAGGTGAAAAACTTTCTTGGCTAAAGCATTTTAGATGCAGTATATGCTACAACTATTCTTTTGTATATGTCTTAGCTTTAAATAGTTCCAAAACTCATGGTGTGGTTATATGCAGAATTGGTAAATGACTGGAGGCAACCGGCGGGAACCCATGTTTGATAAACATTTTTGTTTGCTGGCACTAATCTGCAAGGTGCATACCCAACCCCAAGAGACTTGAACCCACATCACTCAGTGTTGCAGTCAGGGACCTTGTCACTCAGCTATTCACACCCCTTACGACCCACTGTAAGGACGGACAAGATGCATTAAGTGGTCACCAAAAAGTAACCGAATTCATGTTGTCTAGTCCTGTCGACTGCCTTCAACACTCTAAAGTCAATCAAAAGTGAACTGTAATGCAGATCGACAGAATTTGGTCACTAGTTGATTATCGAATTCCAAGGCTATCAAAGACGTGTGAAGTTTATGAGTTAAATCTGTATTCTGATTAAGAGACACTGGTCACTAAATCACTGAACACTTGATTTGGGAAAGGTGGTCTACTACAGAAATAACATTCTATTCCTTCAGATCCACAAACACCAACCTACACAAAGAGATACAGTTTTTTAAGGCAATTCATTTGTTTGAGTACTAAAGGATAATCTATCATTTGAATCTTTAAAGAGGCCGGTAATGTGTGGCTTACGGAGCTTATCATACTGCTTACATGTATAAGGCGATTAGCCCTACGATTGTGAAATGAAATCCTTTATCGTTTGCAAAAGCGAAAATTCATTCAGACACGTTAGGATCGACAACAGATTGTTCTGACCCAACTTCAACCATCCACTCAGTGTAAATGGGAAACAGCTGTCGTTTGCTTTTCAGCGACAACCTCTCTCATTCAGTTATTTTGTCAGTGGGTCAAGGTTGTAGTCAAAGACTTACATAATTGAAATATTGGTGGGCAAAGAAGTGATATCAACCAAAATTATGATTAAATGGTATGCGCATTTGCTTTATATTTTTCCTCCACCCAACTACTTTCTTTCGACAGGTCTCTTATTATCTCATAAAGTACAAACGAACGATTCTTAAAATATGACCATACCTGTAGGTTAGACCGATGACTTTTATGGGATTAATATGACCTGTCTGAGGTTTCGCTCCAGTTCCCGGCTCAGCTAGAAGTTCCAGACTGGTCTTCAGATTTGTGGACGTTCCAACTCAAACCAAGCAGGATACATGCAAGAAATGCATCAAGATGAAAAGGAACACCTACCATTTCATCCTGTTAATACCCCCTCAAACTGATCATTGTTATCTTAAAACCCTCCCAACCGTCAAGCTTCAACACATACACATTCGCCAAGTAAGTGGTTTGCTGACCATAAATCATCTCTGTGTGGGCAGGCGTGTGTGGGATATGTCTCACTGACGTCCTCATAACCTTGAAGATCTAACTGCAGCCCCACCTTCCGGGAGAGACATTCCTCTAGAAGCCCTGGTCAGTGAACTCAGTGTCAACAGGTTCACGGCTGCGGTTCCCATCAGACTACTGAAATATAGCCAGGACTAAGGCTACTGACACCAATATTGCGGACCGAATATCGCTCACCTTCGCAAGGCAAGACTATACCGATCTCTAGAGATTGCTTCAGCAACATATAACTACCGGAATTAGGAAGCCAGATTTACATAACCTTTCCGTTGTACTGCTCCTCAGGCACTGAGTGGAATCCTGACGGCTAACAAAACCATCCATGCTTTAGAGATATGCACCACTGATCTCGCGCATATGGATCTGGTCGACCACGGTTTCTGCTCAGTTGGGTTGACAGTGCATTGGTTAATATCCGACGTAACCACGAGGAGGCTCACCGTCGTACGCAACTACACACGACCCATAGTCCCTAGTAGACAAAACATGCCCAGTTTCAATCCGATAACATAACAAACTCAGCACCATTTAATCGCACCGTGTAGACCCTCTTCATGTTGACACTCCAGCACGTAACTATGGTGCAGATATACCCTGCCTAGAGAGTCATAGTTACGATGGACACACTTGTAAGTTAGAGTGATAAATTTTATCCGATGAATATGGATTAAACATGTTTGCTCCCGGATACCTTTCATGTCAGAACACACCATACACTATTCTTTGGTTAGACACCATAACCCTTCCAGGTATTCAGGAAAACGCTTTCGCTGTTTGCTTCGTTTATTACCAAACAAAGGTACATTTTACCAGTTACTCTTTCATCTTCAGAGATGTATGTGTTTATAGGTCATCTGTATGGTAGACTGATAATAAATTATTTAAAAGAGTTTTCGACATAGGTCAATATAGGCCAGAAGATCACAGGGAAAAAAATCGAGGAACACTGAAAGAGAGTTTCGTTCTACTTTTCGTCTTTCCACTATTGTATATTCCCACCAATACACGCGATCCGGACCTGCTTCATGATACAATTGAAAGCGATACGATCTATCCCAAGAGGTAACAAGAGTTCTTGCTGCCAAACAGTTTCCAACTAAGACTTAACATTTGTCTTATATTCATTAGCTGGTAGTCATTACCCAAGTTGAAAACTCTTCAAGTATACTTATCCTTGCTGACAAAAAACTAATTGAGCACACTTGAACTTATTAATGCAGGAGTAAAACTTGGCCACTGCGGTAAGATGTAATTTGATTTTAGTCTTGTTATCACAGATGTCACACAGTAAAACAGTATTATTTACTGGATTGAGTTCACCACACAATTCATCGTCCATAGTCATATCGAGACAACTACACAACTTCCACAAATGGTTGACATAGTTCCAATTCTCTCTCCATCTTTTTCATGTAGATAGTAGAATTTTCCATTTACCTGGAACAGATGCTGAATCATTCCTACTGTATGCATTTAGTGTTGATTCGACAAGCAAAGCTTCGGTTATTGCTCACTCACACCTCTCAGACCACTCCAATTAGTTAATTTTAGGGGATTTTACCCACTACCAACCTACTGTGTGACTGTGTGCAACTGCATGTGTAGCTATGGTCCAGGTTTTTTCTAAACTGCTTATCTTACTAGGCTCTACCAATCTTGAAGTAGCCAAACTTTTATGCTAGAAAATTTTAACTGACACCTGTCGGCTACTCTGACCTATGTATTTGACCTCACATTCATTGCAAGGGATACGGTAAACTAGATTACTGTACCGAATAGAATCTATGGGATCTTTTAACCTACAAAGATTGTTTCCAAGACAGTTTGTATATTTAAGTGCCACTTTAATCCTAGCCTTATTAAGAATCTTAGGTATTGCCTGTGATGTGCCTTCAGTATATAGTAACAGCGTATACACTTTGAATCCTCTCTTCAAATTGCTGCCATTATTATTATTATTATTATTATTATTATTATTATTATTATTATTATTATTATTATTATTGACAACTGTGTTAGCACTATGAGTCATATTTTTTTTACAATTACTGGCGTATTCAACAACTAATTTAGGAGGGCAGTTACTGGTGAGTAAGGCGTCTTTGATGCAACTGATTTCTTGTCTCAGATCCTTTGTTTTACCTATAAGTTCCTTGATTTTATTACTTAGATATTTTTGTAAGTCAACTTAACTGATATACAGTAGGACCACCTGAAGTCTAAGTAACCATTCGAGGGTGAAGGTTCCCTATAGACACGTCTACAGACTCCTATCTAGTTTACATTTTGTTCCCCAGTTCAGCATGCCTAATGTTCCCTTCACCGCGTTTTAATTCATCAGTAAATTGGATTGTGTTCACTACAGAATTTATTTGCCCAAGAAAACTATATATATATATATATATATATATATATATATATATATATATATATATATATATATATATATATATATATATATATATATATATATATATATGCCCCAATTTAAAAGCTGCAGACGTGTCGTTTACATGTCGAAGCGATATATCTTTGGAATAGGACTAAATGTTTTAGAAAGCAAAAGTTTCCCAAAACGCGCTGCTAACCACAACTAAGTCAATTATAAAATTGAATCACATTTGAACTCACCGTTATCATTGTTTATCAACAGGATATAACTATCAGGGATTAGAGTTTTCATTTGAATTGAATAATTAACTTCTTCCGTCATCTCTAATTCACCATCCATCCGTGTTGGTGGATAAATACAATCACGAAATAGTAAATGAATCCAATCCTTATGAAACTGGTCGTTAAACTTTTCTGTATTCATTGAAGGTCCTGTATTATCCATTGGGTATGCCGAAGGTATTTCTGAATACGTCCCAGTATACTCTTTAGCACTTAAATACAAATTAAGATCTGCAACCAATCGTTGTTGCACACTTGAGTCATTCGTCTTTATTAAAGAATTGGATAAGACTAACTTTTGAATCAGTTCGACTCCCACCTCGGATTGATAATGTCCTTGTTGCAATACATTTAAACAAGTTATCCAACCACTTGATAAACGTTTTATTTTTTGTAAAAGTGACTTATCTGTCGATTGTTTTAATTTATCGCTAGCATATGAATTCATTTTGATAGATGACAAAAAGTCTGCAATGAACTTCACCTGATTCAATCGTTTCGCTTGTCGAATACGATAACGACGGAATACTGATTGTATGCGTACAATGGAAACTAGTATGTTGGGATCAACTGGTTTCGCCCAACGGTTGGTAAATGCCTCTTCAGCGGTGTTACTGAGCAAAGAAAGGAGGGGATAAATGTGTAGAGTACACTTGCATTTATACAGTTTTCTAGGAAGATAGCCAACAAAAAATTCTAATGTTATAACATGATTCGATGTCTACATTCTTTTTACGAAATCGGACAGTTCTATAACATCAAATTTTTCAGTATACATTGTACTGTATTGTATTCCCTTCAGCTTCTATTAAAAGTCAACCAATGAAACGAATACAGACTAGCATACTTCAGAATTCGGACTCATCAAACCTGGACACTACTATTGAACATTTCGAGCAGTTATAAACCTGGTGTCGGTCAGTAGTGGATCATCAAACAGATCAAAGCGATCTAAGCAGTGGACGGCAGTTTGGCTCATTTGAGGTCCAAAGTCAGCAGCGGTGTACGCGAACAAAATTCAGTCCACTGACTCAAACTGATACATACCACCGAATTTAGACTAGCCGACTTTTATTGACCGGTATACCTAAAATAGAGTGATCAATTTGCAAGTGATTTACAAACCACACGGTTTACGATGACATTCCCCAAAGCTGAGTTGTTTTTCAACTTTCCAACTGTGGTGTCGGCAGTTTTCCAGTCGGAAACCACTCAGCTGAGATCACAGAGTATGACCTGATACAACAGTGTCATGAAACACCAAGAAATACTACTACTAAACAACTTGAGTAGTTAGAAACTACTCAGGTTAAAATGCAGTATTTTGCTTTATGTTTCCAGTGGGAACCCTGTTGACACCAGAGTTGGGGAGTTGAAGAACAACCCAACTGTGTGAAATGTCAACTTGAATCATGCAGTTTGTAAATCATTTGGAAATTAATCATTCCATTTCAATAACCCTGGTGTTAGAGGACTAAACTATGTTGGTAAATCTTGAAATACAACGTCCGAGTACAGTGTGCAATCAGAAGTTTCTGTCGTTTAGCATATCCTCCAATAAATCGGAACTATTCCAAGAAATTACTGATGGGAAACAGATATTCAACGAAGTTATTTTGACAGCTGTGATTTAAAACAGTCATTAATGTGTTATGTTATCCCGTCGACAGTTTCCAATTAAGTGAATGGCTGTACACCAGATTTCAATGAAGAATTTATCTCCAAATCCTAAATCCTATCTGAAAGTGTACGCCGTGATGGTGTATCAGTTACTATGTTTGGAAAATGTGTGAGTGTTATTCTCTTAAATGAAGACATTAAGACAGTACCAGTACCCTCTTAGTCATTATATTCTTGAATGGTGAAAATCATTGATTTCTCAACTTGAAGGTTTATTTTTGTATTATTTTACCTAATATGAAATTGATCGACAGTATGAACCTTCTACGTGACTGATCAGAACTGTCTGTCTAAACATTTTGATCAGGCGGACAGCTATATACTGATTGGTTGACAATATTTGTTTGAATCAGTGTACCGATTCGTTGGACCCTCATTGATCGATTAGATCTATTTTGATTAAATTTTAGCTTATTGAACCATTAACAGTGTTACTTAACACTGAAACCAAAGAATAAGAAAATTTTCCAGGTCCACAAAATGCTCAAATCTTGAAGTTCTGCGTTTACCTTACGATCAAATAATGCTGCACACTACACTTTATGAAAAACAAAATCCGCCAGTATTCAACCTCTGATTTTTATGTTTTTTTTCAGTTAACTGCTTCCGAATAATGAGAAGTGAATAAGTCGTACAACTACAATTAGGTCTACACATAATTACACCGGAAACTGTGTATGTAGACATCATTAACTTCGATTAACTGAGCGTTTGTTTAGGCAGTTCATTGTACAGTGTTTCCAAGATTATTTATTTATTAATTGTCCCTTAAGTTCCTAGGGGAACACACGGCTTTACTAGCTCATCCTCATTTCACTCTCTTCTCTTCAGTCTTTTCAACCTGGCTCCAACACTGCCAACAAGCTTTCATTTCTTCCTTACTCGATATCCTCCATGTCACCCTCGCCTCGGATGACCAACTTTTCGTTCCCACCTGGGGTCCCACTCAAAGACCTGACCTGGCGAGTAATGTCCCCAAACTGTCTTCTCAGTGTATGTCCAACCCAATGCATCTCCAATTTCTTCAATATACTTTTTTGGTTGACGGGTTGTTGGTTGGTTCGTTATCAGGCAAGAGTTCCTTGTTGCTTATTCTTTCTGGCCATCTGATCTTCAGTATCGAGTGAACGTAGGCGGCAGCTGTTGATGACATATGTCTGTAGTTTGTTGGAAATGCTTTTCATGACAGGCCAAGATTCTGATGGCCCATGATGGATGAGTTCTCATCCTGTGTTGTCCCCTCCCAGTTTGACATTCATGTCACCCTGCCCATTCAAATGAATTTTGAAGTGGCCATCTCGTGTGGGTGAGGTCTTTTCCAGTACTGATTGCGTTTGTCTATAGAATTCCTCCTTCTTCTCTTGCTCTGCATTATTTGTAGGTGGGTAGCGTAGCACTGTATGATTGTGACCTTCCTTCCTTTTGAGTTGAATCCATCTTGCTGTCATGATCCTGATCCCTCAGGAGGAGATTGGCTCCCACTGCATAAGAGAGAGAGAGAGAGCCTTTGATGCTGTTGGCGACATCATGGTAGCCACTCGGAAACTTAGTGTGCTCGTGGTTGTCGTTTGGGTGAGAATATCGGAGTAGATTATTGACTGTGCAGTTGACAGTTTGCAGAGTCCACTTCCATTCCATGTGCATATGCCTCACAGATTCCATGAATTTACATGCCATACTTCCTCATCTCTTTTGCAATCTGGGAAGCCGTGGTAGGTTCATACATGGTGCGGACATTCCATGTCCCCAGCCTTACTTTCGCTTTCATGGAGAGAAGAAGAGAGAAGACATATCGGCCAATTGGTTTCCCGAAGGCTTTCACCAACTGGCGTCATTTCGCCTGTCCGATTCCAGTGAGGAATAAGTTTGTTATTATTTTTTATGTATCGTTTGTGCTTTGAAGTTTGTTTAGCGATTGGGTTTGTTTTCCGGGGTAGGGTTGCTAGCCGTGTGCCCAACCTTCCCTCTCTATCCGGGTTTAAGACCGGGTGGTAACCAGTCAACTAGTTACCTAGGTGAGGTTTCATGCATTGTAGAGTAAATCAACTTATTATAAATGTATTGTAATAAATAATTATACACAGTGATATTATTTAGTTTTGTAATACTTCTAGCAAAAATTGTTCACAGGAAGTAATTTTGGCGTTTGCTAACTTGCATCATATCTATCACCGACCGGAGAGATATATATCTGACTACCTATCAAAGGATGAGTATACTATACTATGCTACAGTCCATTCTATCCTATTGTACGGCTTTGAGACATGGCCGTTGAAAGTGTAAACATGTAGCGGTAACAGGGTTTTGATCGTAAATCTCTTTGTCACACTGCTCACATTTGTTGGATTCACCGTGTTAGTAATGTTGAGGTCGGGAGAAAGTTCGAATATTATGGAGAAGTATGAAATAGTTGTTAAGGTATGTTGTGTTTTACTTGATGGTGCCTATTAGTGGAATCCATAGCTCACATTTTATCCTATTTGGGACTTGTCAGCTGGATGTAGCTCCATTCTTGTTAGTGATGATACCCCACTAGGACTCGAACCATGTACTCATTGCCTCAAATCCCAAAGCGTTGTCGAGAAAGACACAAGAGTACTACTAGTGAACTTGCTAAAGCATGTTTAGTACGACGAACTGTAGCAATATGAAATTCTAAGAAAGAAGTTAGCTGGCACCAATTGATGGAGAACACTTCCCTCAACCATTAGAAGACGGCTCTTAGATGAAAAGGGATCACTTCATCAAAAGAATATGAACTATGTGCACAACTCTCTCGTTTATATTTATATAGCAGTGTCCTTGAGGTAAATAATATAAGTAGTGTATTATAAACAGCCAATAAACCAGTCACCTAAGTAAGTATAACTCGGTGGAAGGAAGAAGGTGGAAAAAGACTCAAAACATAAATGTTTGCCCTACGAGGTAAATTTTACGAAATACAATTACTTGAGATCCACTTTCGCAAGATAATACATCGATAAAAGTCACAAATAACTTACGCTTTAACAGATTGTACAGTTTTCTCTCCCCCTTCAAAAATAAGAAAATAAAATCATGGCTATGCATTATCAGCAAGATGACCAGTAAATAATAACTTTCTACAACGATTTATTCAAGATAAAGGTAAGTGGTCCCTGAGCGTATGACAATAACTCCCAGCATCTAGATAACAGAAAACGAACCTATCGGCTTAAGGTATTCATGGTTTAAAGTATTTACTTGCATAAATGTTTACCTTGTCTCCATTTCTGAGAATAATAAAACGAACACTGTTGAGATATACACACTAAATCAGCGCCTACATGGTCATGGCTAGAAAGATTCAAAAGATCAAGATATACTGAGGTAGCATTCACGACGAACTGACACCAGTTGGAGAACTATTGAAAATCTGGAAGCACTGGGCAGCTGTTTTGCCCTAGTATCGAACTCCTCAGCAGTATGCACCCACGACTAGGCCAGGGACCATACTCTGTACCTTCAGGTTTCATAGCGAACGCGCTAGCCATTCAGCCACTGGATCAGAGTCCAATGCTTCACGGTTTCCAACTCCTGTGAATTCACAATATAACGTGACTGTCACCCAGAGTATTCAGTTGGCAACCGCCTCACCTTTTTCTGATTGACCCCACATGTCACAGCTTCTCAGTAGAACTCTCTAATGCTCCCCAGTTTTCAATGGTTCTCCAACTAATGTCACTTCGTGATGAATACTACCTCAAAATTAAAATCTCTTTCAACCTCAAAATACATCAAGATATATTCCCTATTCATGCAGTCTGGAACCGTTGATTTCAGCCTTTTGGAGAAGTTTATACTTCATGGTAAGGTTCTACAAGTCGACTGAGACAGATTATGAAGGATTTGGGTAATATGACACAGAGTTGACAACAGTGGCACCTTTGCATCTATGTCTTAACCTATTTTTACTAGAATTCCCACGTTAATTCGGTAAACTTTTTGACACCTTTCACCTTTCAGCTCTTTTATGAGCGGCATTCAATAGCATATTGGGTGGCATTACTTTTTCATTTCACTGGCTTCCATACTGGTGCGATGATATACAGTAGAGTGGGTTGAACTAATACGTAGTTGCACCTTCTCTTTCGTACTCATAACCTTCATATACTTGAATAGTTCTTCTATTAAAAAGAACAGAGTTTGGAATTCCATTCTTTTATTGTATCTCATAGTATATTCTGCAAATAACTGGAGTGATTTTGTCTTCAAGTTAGTCACTGATTCGAGAACACACCGTTTGAATATTAATGTATTTTTGAGGTGAATGGGGATTTTTAATTTAGAAGTAGTATTCATCGCGAACTGACATCACTTGGGGAACCATTGAAAATCTGGGAGCACTGGACAGCTGTTTCGCCCTAGAATGGGACTCCTCAGCAGTACGCACCCACAAGTCGGCTGGGGGTCGAACTCAGGACCTCCAGGTTTCACGGCGAACGCGTTAACCAACTGATGTCAGTCCGCGATGAATACTACTTCTGAATATTAAAGTGTTTATAACATATTCTTTGCTATGACCGGTAGTACGACCTAACAGTCTGCAAGCGATACGAGCCTAGCAGACTACGAACGATACGAAACTAACGCGCAAACGAATAGACTCTAACGCAAATCAGAACGTCAAGCACCACAACAACAACAGTTTTACCAACACTTGAAGACAAGAAGAGAAGACACCGTTTACAGAGAGCTTTTTACTGTCTCGACAACAGTCAATACAGTTGACAGCAGTGCTGAATATATGCATTTCTAAATGACCTTGACAGCACTAAATCCACATATAGGTAAAAATGGTTAACAACTAATGACAGTTCAGCCTTGGGAGTGGATGGAAGAAAAACTAGTAGCGGTGTGAAAACAGTCAAGTAGGTTATTTTAAGACCATGGGTAAAACAGCAGGAAAAAGCTACGAAAAATTAAGGGTATACAGCATTCTTTCATACAAGAAACATATAAACCACATTCACTATATTCCCCTTCTCTCGAAATGATTATCTAGGAGAAGAGTAACTAAATGCAGAATGCGTATCAAACTCACGTGAACTAGGAGCCTTAGACTTCTGTTTCGTTATGGCAACTGGAGCTGGATTTGAAATAGCATCTAAAAAGTTTAGACAATGAACAAACACTTTCACTTCTTAATCAAAATGAAGAAGATGCGTGCACATTTGAAATGATGGAAAAAATTTGAAGCCTAGAATGAGAATGATGGTGGTTTGATGTGTTATGAAGTTAATGCTGAGGATGTCACCAAGCCTGGTGATGAAACATCCACGACAAAATATCAAAGCTCGGAGAATACCAAACCACCATCATACGTGAGCATTTCTCTAGCAAAAGGTAAAGTAGTTATATAATTGGTTACTAAGTGGAGAGGAAACGATCTCATGTTGTTTAGCTTTAAACATAGGCTACAAAAGATCCAACTTGCAAGGTCATCATCAAGCTAGGAGAACCATCATTACCTCCAACTACGTAACGTATCAGCCAAAGGTTACCGTGATGCCGAGTCTCCTAGCTTGGTGATTACATTCACTCAGCACATTAGACTAGACAACATGAAATGCGTTACTCTCTTCAATGTATATCATCCAACATGTCATTCACTGCCTACAGGACTCAGTAATATCGTCTCTGATTGTGGAGGTGAGAAATAGTTTTGAATCCCTGAGGGTATGTCAGCCTCTTCGACACTGATGAATGCCAACAAGTGTCAAACATAGGTCAAATAATTTAACACTTAGTTCAAGATTGTTATTCAATAGATTGTAAGAGGTGTTTCTGGTACTTCAGCGGCTAATGAAGTTCAAAGTGATGTGTGCTGGATCCCATCCTTCGTAGTAACTCTAGATTTGACTACTAACTAACAGAAATATGAAACGTGCACCTTGATTTCTTCTGATGGTTTCCACCAAACAAACGATATAATCATGTGATTCACAGTAATGTCGGGGTATTTGCATAATCAGTCAGTATGTCACCGGAAACTGGTTAATTTGGTCTAATAAAGTGAACGGCGAGAAGTTTCATAGTCTTAGGGAAGTTGTTGGCGACAGTGTGTAAGATATTTTAAAGTTTGCTAACAGGATACGAGACTGGAATGTGAACAATAAATCAGTGAATCATTGCGATTCGTCATCACCAATACACTTTTGATGCAAACTATCCATTTTATATTCAACGAAATGATAAACCATAGTATGAAAACAGGTATCTCCGTATTTTGCCTGGGAAAGCTTCCTTCATGACGTAAAATGAATGTGAACATTCATTCCAACGAAGAACTCTACGGACAGTCTAACAGTGTTGCGTTGAGACTAAGAGTGGGTTTAGTCTTAGTGGAAACTTGGATGATTAATTTTGCAGAATGACTTTCCTGAAGGCTTAATTAATTATTACGTCAGATGGATGGTGCATTCATAATTCTAAGGAAGGATAATGACACGGTGAACGTAGTGGACAAATCTAACATCCCCATCCAACAGTAATCTTTGCCGTTAAGGATTAACCGAAGACTAATACCGACCCTCAGCACACTCACTTTGTGAGCATCGTTTTCTGATAATGTAAAAGAGATTTAGTGAAATACGTAGTCAAAGGGCCAAAGTTATCTGAATTCACCAGATGGATACACACTGACCGAATTCGCCTCATTTATTTACATTTACCAATTTGACTTACATATGGCATATGATTAAGCAAGTTTATCATTGCACTTTTGTCAACCATCCATTTTAGCCAAATAAAGCATAGGGCAGGACCAATGGAAAGCTCCATCATTTTCATTCAGTGGAAACCACTAAAATCCACTTGAACAAGCTGAACATGTATGTTCAAAAGAAATATGTACATCCTCCCTATTTACTGTACCCATTTTAAATATTGTAGGCAAACATTCATAAATTATGCAAAGATGACCCTCCTCCTGAACTAACTTACTATTAACTCCTTTTTCGTCTTTTAATATTCTGACATAATTTCCACCACCAGTTAATATTTGAGAAAACTAACAACTTTTGTTATGCAACCTGTTAATTGAGTAACAATCTACTTTAAATTTTACAGTATTACTGTGCTTAACAAAGTGATCTTTATCACCGAGTAACATCAACCAGAGAACCGTTGAAAGCTGAAATCCCTGGATAACTGTTTCGTCCTGTTTTACGACTCCTCACCAGAAAGCACCGGTGACGCCATGTGGAACAACAAACCCTAACTGTGACCCTCAGGCTCCATGGCTAGCATGTTATTACTCAGCTGGTGAGTGGATTCGCAGTGGCAAATGTTTTTCAACTTCCGCCAGCTCGTAATATAGTGCGATCACGGTCAAATACCACTACGGGGGTTTCTTGCCTTTATATTCAACTTGGTCGACTATATGCATCTTGGTTTCTGACTATAACTTCAGGGCGCTCATCTCAAGGTGAGTTACTAGCGCGCATAGGATTGCTGTTCCATGTTTTTTTAATTAACAGTTGTCCTTATTTCTATCGTTACTTATTACCTTTTAAACCATTTGTTTCGCTGAACCAATTATCCTTCATATGCTTTATTCATGTATTATTATTATTATTTATCCCTTGGGTTCCTATGGAACATAGGGCTTCAGTAGCACGTCTCCATTCCACTCTATTCTCTGCAATCTTCTGAACCTGGTTCCACTACAGCCCAGGAGCTCTCATTTCTTCCTCACACGATCTCCTCCATGTCACCCTAGCCTCGGACTACCAACTCGTCGTTTCCCATCTGGGTTCCACTTGACGGCCTGGCGCTTGATGTCCCCAGTTGGCCTTCTTAGTGTATGCTCAATCCATCTCCACTTCCTCCCAGTGCATATTTGTTGAGCGATAGCCTCTTGGTTGGTTCGTAACCAGGCCAGAGTTTCTTGTTGCTTATTCTGCGTAGGAAGTTGTTGATGAATGTCTGTAGTTTATTGGAAATCCCTTTCGTAACGCGCCAAGTCTCTCAACCATACAGAAGTACTGATTTGACGTTGATGCTGAAAATCCGGATCTTGTTCCACATGCTGAGTGCATTGCAGAAGATCTCCACACTGGTTTCAGGCTAATGAACGCGTCTTGCTTTTCCCATTCTGACTTTGACATCCTCGCCTGTGCCGTCTGTAATTGAGGCTGTGCTGCCTAGATAGGTGAAGGAGGTTACTTCCTTCAAGTTTCTCCTGTTGATGATGATTGGAGCTTGTTGTTGTTGGTGGTGGTGGAGTTGGTTGGGTATCATCATCACCTCTGTCTTTTCTACACCCACTTGAAGTCCCGTCTTTACTGCCATGCCCTGCCTCTTCTGTCAACTTGTTATTTTTCGCCTATAGATCTCCAAGTTTGTGTAACATTAGACACAGGTCATCAGCAAAATCTAAATCTTCTAGGATCTTTTCCCCGGTCCAGCGTATCTCCCTCTTCTCACAGTTCCTCACTGTTTGTTGCATGATCCAGTCCACCACAATCAGGAAGATTATCGGTGATAGTAGACAGCCTTGTCTTTCGTTCATGTGGTTAGATTAAACTGAAGCATCACTGTTTAATGACAGTCAGAGGTATCACTTTTTTAGATGACCATCTCTCACTTGCACTAGATTGCTAGAATACTATAGTTTTTTCTACTGACGATCCTTCTGTATCCAAAACAATGGTACACGCTCTATATATAGATAATGCGAACTGAAAGCTGATTTCAGAGCTCTAAACTAGAAGAAATGTTCCTTCGTCTTTGATATTGAATGTTGTATTTTTAGCTTCTGCCGGTATCTTCTGAGTCTTTTGTAGTTGCTCATCTTAATTAGTCCTCATACATTGTGTTCACGAGTCCCTAATATCAACTTGGGCCCGGTGAAATCACTCTGAGTCCCCTAACAGTCAAGGTGAAATGGGCTGGGTATTTTTATTCTGTTGTCATGCAGGGTGTTACGGAAGCATCGTACTATCTTCACTGTTCCCCTTCAGACTCTGTGTAGTAGTTGTTTATCTCACGTCAAGTATGGTGTGTATGGGATGGCCTCACATTCTAGATGTTGTAAAAGATTTCTAAATAGTCCTTCAAAAATCTACCAAATACTCAGACAATTACGCTTGCATATATTTATCTTTCTCAGCAGTTGGAGGTATGTGGTTAGGGCTAGTGGGACTGTCAGATTTACTGGTTCATATGCCATATTACACAAATCTATATGAATCGAACGAGTAATAGATATTTCTCCATCCTCTAGTTAGTCTTAGTCATGTTGTTCAGTACAACTGTCCAGATTCTTCGAAGGTCTAAATCCCCAAAATCTTTCACAACCAATTATCCCCCAAATCGAATTATTCTAGTGCTCATTAGTGACTAGCTCCGAGAGGTGATTCCTGAAGTTACAATGTGAAGTGTGACCTGTGAGGCAAACGTGGTGGACGTGAGCACAAATACTGAGTGAAGACATTGGTTGGCGGTCGCTCTGTGTCCTGAACTGACAGAAGTTGGAAATATGGACCATTGGGTTCCAACCCAGTGGCTCAGTGGTAACGTACTAGTCGCGGGATCTGAAGGTCCTGGGTTTGACCTCTAGTGCGGTCGATTGCGCACTATCGAAGAGTCCCATGCTAGGACGAAACGGCTGTCCAGTCCTCCAAGTTTCCAATGTTCCAACAAATTATATCAGTCCATGGTGAATACCAACTTGAAATCAATCAATAAGTCCCCCACAAACCCCCAAGTCCAATTAATGTACTCCAAATTTTCAAGAAATGGCATGATCTTAAGCATTGACGTAGATATCAGATTAGAAATTGATAGGCGTTTGCTTTCTAGAAAGCACTGGAAACAACCAGAGTTGTTGTACTTTGTATGTACACTTGACTTTGCATTGCATGTTCTGTTGTCTTAACACCTTAAGTGACCATCAAGCGTGGCGGAGTCTAAAGGTTATTTTTCGAGTGTCTAAACGTACATAAACCAGATTATATAAATCTTTCTGGTTACAAAAACACATGACGGTAAACACATCAACCTCAAAGCCATGGTGTTGGTTTTGAGTGATTGGTATTTCTAGGATTATTTAAACTAGGTTTAGGTTGAGATGAAATAAGTAATCTCAAAATACTAGGAATGTCGCTTGTGTTAAGCACTACTTCACTTGTCTAAGAAGCTGCAGCTTTGCATTAATGTTCACCAGACAACTGTTCTCAAACTTGCTATCAACAAACGGTGGATATTAACTCCGAGTTTTCTAAATGATCAGTATCATTCTGCAGGCAGGAATTTCGTAAATACGAACCAACTCCTTATGAATATCAAAACAAAAAGTAAAAGCAGTTCATTCTCCTTCAATTCCTGTGAACCTCACTTAAATTGTTGGCTACGGTATAGCTACATTTCTATCCTCGAATTCCTTTTAAAGCTTCAGCTTCACCTTGCTTTTCATTACTATATAGTATTGTTGATATAATGATAATGTCTCAGTTGGTTAAGCACCGGTACGGGAACCCGATTGTCGCTGGTTCGAATCCTGCGTGGCTCGAATTTGTAATACACCCACCAATCATCACCCAATAGCAATACAAGTCTGACAAACCATGGCTTTCTCACATAGTCAAACTGATAATATTTCTATCATTTGTTCCCTTTCACTTTTCGTCAAGATCCTTTTAACTGTCTTTATTGAGCTGACTATGATTCTAGTGGAGCCATCTGTCCTCTTCACATCTTCTCCTCTAAATGTTTAATATATCGGGCTTATCATTTGTTAAACCCTAGTTTATCTTGTAATATTTATTTCCTCTTCTGCATTGGTGGAATTTTCTCAATTAACTTATTTTTAGGCATACTCTACTGTTTGATAAACATTCACATACTTCATTTTCATAATAATGTACTTCTGTTGTAGCTTGTATAGTGTTTTGACAAGTCTGGAGTCCTTAATATAGGGATTTTGCGTGTAATTAAAGTGTCCGAACGTAATCTTTCGCATACATTCCATCATTTGATTCTAAACAAATGGTAGACTGAATCATTGACCACGGTAATAATCAGTTAGCATTGAATAGATTGATCACTTACCATGACCATAAACAATTCCGAATGGATTCAATGTAGAATAATCCATCTGTAATACACGCCAAGCGAAATTCATATCAGATGTTGCAGAATCTCCTGTCAAGCGTTGCAGTATCGATAGTAAGGTTGGATTAATCAGCTAAACACAAGAGAATAAAACAAACCAATCGTCTATCAGTGTTAATGTGACTACAAGCAAAAGTCTTCTTTTGATAGACTTCTCTTAAATAAGAGAGCGATGAATGAAGAATTTTGTTTGTAAGTTATTAGACTACTTCATTTCGTCAAACATTCGGTTCAATGACTTTCAGTTGTGACTGGCAGTGAATTCTGAGGTATGTTTTATGTCTGAACCATGATTTGTCACCTGGTTACCATGTAAGTTTCATGATAGCAGTGATAACCTAAATGGTTTGTATTCAGTGATTAGTTTCAAAGTAGTTTCGTCGCCAAATAATAGTTAGAGAACCGGTTAAACCTTGAAGGGTCCCAACCTAGGACGAAATGGCTATTCAATGCTCCCAATCTTCCAGCTTCTCTCTAACTGATTACAAATCAAGATGAAAAGTACTTTGAAACCCTTTTGATCATTGTTGATTTAGTTATTTATTTGACGTGTTTATAAGAGATAATTTGTGTCGGAAACGGCATCCAGTAAACAAATAATACTGTAAAGCAACTCGTAATGAGAAGAATATCTAAAACATGTGATGTATGAGAGCTAAATATTTAGAACAATCTTATCACACATGGACTTGTCGAACTATTCACATGAAAATTTACGAAAAAGGTCAATGAGTCCATAGAAAACATAGGAATAAGGAAGGACAGAGAAAAAAATCGTAATCACATTACTCTTGGTATGAAAATTAATATCAATACTATCAAGGTAAGTTCAACGTGAGTACAAATTGTTTGCCACCTGCAGTTATCGAATCTGCTAAGGCCATTCGTTTTGAAGCCAGTTAGGTACATGTTCAATCATCCTTAACTGCATATTACGATTACTCCTTCCTAAGGTGATAAACACAGTGAGATGTGATGCAGTCTTAACGCGAACTTTGTCTTCTCTACAATGATGAACTTGGCTGAGTAATATTTTTTACAGATAACTGATTAAAGCTACATGAATCACCTCTAAATGATAATGAGATGCAGACATTTTTCCTAGGAACGAAACACTTCATACTTTTCAGTGCAACATAACTTTTCCACCTGCTGATAAATTTCAACGGGTAGCCATTGGACTGGGCCATAGCTATGCGAATTAAGATACTATTCAGCAGAATAAATCGCATTTGCACCGATTGAAAAGAAGGAAGAAACCAACTTACTGAAGACAACAGTAATACAAAATGGTTACCCGCTGAAATTTATCGGCAGGTGGAAAAGTTATGTTGCACTGAAAAGTATGAAGTGTTTCGTTCCTAAGAAAAATGTCTACATCTCACGCTATTGAAATAATCTAACCCCAGTGATCGAGGATAGAAGGTTATGTGTTTTTCATAGACACATATACAATTGTACAGCACTTGAAAATGCTTTCATTAGCTCAATACATGCTGTTTTATAGGGAAGGCTTGATGAAATGAATTTCATAAACTTTAGTGTACTCTACCATATACATCCCAGTTTGTATATTTGGCACTGGCATCCTGGTTTAACACTAGTTTAATGTTCTTGATATTGCACAGTCGATTGCCTTTATACTTCATTTGAACTTGGTGGTCCCAATGAAACTACCTCCCATTTGTACTTCGAAATACAGTCTGTTGAATTGTGCATAGTGTGATTACGGGTGGATTACGTTTTTCGGGAATTGAGTATGTGAATTGGAGTGAAATACGCGTACAACACTACTGACAAACTCATTTAGAACAGATTTTTGACGCATAGGTTCATAAATAGAATACTCCTGACAGATGAAATCATAGGGAAAAGTTAAAACCATAGTCAAGGAGATGATACATTGACTAGTTAATACCTTCACGAATAAGTTGCCGTCAGTGAGCTTGTCCATTGTGAAAAAGAAGACTCGATTGTCGCAGCAGATCAAACATCAGCTATATATTCGCCGTGATTATTAGCTACTTATTGACCTTCGCGTTCTCCATGGTTGGTGGTCATTCGCCTTCTGATAATTCATAGTGAAGGTTTTCCAAGCACAACTTCTGTATATAAGTGACTAACGAATTATATTAAGAAGGACTGTTATTAAATATATACATGTGACCAGATAGCCGGCAGTTAAGGATTTAAACGTATCTTTAGTTTTACTGTCAATATAGTCACTGAGTCAGCAGTATCGTCATTATCAATGTATGAAGTACACGATCTCTCAGTCTAGTGTATACTTAACCAGAAATCATTTCTATGTTTCCACTCACTCAAGATATAGATACACCATCAATACACTTAGAAAACATCAATGTAACCTAGAACCAACATCTTAGGTGCATTATAAGTAAATTTTTAATGAAAAGCTTACACACGATGATGAGGCTTTATTCTGACGATATTTCGAGCAAAATTACTGCCTCTGTTCACAACAGTTAGAAATTCTTAGCAGAGATTTACTCGTACATTCAACAGTGGCTGTCACATATATAGTCTTTCCTCATTGTTCGTTAGTCTGTTTAATCAATACAATGTTCTAAATGATAGACAGTAGTGTTGATTCGCCTTTGTTGCTGCATGTGTTAGGAGTGAGATATAAGTATGGATTCTGTTGTTAACCTTTCTTTCCATTTGTTTTTGTTGGACTTTCGTGATATGGTATTGTTGTTCCAAACGATGACATTGGGTGACGGTTGCGCTATATCGAGAGCTAACAGAAGTTGGAAATATGGAGCATTGGGATATGACCCATTGGCTCAGCGGTAACGCGCTGGCCGCGAAACCTGTACGTCACGGGTTCGGTCCCTGGCGCGGCCGTGGGTTCGCACAGCTGGGGACTCCCATACTTGGGTAGGACAGCTGTCCGGTGCTCTTGGGTTTCCTTTGTTCCTCCAACTGATGTCAGTTCACTATGAATGACAACTTGAAATAAGTTTTTCGTCCCATAGTTGGGCTGGCATCGGTAAGCTTTTTCCAAATTTTTTTACTTTTGTCTCTCGGTGAACTGACTACCTTTGGTGCAGGAGACAGCAAAAGTGCTGGGAAAATTAAACCTGCAATCAGTAGGTCAAAATGGTTTGAAATTATGCCTAAATCATTGAATAAGCCTGGGATATATGACAGTATGAAATTACATAAAGGAGGTTAGCCAGTTAGACCGAAGTGGACTTCAGGAATACTCCTACATATAAGCTAACTCATATTATTATGACTAATGAGAGACAATTGACAAACGAAGTCAGTAGAATCATTCGATTTTGTGAAACGACTTAGAGACGCTAGAATGAATGATGAAGAAATATTAATGCATTTTTGTGATGAATGCGGATTTTTTTAATTTAGAAGTAGTATTCATCATGGACTGACATCAGTTGAGGAACCATTGAAAACCTGGGAGCCCTGGAGAGCTGTTTCGTCCTAGTACGGGACTCCCCAGCAGTACGCACCCATGACCCAGCTAAGGATCGAACTCAGAACCTTCAGGTTTCCCGGCGAACGGCGAACCATTGGGAACCGGCCCAGTGGCTGAATGGTGAACGCGTTCGCCCCTGAAAGCTGAACGTTCCGAGTTCGATCCCTAGCCGGGTCGTGGGCGCGTACTGCTGAGGGGTCTCGTACTAAGACGAAATAGCTGTCCGGTGCTTAGTATGGTCGTTATTATATCATACCGTCGTTGACTGAACCGAATTGATCGGCCTCTATTGGCACGTGGGCTCTTGTGCGGATGCCTCGATATTGCCAGCGTTCTAATTATGTTAAGGATGGATCGTGGCTAGCAGTAGAATCCAGAATGCACATTTCGTCCTATGACAATAGATACCGATCAATTCGGTGCAATCAACGACGGTATGATATAAAGACAATTATACTAAAAACTATACCCGTCGCATAAGAAGCTGCTATCGTGGCTTGGTGGTGTAGTGGACAATGCCCTGGAGCATCTCAAGCGATCGCTCCCGAGTCTGAATCCTGGTGAGAACAGCATCACTCACTGGTAAGCAGGTACATCCAGCTGGCAAGTCCCAGACAGGACGAAATGCGCGTCCTAGATTCTACTGCTAACCACGACCCATCATTAGCTGTCCAGTGCTCCCAGATTTTCAATAGTTCCCTAACTCATGTCAGTCCATGATGAATGCTACTTCTAAATGAAGAAATATTAGTTGCTTTTGACATCAGTAGCCGATACACAAAAATGTCAATAGAAATGGCTATTAATGCCTTAAAAAGAAGACTAAAAAAAGACAGAGGCCTAAGAGAAAGAATACAATTCTCGATCGAAGACACATTAAGCGGAGTAAAACTCTACTTAACAACGAAGTTTTTCACACTCGGTGGGAAGTTATACCAACGAAAAGAAGAAGTAACTATGGGATAACCTATCTCACCAATAATAGCGGATATGTTTTAGGATTTTTGAGAAAACAATGTCGTAAAACCAAACAAATCTTCGATTAAAAGTTGGAGGGGGGATATGCTGATGATATACTCTAGTTATAATAAATAAAAAAGATTTCGAAGGATTCCACTCACACATAAATAGTCAGGTGGGCCCAATAAAATTCACTATGAAAATAGGGAAAGGATTGGGAGAACTGACAATGTTGAACTGTAAAATTAAGACAACAGTAGACAGCAGTTTGAAAACAACACTATATAGAAAACTAACACATTCTAGAAGGTTTCTTAACTGCCAATCAGCCCATCCAACACAGTGCAGCAGGGTTAATACAGGGTATGGCAAACAAAATACGTAGACTAACAAAATGCCCTGATGACCAACGAATAGAGATGAATTTCTTGTTCAAGATGTTGTCAAAGAATCATTACCCATAGCAAATTCATTAAAGATAACATTAGGAAGAAGAAACAAAAGTCAACAACAGGAGTTAATACGAAAAAAACTACATGAAGATAGTGGTATTACCATATAAAAACGGTATATCAGAGGCAATTAAAAGAGACCTTAGAAAAGATGATATTTTCCCAGCATTTAGACCAATGAACTTGACAAAAAATAAAATAAACCAACTTAAAGAACCGGTTAAAAATTGGACACGAATAATGTGGTATATAAAATACCGCGTACAGACTGCCCAATAAACTATGTAGGACAAACATGAAGATCGTTGAAAACCAGACTAAATGAACATCAAAGATTAACCAAAGGTGGTCAGCTCACTGAGGGAAAAAAATTTAAAAAACGTTCATCGATACCAGCTCAACCATGTAACGAAAAACACAACATCGATTGGTACAACACTACGGTATTAAAGTCCAACAAAAACAAATGAAAAGAAAAGTTAATAACAGAATCCATATTTGTACATGTCACCCTTAACACATGCAGCAACAAAGGTGGATCAACACAACTGTCAATCATATAGAACATACGAAACTTTTCAGTAAAAATGTACTCATAATACATTAATCCGTTCCAGAATGCACAAACTTTTTCAATAATATATTTCAGTTGTAATACTCCTTCCATAAAGTCAATCTATGCTCCAACCAATATAATCTGTAGGCGACGGGGACTTATTTTTGTGATGGCAAAACATAAAACCAACCAACTGGATTTTCAGTATGGTCGATGTCAGCAAAGTTGGCAGAATTAGATGTCCAAAACTGAGGAGGAAACCTGAGCCTATTATAGATAGGCTGAAAAGGACAATCAAGCAATTGCATTTGCTTATTTATCAACTGTAAAACATTTCAGACATAATCTAATCAACCAATCAAGAAAAGGAACACTCAACTAGTTAATCAGATTAAAGGTGAATGTATACATGTTCAGCTCATAATTCTTACCCTATGATTCGGCCATATTGATAGCAGCTGATCTAATTCTGTTTGCTTGGCCTCAAAATTTGTCAGGGCATTTGCAAGTTTTTCTCTATATTCTGATTCATTGAGTTCCGAATTATGTAGTGCACTGCCAGTTGTTAGTTCTTTATCTGCTTTAACCGGATTATTACTATTATTGACAGATTCATGGGCTTGCTGACCTTGTGCATTGTTTAAATTTACCAATGCCTCAAATGCCGTTCCTACACCAACCATGGAGTTAACCAGCTGATTGGCATAATATCGCATCATTATTGGACAAGTTGATATACCATTGGTAAGAATGTAGTCGATATCACCTAACAGTATTTGAATCGACTGAAAACCTAGACAATAAATAATAATTCTCAATTTTTGGTGCGTCGACTGGCTCTAATGTTCAAAGATGATGACCGAAGTTGAATCAGGATTCGAACCAGATGCTTCGGAGTTACAAGCTTAGACTCTTGGTCACTTAGTCGTGAAACCGAATGGCTAATTAGGTCTTCCTCTCACCCTATTTGCTCAATATTGTGTTCATTCTTCCCGAGAATGAGTGATCCCCTACTAGCTGTTCAGCTAGGTCTTTCTCTCCCAGTAAAAGGTGGGATGAATTAAAAACGAGAAACTGAGGTAACTCGGAGGTCACTGGCTCGAATCCTACTATAATTTACGCTTTGGTTCCACTCCTGTCACCACCCTAACAGATTTACATTTAAGTCTTTTACCTTTTGTATATTGGTTGTGTTTTTCTGTTGGTGTTGAACGTAAACGTCCAAGAATAGTAAGTACATAACCCAATGGAGCTGAAACATTCAATTTATAACAGTGTCTGTTGCCATGAAGTAGTAGAGAGATGGCACGACTACCTGTTGTTTCAAGACGCTTAACTGGATCACCTTGTTTAGATTTATTCCAGTGATAATATTCAACCAAAACAGTTGATGGTGGATTGGGTGATGATAATAGCGATGACGGTGATGATGCAAAAACAGACTGGCCAGTTTCATTTCGCATTGACTGGCACTCATTGGGTGAATCGTTTCGTGATTGTAAATTGAAATCGCCAGCAAATGAAGCTGTAAAGGTAAACAATATACAAAACGTTTGTCATAATTATTCGTAATTAATTACACAGCAAACAACAAGTGCAGATTTTAGTTGGCCTGAGTAAATTATTGGGAAGCCATCCTTGATCTATGTTCCATACTCTTTGGCACTCATCAGTAAGGTGTATCTCCAGCCTCTATGAGACCATTTTATCGCTCGGGGTTCAAACCTGCACCACCCAGTGGAGCAGTCAGTGATGCCAACATTGAGCTAGTTAGGCCACTACTGACCTCCTGTAGGACTGGGTTAGATGATGATGAGTGTTATTTGGCTGGAGTCAATCAGCAGGAAGCCTCGCACCTAGGTCTCCTGAGCGAGATCGTTTAACTGAGTTCGAAAATCACATCATCTGCACACGTGACCAGCTTTGTACGCAATTCCTGGTCTACACATGCAAACAATTGGCATAACTGACAGGTCAGTGGCTTTATTCCGAACCCATTATTGATAAAGAACAAAGGAGACGGCCGTCATCCTCTTAATCCTTATGACCTTGAATGAAAAACTCAGAATGTACAGTAATTTCAAATTCCAGGCTGACTGTTTTATCGTCAGGTTTTCGAAGGCGATCGGCGGATCTTCTTAGCTAAGTGACCACACTAAAAAGTGATCAACAAAATCCAACGATGACTTAGGACCCAAAAACACAAAGAAGATTGCTCTGAAAGTGATCAGCTGCTAATCACATAACGCCCCGGTAGCTCACTGTCTACAATACTACAGGAGGTAGGTTATGGTGTCCTCCTCCCTTTAAACACCTAGAATAAGCCAAAATGCAAGCAAAGAACAGTTGTTTAATCTACTACGGGACTCGTTAGCAGTGAGCGCCTGCGACTCTGCTTTGGACCAGATACAGCTCGTGATAATTACTACCCCGAAATCAATCAATCTCCACTCATTTCCAAGGTGAATAGAGTTTTCTATTTAACTTTTTATCCATAGACTCACTGGTCGGTTGTCAAATATCAGACACCTAGATATACTTCGTTTTTTTCATACACATTGGAATGTCTCATCAATGTCAAAGATGCCGGAAAGTCCTACATTTCTCCTTTCGAATGCATAAATCAGTGGAATTCAAGTTAACTTCATAAATCGAGAGTTTTTTAAACCCCAACTGACCTGATTTTGCTGTAGTCGCTGCTAAAAAATGTGTACTGCTGCGATCATTCATCGGTACTGTCAAAGTTGCCTCTGTTTCAGGTATGTAAGAGAATCCGCGGGAATAGGATGGACTAAACGGCTTGACAACAGGTAACGGCCACTGATAAATCACTGAAAGTTGTAGAATAATTTCACACGGTTGTATACTATCACAAAAAAGATAGTGAACTGAAGATGATTGGTCAGAGGGCTGAAAAAGAAATCAATCCAATTTTTATTGGAAGTTAGTCGGTTAGGGTTTCAACACGAATTCTGAAAACATGGCCAACAACCTAAATTAAAGTGTACTGACCATTATCCAAGAAAGCATACACGACCTTGAGAAGCCGTCGGAATTGTGCCTGAATTGACCAATAAGATAAGGCATTGAATGAGGTACCCTTACAATGTGCACAACCTTATCCGGATAGTTTCACGGTATCGTGTTGACTGCAAACTCGACGGAAGGTAAACATGTTTCTACTGTGATGGTAGCGTGACCATCAACTGACACAGCTAAGTACTGGGTGTCTAAGCATTAAGAAGCGACATCCACTGATTATTCTTAGGCACTTTTCGAAAAGTTCAAGTTACGATTAAGGAAAAGAAATCACTTACAACTGCTATTCGTCTGTGTATTAAATATGTTACACAGTGAAACAGTATCAATCACCAGATAATGTTTCCAACATAATTTATGGTCCATAGTCATATCAGCCAACCCCACTGCTTTGAAACATGGTTTATATGGTTCTACCTCTTTTCCTGTAATAGGGATATAGAATTTTCCACATATCTGGAAAATGTACAGAATCATTTCTATTACATGTATTTGGTGTTGATTCGATAAATAAAGATGCGGTTATCAATCTCTACCTCCACCCAACTAAGTTAGCTCTTAATACTGTTGCTCTATCCCACCCTATTGTGTGATTGTGAGTAGTTGCGTTCAGAGCTATAGCCGAGCTTTTTTCTAAATTTCTTATCACATTAGGATCTACTAATCTTGATTTAGCTAAGTTTTTGTGCTCTCCTATTCTAATCGACCCTGATCGACTACTCTGACCTATGTATTTGACTTCGCAATCATTGTAAGGGATTTGATAGACCGAATTATTTCACATAATTGGATTAGTAGGATCTTTTAACCTACAAAGCTTGTTTCTCAGTGAGTTTGTTGGTTTAATGCCATTTAGATCCTGTATGATAGGGAGGAAAAGCTCACTAGTAGACCGGAAAATCTACGACAAGAAATTAGACATATCAAGAATACATTTTGTCTCAATAATTACCCACCTAAATTCATAAGTAAATTCATGGGAAATAGAAAAATATTAGCAGTGGAAGTATTAATCGTAATACAGGTGTCGTTAATACTACTACTACTAGTAGTAATAATAATAATAATGGTAGCAGGGTTAAGAGAGAATTCAAAGCCTCTCTTGTGTTACCATACAAGGAAGGTACCTCAGAAGCACTACGAAGAATTCTCAATAAGGCTGGGATTAAAGTGGCATTTAAACCAACAAACTCCCTCACAATGATTGCGAAGTCAAATACATAGGTCAGAGTAGTCGATCAGGGTCGATTAGAATAGGAGAGCACAAAAACTTAGCTAAATCAAGATTAGTAGATCCTAATGTGATAAGAAATTTAGAAAAAAGCTCGGCTATAGCTCTGAACGCAACTACTCACAATCACACAATAGGGTGGGATAGAGCAACAGTATTAAGAGCTAACTTAGTTGGGTGGAGGTAGAGATTGATAACCGCATCTTCGTTTATCGAATCAACACCAAATGCATGTAATAGAAATGATTCTGTACATTTTCCAGATATGTGGAAAATTCTACTACCCTTGTCACAAAGAAGGAGAGAAAATTAAGACTATATAAACTATTTCTCCGAGCTATATTGGAAACATTATCTGGTGATTGATACTGTTTCACTGTATGACATTTCGAATAAAGAGACTAAAGTAGAAGATTGTAGTACATTTCAATTCATAGGAATGAATGTTACAGAAGAAATGTACTTAGGTTACGGATAACCAACGTCTGATAAAATATGACAACATTTACCGCGATCAGTTAAAATCGACCGTAGCACCATCAAGTCTCACAGCCAGCATCTTACGACTAAAGATGAGGTTGTCAGAACACATTCCTTAGAAATGCTTAACTTTAAGTTGAAATTAGTCAATTTCATTTTCCTCTGGAATTAAGAAACTTATTATCCGATTCCGGAAACTTTATCACTATGGCTGATCCAAATCAAACCTAATTTAACAGGTCGATTTGGTTAGGATTCTTTTTCCAGCAGATAGTAAAACAATCTTGATGCTCATGTCATCCAAGGTACATAGTCTGCAGTAATGGATGAAATTCCATGCCAGTCTGCGATTTAGGAGTGTATAGTGTCAGTTGTTTGCATCTACATCTTCTCTCAGGTGGAGTTTTGATTTGCAAGCATTTCTATGTCACGTTTTCAGTACAAATCCACAAAACTGCACATTACATTCTCAGTAGATAACAAGCTTAGTCCCTAACTTGGCTTCCTATTAGCTACTTGGTTGTACAATTCAATGATATTTCACGTTCAGTGATCAGTGATTAGGCAAATATATTCAAAAAATTATATCATATTTATCTTGCAAATGATTTACACTTCGGATAAGAAATTTCCAAACTCACAAAATAGATTGTGAGCTTTAGTAATGAGAAAAATATTAGAATAAAAACAAAATGAAGTTACTTTGACTTACTTTTAAACTAGAATGTGTTTTTACAATTGAATATGTATTGGGTTTATGGTAAATGTCAATCGTCCTATATTGTTCAATGTGTAGGAAATTTGAAAACAAACAATAGTCAGATGAAAATACAGTACGATTTAACATTTATTAATATGCTTTTCAAAGGTTAGATTACGGAGCATATCCATGACATTGCACGTCGAAGAATAATTAGCTGAAATGAAGGAAAACTGCATTTTGGTTAGGATTCAAACAAATAACCTATAGCAACTAGGTTGGCGTTCCATCGACGAGTTTGCAAAGTTGAATTGCTATGCCTCATTCTTAGTTCAATTATCGTACGCCGTATCCAGCCGCCTGATAAAAGCACGCAGTGAATCAGTCAACCGTTGATTTGAAGGTTATCAGTTCTTGTATTTTTTTGCATGATACAGCTCTCCCTCCAGCTACAGTCATCACTCTTGTTTATAAAGATTTATCCATTTTACATCACCTAATTGGTAATATTCTTTTGCACATCTTATCAATCTTCTGAATATTTGAAGTCAACATAGTGAAGATTTTCAGTCATGCATTCTAAATTGGACTGAATTTCCCTTTCACCTGACAAATAAACCACTAGATAACTTATCTTTATGGTGAATTCAGTAAATATGAAATACGAAAATACAATTACAGAAACAACCTTTTACTTCAGGTATATGAATGAAATGTTTACTGTCTGCAATAATAAACATCACATATCCGAATTACTGACAGTTTTTAATAGCACTCCCCCTAAATTCGGGTTTGCTAACGAGTACGACAATCAAGGCAATTCTCATCTTCTTGACATTCCTGTGCTACCTGTGTAACCTGAATTTCAACAGCTTTTATCCAGTTAGTTACAGATGAGTATTAGTTGTAGCCTTTTTTTACAGAAAGAAACTCAAAAGTCAAAAGCTTCTCCTCCTATGTTATCTTCAACTGTGTGTATTACCTTTTGTGTATCTACCAAAGCAAGTACATTAGAAAGGCAGAAAGGACGGCCTGGTTCAAATTTTCTAAACACGCTTCAAACAGCTTACAACTCAGGAGAAACAACAAATTCAATAACGCAATAACTTTGCACGTGACTTACGCAAGACATCAGATAGACAAAGTGAAGTATACCGCGATAACTAACGAACAAACCACTTCAAATCTCCTACACTTCACTGAGACCAGAGTCATCAAATGCTGAAGATCTGATCAATGTGTTCAGAAAGAACCTGTCATCAATCTACCTTTGCCATGGTAATCTGATCTTGAACTTTGTCATAATCCTTTTCTTCAATTTACATGTGAATTCTGATTCTAATTTTCTTTAAATTATCTTTTATTCAACCTGGCATGTTCATATTGAATAAATGAGTTGAACGCAGTATATATTTTACACAACCTGCCTTCTCAAAATATCTGTCTATTGAGTTACATAATGTTATATCCTGACTTCCATGATAGTTTTTTCTATCGCTGATAACTTTCAGTGGTATAGTGTTTGCAATCATGACATTTTACTGTGATTTACTATTCCATATTACATGATGTTCATTCCGCTGTGTTCCAGAAACTAACTGAATATTCGTCCATATGAATTTATGCTAAACTTACATTATTATAATTAAATTCCATCATGGCTGGATAAACGACTAATAAAGACAATAAAAAGTTCAGTGCTTGTACATTTTATGGATACGGGTTATAAAGAGAATACAAGTAAAGCTTTTAGTTATTTGCTAAATATCATCCAGTCTTCCGTGTACTTTACATTTTGCTTGATAGACATGACAGAAGCTATGCACATGCACATTTACGAAGCGAATTTTTATATTCAGAAGAAATTCGTCCAACTTCTGTGATTATATTGACCATCAGGGTATGTAAAAATCTAACTTCAGTTTTCCATCTAACGGACTATAATTTGCATGAAGCAAGAAAAAAGACATTTGCACAATAAAGTCAGCTCATTTTGTACCATAGCCTACTACTGAAATGAAATATTAGCGGTTGGTAGGTAGCAATCGCCAGACACATGGTGGAAACAGGACATCAAACAGATATTTGTTGATCCTTTAGGATAACGAAAAAAAATACCATGTTTATTAAGGTTTTCGGATCTCTCTCCATCAGACATTTTCAACTTGATCTTTTTACCCAGAAGAAGACTGTAACTAACCCTTCCTCACCGTGGTGACTGTATATACTTTTTCTTTTTTTGCTCGCATCATCTTTTGCTGACTGTTATTCACTTTTAGCCTGACAACCCCTCCCTTTAAAGACTGTAATCCGTGAGGAAGATTTATGTTGAATAATGGAGGATTGAAACAATAGTAATAGTGGTTATAATTATAATGTTGCTAGTTGATGACGTAGAGGTTGAATGATAACAAAAAGGCTTACGTAAGATTTTCAAATCGTTTATAAGGTGCATATAGATTAAAAGAGAGAGAACTTTAATAAACAATCAAAGGACTAGGTAATATGAGTGAGAAAAGTTAATTGAAAATGTTTTGTTAAAACTTGCGATTATTAGGAAGATCACTCCTATCTGCTTGTTGTCCTCCGACCCTTCCACCACTCCAGAATTTTTCATCGTGTTAAATACAAATTGGCATTGATTTCAACTAAGATTTGTGGTTATTAATTCTGAATTTCGAATCTTCATTTAGAGTATGTGTCACCATCACCACTACTAATATTTTCTTTCAATGGTAGACTGTTTACAGCTGATGAAAGGCAGTGAGATAAAATGAGCTTACCTCACTATGGAAATGTGTTCTTTTCGCTGGATTCAAATTTGTCATGGGAACTAGATGTAGGACTACAATTTGTTAACAAAGGATCCTCTCCTCTGTTCAGATCATATTATATCTCTTATTATTATACTGTCTCCCTATTAATACATAATTCTTTACTGCAAACACGTATCCACTAGTCCAAGTTCTTCACTTTTCGTGTTTATTCTTACTCAATTGGTGAACTGACAATCTGTTATCTCTTATTTTACACTTCCATCAATCTTGCATAGTTACTTTATTTATCAATTTCTCTGTTCTTTCTTTAATTATTAGCTTCATGAGTAAATTTAAACTTGTAATTAGTTTACTTAATTAACTCATTACCACCGAATGGTATCAAGTTATTGAATATAAAAGTCTATATATATTAATGTAGAATCAATGACCAAGAACAAATTGAAAAGGAATACTTCTTTGCTGAATTCGTCTTTTAAGTATGTTAAGTGAAATGTTCAATTTGTTATGATTAACTACTTTCTCGATGGTCGTGGTTGTCAGCAGGTGGAGAGGAATCGGGGAAACGTAATGCTACCATGTTATTCAATTGAAACTGTTGTTTTTGCTCTACTTCATTGCTTACTGAAGCTGGTGTGCCTCAGGGTGCTGTACTTTCTCTTTTTCTGTTTCCGTTCTGTTTGCACGATATACCTTCTGTTGAAACTAATTTTGTTAAGTATACTGGTGACCTGATGGTGTCTGTTCCGGTCAGCGCTCACTTAAATTGCTCTGAATTAAATGGATTCTTGTCTGTAATTGACCAATGGTCTCTCTCGAATGGTCTCAAGTGAAACCCTTCTAAATGTCAAACTGTTAATTTTAGCCTCAGGCGTAAACAAGATATGTGTGAGCTGCTTAAGTCCCATGAAGCCTGTTGTATTAATGGTATTTGTGCAGAAAGTAAATCGAGTGTTAACTATTTTGGATTGAGTTTTACTTCTGATTTTTGTTGGTCGTCTCCTATCTTGTTTACTTGTAAAAAAATCTTTCGTTTTACGAAAGTGAGGCTTTCTGCTACAACTCAACCTCTACTTTTAAAATTTATTAATTCCTGCATTTTACCTATTCTTCATTACCCATTGATCTTTCCTGATCTATTAAAAAAGGATCTGAAAGTCGTCAGTAGGAAGAGTGCTATGTTTCTAACCCAAGTGACTAACACTGTAGCTGATAGACATATAAATTCCTGCAAGCTACTAGCTACAGAAATTTTAACTGAAAGTGAGCATCCACTTCATTTACAGCTCTCTCCATGTATCTCCTCACAGGGAGGACAAGGAGAAACTACATAAGACTGTATGCTCGTACAGCTAAGTACAAGAATTCAACTGTACATTACCTAGCATGCATATTATATCAGGATAAAAGTGTTAGAACAGAACTCACATATCAACTTTGAAAGAGTTAATGGTCTCATTTCAATAATCTAACTTACAATGTAAAATGTTCTCGCTATCAATGTTCTTCACATAACTTAAATTTTTATAATAAAACAATTCAAAAGGCTGCAAAGTAGTATGTATATACTTATATTTTACTGTTGTTGAAATATTTCATTGCTGGGAATTCCAAATTGTTACACAAATTGTTTCGAATAAAGTGAATCATTATTATTATTATTATTATTATTATTATTATTATTATTATTATTACTAAAACCATTAAATAGAATCTGCACATCTAGGGACTGAGTGATCGAGTAAAGTTTGAACTGTATACTTGATTAGCGTACATAATAAGTCAATCTAGGTGTGTAACTTCTAGGGTCTGCAATCAACTTAATATTTGTGTTTTGCTGAAAAGAATAACTTTAAGTCAGTCCTATTACTCATCCAACTGATGCTTTTTTCTCACATAGGTACTTAACGGTCCATATTTCCTTTTTCCGAAAACGACACATTTTGATACCACAGTTCACATGAACAACGAGTTTCATCATTAAAGAAGTTTTGAAAACGAAGTTAGACCACAGTTTCAGAATCCCTCCACTCTAATTACTTTGTTTGTTGTTATTAACGGAGTGGAAAGTCGAAAACATATTCACTAGGATCCTAAATACCAAGATAGGCCGGTTATTGTAAATCTGATAAGTATCAAGCTTTGGATAGGGAGCTAACACTGTAACCAATTAGCCCTGAGGTTTGGGGAAATTGGTATTGAATCTCGACTCCTAATTTGAACATAAAAGTGATGGTTTATTCGGCTGATGAGTCTCAGGAGAGATAAAACATGCACACAGCATTTTACTGTTACTTCTAATCAGAATAATTCTAAAATTTAATTAAACTTATTCAACATTCTCTGTTCATTGTTATGTAGTTTTTTTAGCCGGTAAATGACAATACTCGCTAATTTATAATCTCTAGTCGATGTGTATGCCTAGCCCGATGAGAACGATTTTGATTGCTCCGTTTATTTTGACATCTTATTTCCGAAAAATCCCTACCAGTAAACTAAGATATAAACATTTCCCTCTAAAGTTACGTTCTGATATGGTGTTGTATTCTAATTTACACAGCAGCTACCTACTAAATTTCTTCCAACTGAAAAAATACTACGTTTATAGAAGTGTATCGAAGCTAATCAAGTTGTCAGATAAACCATGATGACACATTTATGTTTGTTTTCGAACCAGTATCGTTTTATTTCACCAACGTGCTTCAACGATGTATGTGACTTAGTTATGTTTAGGCACAAATACAATTAACTTAAGTGATTGGACACAAAGAGGGATAAAGTGTGAGAGTTTTTAACTGTCAATCAAGTAAAATTCAGAAATGATTGACAAGTGAATTCCCTTAGACGATGTGGGTGGTCTGCAATGCTAGAGTATGGCTGCAAAGTAAGAATTGCTTGATCATGTTAACCTAGTTGCATGATTAGGCTGTCACAATGTTACCAACCAGCAATGAAAACTAGTAAAAGGTGCAGAATACTTATTCCACACAAGCTTTTATGTAACGGGGTGATAACTAAATTTCAAACAAAAAAATGGATCTCAATAGGATTCTCACTTATTGACTCCAGACCACTGGTTCAGTATTCAGCTAACTCAATTTACGATATCCACCTCCAAGTGAGGGGAAAGATTTGTAACTCAGGATGAGGATGATGATGTTTTGGTATTCTCTGACCTTTGTTATTTTGTCTTGGACGTCTCGCCACCAGGATTGGTGATATCTCTAGCACTAACTTCATAACTTTTTCATGAAGTAAGTGCTGAAGATATCACCAATCCTGGTAACGAAACGTCCACGACAAAATACCAAAGGTCAGAGAACACCAAACCACTATCGATATCAGCCTGCTTATGAGGTCTCAATTTTGCTTTAGTCATCTACAGTTTCGCTTGGTTATCATTTTAGTGATTTGATAGGGCGCCAGATCGGTAATCTAGAACCCAATGGTTAAAATCCCTATATAAACCAGATTTTCCTTTCAACTCTACTGGTTACCCAAATAGATAAAAGCTAGTTTCCAAAAGTACAACAATCTCAGATATATACGCTATGCTAGTCTGTTTTACTTTCTTATTGGACGAAATATCAGCGTCATGAATCATTTAATAAGAACAATGACTTACTTAAATATTTCACAAAATTCATTTATATCAAGCCAGATTTCTTTTGGACATGTCGCAGAAACAGATTTTCCTGACGCAATCTCTGATATAGTCTCTTCAGCAGTTGATTTTAAATGACTTGATTGTAAGGAATCACTTGCTCGTGAACTGGAATTCTGTCCACCAGCTGTTTCTGTAGTTCGACTGCTGCTTTTAACTTCTTTTGACTTGCCTCCTGAACCTAAAATAAACATTTTACTTCATTTAAAAATGAGAAGTTAGATTAAACATAGCACTTACAGCGGAAGGCCTACAAAGTACCGACCAACATAATCATTTCACCCCAGAATACCATGACACGGTGCATTAACAACGTTTGAAAAGGAATACAATATACTCAGATACTATTGTTGACAAAATATTTCTTCAACTGTTACATTCAGCCCCGGGCACCTGAGTTTTCACATTTGTCCAACTAATGATATAGTACAAACTTCAAAGTCCTAAAAATCCAGTCAACTTCAAAAATTCCTATTTTCTCTTAATTTTCCTTGACTGTCAGTTTGAAATCAGTCACTAGAATGCATTTAAAACTTTTCTGCGCCTCTGAGTTCATGGGTCTCCGTAAACTTCAATGCAAATCTGGTTGAAGTTCAACACCATTCCAAATAGATATTTAGTGAAATTAACCTTATCATTCAAAGCCTAAATCAAATTGTTAGTAATCTGCACTACAGTTCATCTCACAGTCGTTTGAACTATATTGTCAATTTTCCCTATCATTTGTATTTCGTCGCCAAAACAGAAACTGCGCTTAGTTCACAGTGACTTCAATTTATTCAGCAGTCTCTGATTAGTCTGATTGTGCGGTTAACTTATTCGTCAGACCAGCTAAAATGAACTAGTTCACCGCGTTTCTTTTTGCATTTTTAGTGTAAATTAGGTGTAAATATAGAGTGACTTTAAAGGCCACCCTAGCCACAACTGAAACCCACCTTTCAGCCAAAATGAGGAACATAATTGGTTATTTTTATCGTTGCTAGGGTGGTCTTTAAAGTCGTCCGTAAACATCTTAGTTCTAATGGTAAAATAAGCATAGTAGGTGAAACATAGTCACTTGAATTCAACTTATACCTTAGATTTACCACGATGGCTTATATCCTCAGTAACTGTAATAAGAAACCAAGCATATCAAGACTTTCCACATATTCACTTTTGAGGTTTGTGGGGATTTATTGATTCCAGGTTGGTATTCATTATGAACTGACATCAGTTGAAAGAACAATAGAAACCTGGGAACACTGGACAGCTGTTTCGTCCTAGTATGTGACTCATCAGCAGTGCACGCACAGAGCCTTCAGGTTCCGCGGCTAGCCACGGGGTCATAATCAAATAGTCCATATTCCCTACTTCTGTCGGTTCACAATATAATGTGACCTACATCTAATGTCGTCGTTGAGTAACTGTTCTTATGTTCGACTTGGTTAGCCCCACTGTTCACGACTTCTCATTGGAAATTCGAGAATCACCTCTCGAAGCCATTTAACAATGAGCACTAGATTAATTCCATTTTGAGGCTTGTGGGTTCGGTCCCTAGTGGGGTCATGGGTGCGCACTGCTGAAGAGTCCCATACTGGGACGAAACAGCTATCCAGTACTTCCAGGTTCTTAATGATTCTCTCATTGATGTCAGTCCATGATGAACACCAACCTTTTCACACACATTTTAATCATCTCAATAGGATATTATCACATAACACAACACCATTTGCTGAATAAGTTGGAATAATTTTGTTTCATTGGCCCCTCATCAGCTACATACTGCCTGAATAAATAAGTAATTACCGTGAAAATTTTGACATACTTCATATGATGGATCTTGAGATGTCAGAGCTAATGATTCTGAGATTAGGAGAGAAGATACCTTTTAATTTTACACTAAAAGACACTAAAATAATATAGTGAAATCAAGCTTAGAAATACCTACAAGATTGAGAAAAGAATACTCTTGAAAGAAAATAAATCTTTGGAAGCGTGTGGTCAGGGTGGTTCTGATAAAAAATGTCATTCATTACCAGGGCAGTAACTGTCTTCTATTGTATACAAAATTCATTATGAATTTGTCACGTAGAAATGGATTAAACAGTTCAGAGAACACAACTTTTGTCATTTAGCTACTGGGAAACACTACAGTTCCTTGGTTCGATGAACTATCGAAATGAGATCTTTTTGTACTTGCTTCTGTATATAAATGTGAGTTAATAAATACAGTTGGAGTTAACAAAAGTTGGGGATATACGTAATTTGGACTGCATGATTCAGCTTATTGTTGGTTACAGTGCGTCTAGCCTTACAGCTGGACAGATCCTAGACAACCCGAACTTAGTTCGTCTAACCAAGACATCTTCCACTCTGAAGTTCAAGACAAAAACACTGGTTTCTTGTCTACCATGCTGTTTTCTCATTTCTCCTCCTTACTTCATTAGCATTGTCCCATGAACTTCCCTGGATATTAGGTAAAGTGTTCACAATACTCAGTCGGTTGAAGTCCCGCTTCTAATTTTCCATGGGAAAGTACTGACTTAGAAGCAGGGAGGAAATGTTGTTCAGTAATCGAAATTACAAGAACAAGATGCGGCGCTTGCAACCTAGTTGTCTAACAAACACTGCCTTTCGTATTGACGTAACGGGTGTTGAGTTCAAGTATTATTGGGAACACCAACAGTATATGTGATACCGTAGCTAGGGTGAAACACCCATTCTGGATTCCTCCATCAGTCTTTGCCAAAAAGGAGGAAAAGACGGATCGAAACACGACGGTTCAGATGAGGGTTTTAAGTAGACCAACAAAAGAACTAATTAAACTGACAGTGTTACAGAACTAAACATAGGATATTTACCGTGGTGCATAAATGCTAAAAAAAGTTTGCTTCTGCTTATCTAGGTTGAGTTTGAGTCATTTGATAACCATTGCTTCAGAAAAATGTGGGGGTTAGTTCTAGTTCACTTGCTTCCTGATAACTTTAAACGATTTTTCGTTATTGAAACCATATCTACCTTCAAGTAAGTGATGGACATTTTCAATGCGGAAAAATTCGGCATTGTTTAGTCACAGAGTTTTCAGAAAATAGTATAGCATACGGTCATGAACTTTCCTATCTTTTGCAGAAATGTATATGTACAGCTGACGCGAACCAACAGATGTAGCTGGAGGAAATATTGGAGAAGAAACTATAGGCTCTCAACCATTTAAACAATCAGTTACTGTGATAAAGAACAATTAGTCTAAAAGATGGGTGAGCTGTTCAAAGAATGTTACTTATTCTGCAGCTGGTTCTCAAACAGGTTGCATCATTTTTTTAAGTATCGCGGATTCACATGACAGCCGGGCAAAACCTTTGGTGAATTAAGAGAAATTAAGATCTGGTCAGCAACTGGGGCTCGTAGGTCAGTTGATAGACAGCCGGTTTGGTAACCCGAAGGCCAGTGATTCGGACCCTATAATGACCCAGGTTTTCGCTTCATTATATATGATGTACTTATCTACACTATAAAGGTTATTTCATCTATTCTGCGTCGAATATTCTTCTCTCCAATAGACTACCTATAGCAACTCCAAAAACTTGACAGTATGAAAAGTTGAGTTTAAAATCCACACCGTTACTAAATATTTGTAGATTGATGACATCCTATTTATAGCAAAAGGATAAGACAGAAGCGCTGACTGACAATATCAGTGGTTCCCTTTAGAGTAGTCTCTGTAAATTTCGAGGCTGCATTAAAGAATATCCTAAGTTCCTCAGAGATATATGTGCTTTCCAACTGTTTGTTGACTTGAAGTTGTTTTTTTTAGATTGAGAAAATTCTAATGACATCTTTCTTTCAGTATTCTGATGGTTTAATGAACCACAAAGCTCTGTGGAGAAGCTGATAATAAACGCGTAACTAAAACATTTCCAGCTGGCAAAGAAACTGGGTCAGAAAATAACACCTATAATTGTTGCTTTACATAGAAGTGAGAAATAGACCCATAAAGTTTCAGAAAATATATGGTTTTTTGTAAACGACTGAAGGCAGTTGGCATTCATCGTAAAGTCATGCATGTGAATACTCTAATACATATTCAAAGCCTTAGAATCACATTATCTAGAGTTGTGAACCAGTAACATAACAAAATGAGGCCAATAACTCACCACTGCGAGGTTAATTCACCTAGCCTGCAGGTCACATTACTAACCTGAATAATGAAATCTGGTCGGTAACTCAGATCAGACTACACGACAGTAGTCATTTAGTAACGTAGGGGTAAGGTGTGAAGTTTTAAGCAAGAAAAAGGTAAAGTTCTAGACCTTCATTGACTTCGATCGGTTATGCATGCTTAATCACCAACTTCTCCCCCGCGTAACGTTAATCGAAGTAGGTTTAGGCTGGAAAAGGTTTGAGGCTGAGGGACTAAAATGTGAAATCAGTTAATGTAGTGTCGGACTGTTGATGTGAGCTGAATGGGGAAATGTAGATTTGCCCGTCGGCACTCCCAAACTAACCGGAACTCGTAGTTGGAGACTAGGCGCCATGGTTGAGAATCTATCTCAGTGCCGTCAATGCACACACACACACACTTTATCTACATCATAATCTTCAAATCACATTTCGTTATTTGCTCGACCTCTATTTTTCACGTTGATGTCTTTTATTTTGATGTAGTGATATCAGGTGTGACAACCATTAGGAAATAGTGCCATACCTCACGTTGAAACTAACTTGTCTCAACCAACACGTCACTATAGAGTTAGCTATTAATTTACCGAATTAAGTCCTGCAGGAAGCCAAACGTCGTCCCAATAACTCATTTTTGACTTCAATACTGAAAGATTAGAGCTTGTATCCATATGAATGAAGCACTAGTTCAACTTAAATCATAAGATACACTTTGCTGATGAGGACCAACAAACGTGAAACCAGAAACAGACATGACTTCTTGCAGACTTCTTACAACCTTGTAACAATATTTACACTGCCTAAAATATAATCTTTTATAGAATTACTCAGTAATTACAGTAAATAATGTTTTCACAACCCACCTTTCTTTTGTATATCTTCTCGTGACCCTCTTTTCTAAAACCAGAATAATGTGGAAAAAGGTGAAGTATACTTACTGTGCTCAAACCAATTTGCAAAACATTTCAACAGAATGCTTGAACAGATATTCAGGAAGCATAAATTGATAGTGAAAATATTTTACACGTTCGTAATTACCTTCTTAACACGGTTCTACATAAAAGCGAAGATGAAAACAGATACACTAAACTTAAGAAGATGCCTTTTTGCATACCTTACATTTGTTGATTTACATTTACAGAAATTTATTCTGCTATAACGATACTCAGCGTTTTGTGCTTGGAGTCATTTGGGAGGGAATCCTGATAAGGGGTATCCTTAGTTTTGAGGAAACGTGTGTTCACTGCTTCACTGTTTCCAGGCTACCGGCTATGTCATTACTAAAAGGTCTCAGCAAAGAGTGACTTGTCTTTCGTGGTAAAGGACGGCAATAGCACTGAACATCAGAACTGAAACTGTCATCATCTAGTATTCCAAGTAGACCAAAATTCAAGAAAGAAAGAATGTGGCAATATAAATGAAAATCTATCACAGACATAAATATCTTCAAAGAACAGATTCCATCTACACACTCACGAAAAAACCTGTGGTTTTTGAACTGTTCCGGATCAAAAATGTTATTAGCATGTGCGGATAATCCAAACAAATACTCAAATGCTATATTTACAAACCTCCCATCTTTATTACACCCGTAAGTAATTGTGGATGTCATCAGTGAGCACTTGACGGTAATTCACTTTGAAGGCCTAACTGCTGGTGATGAATACCATCTCGAAATTGCGGATGTTTTCGGTAATTTTCTGTCTCTTTAAGAATGTCACGGGTACTGATACTGTACCAAGTATTAGTCACTAAAAGGTAACCGACTTAGCTAAGAATTCTTAGTTGTCAGGAGGCTAAGTTGGCTTAAAAAACCAAGTGACACAACCCTACCAGAACAGAAATAGGCGCGTAAACAAATTCATTTATAATGCAGCTTTGAATCTTTCAATTAAATCACGATGGTTTGCGTTGTATCTCTAACACAGTGTTAGAATGAATGTAATATTATAAGTGGCCTTGAAGCCCTGGTTTTGACGTGCACTTGACTCAGGTATTTGATGAAGTATGTTGTAAGTATAACATTTCTTTCTGCTCTATCTGTCTCCTGTTTAACACCATTGGTTTGCACATACATTTGTCTGAAAACATGGATACCTTGATAAAATTCAACATTACTTTCACATTTCTAGTGCTGATTTACTTCCTTGGAATAAGTGTAAAATCTGGATCCTGTGGAAGGCTGTGATTCCATATTAGATTTGTTGATTTGATATACAGCACACAGTGATAGAGTATTATTTACTTGATGAAGTTTCGAGCATGAATTATTACTGCTCATAATCTCATCAATGTCACAACACCACTTTCGACATCTGATTTTTATAGTTCTGTCACTTCATACTATTCCTCTTTACTGGTAGTAAAATCCTCCATATCTCTGGTATAGGTGTTGTATCATTCATATCATATATGTTACTCGTTGATTCGGTGAACAAAGATTTGGTAATCAACCTCAGTGTCCCTCCACCTAGTTATATTTGACTTACGTACAGTGGTTTTATCCCATCCTACTGTGTGGTTGTGTAAATGGTGTGCATTGCAATAGCCCATGTTTTCCTAGATTCTTGATCTTATTCGGGTTTGTCATTCTATATTTAGCTGGATTCCTATATTCCACTAATGTAACTGACCCGATCGGCTAGCTTGACCCATGTACTTGACCTCAGAGTCATTGCATGGAATTTGGTAGATTAGGGTACTTTGCTTGATTGGATCTGTTGTATCCTTAAGTTGACAAAGCTTTTCTCAGAATGAGTTTTTAGGTTTATACGCTACCCTAATTCCAGCCTTGTTGAGGATCCTACTTAAAGTTTCTGATGTTCCTTCCCTATATGGTAACACAATAGAGCCTTTGAACTTATCTCTACTCGTGTTGTTGCTATTATTCGTACTCGTGTGACTGTTATTATTTCGTTTCTCACATGTTCGTACGAATTCCTTAATAAACTGTGAAGGATAATTATTATTTATTAAAGCTTCTTTTATACGTTTCAGTTCCTTGTTTAAGTCCTTACACAGACCAGTGAGTTTTTTAGCTTTATTATTTAGACGTTTGACTGAACCCGCCTTAACTGACACTGGATAAGATGACTTGAAGTCTAGATGCCTGTTAGAAAGTGTCAGTTTTCTCTAGATGGTAGTATCCAAACCACCGTCTATCCTTCATTTTATTCTACAGACCAACATAAGTAATTCTCTTTGCTCATCCTCTACCTCGTAAGTGAATTGGATTACATCTACCACTGAGTTTCTATGTGTGAGAAAACTGCCGATTTGTTCTGAATTCAACAAGATAAATGTATCATCCACGTATCGCCAGCATATCTTAGATGCAGGATTAAACCTTTCTGAAGCCGTGTTTTCCCAACTATCCATGAATATATCTTCTTCGACTGGGGATATTGGCGAACTCATTGCTACTCCTTCTGTTTGTCTATATATTTTGTTCTAAAACTTAGAGACTATGGAGGTCAGGCATAGCTGTACGCCTAATATGATCTTATCAACTGGTATCTTAGTCCTATGAATAAGTTCTAAGTCAGTATTTAGTTGATTTCTGACTGCTTCTGGTGCCATATTCATTGGTATTTTAGTATACAGACTTGTTACATCGAAGCTAAGCATTTTTTAATCCTTTTAAATATGTGGGTCATCGATTTTTAGTTTTGACTCGTAAAAATTGACTAGTCTGCAATTTGAAGGGTTTCTAATAAGACATAATATTGATGCTAAGTACTTTGCTCGTCCAAATGTTGAGGGTATTTCGGAAGTCAGCTATTGGTCTGGAATATAGTTCATTAATGATATATTTCTTCCACTATATAACTGAAGTAGACAACTTATTTAACCGTTGTAAGGGTGTGGATTATTTGAAACAGTTGCGGCAAATTACTATTTGCTGATATGCTTGTAATTCTCTGTTGCCTTACTGGATCGAATTGTTCGACCTCTGTTGGCACATGGGCTCTCATGAGGATACCTCAATATTGCCTGAATATTTATCACGGTAATTTACTTGGTTGTGGCTAGCAGAAGAATCCAGGAGGGGCATTTAGTCTTATTCAGGACTCATCAGCTGGATACACCTGTACCCCAGTGGGTGATGTTGTTCCCCCTGGGACTGGAACCTCATACCGATCGCTTCAAACGCCAATTCCACGTTCCTGCTAATGTTAAAGTTTACCTGGGATTTAGTCAGACTCTGATTATTTAAAATTGATTCCTTTCTACGACGTCCAGGTGAACCTTGGGGACTGGATCTACTGCCTTTCACAGTTCCACCGCCAATATGTCTTCCTGTTTCAGGTGATGAACATGAGGCGTAAGGTGTTTCAGCAGTCGAAGTTGATAGACTTGTACTGGAAACGGAAGAAAAATAATATTTTTTGAAATCGTAGGTTTGCTACCACAGAACTAAATTTGAAGTAGTATATTGCAATATTAACAATAAAATCAATCAGCTCAAATACAACAGTTCGCATGCTTTCTCACAATAATTCTAAGTATCTTCTAGATAAGAGAAGTGAATTGAAACAATGAGTAGGTTTGTGATTGGCAAACTTTTGCTGGTTGACCTTGAGAAACATTGAACAATCCATTCAGATTACTTTGACGATACAGCGGCGTAAATCGAAAATTCTAACTCGTAAACCTCCAGCCGTAGCAGCTAGTGATTTAAAATATTGGTATCAATTTTTGCCCCACTTTATCAAGTAAGGGTTAGGCTTAGTTTGAACTTCAAAGTAAATGACCACTGAAAAAGCTTATTTAACAGAAAAGTTCATGCTACGTTAGTTTTACTGCTGAGTTTACATCGGAAGATTTAAACCAAATACTTTTCCAGCTGGTCATAAATTCCACTGATTTCGTCGGAAATTTTAGCGGAAAATAAGTACAGTCGCACTATTTAGGTCGTTTCAGCTTGTACTAGGTAGTAACCAGCGTTGAGCTGTGATCATGAATATCTACTGCATACAATCTGACCAATAATCCAGATGACTGGTCTATGTAGGAAACTGCATTTGTTGCTGAAAATTGTAATACAGTTTCAGAAAACTGTGTTTGCATTCTCTGCCTGTGGAGGACAACAGTTGTTTTCGTTAGGCCCCAAAAAGCTGTAACTAAGTAGTTTTGACTTTGGAAGACAGCATTGTTCTCAGTTCACAGCTTCATAAACCATTTGTCATTGAGTGCTGACAAGTAAGAAACTCAACCATTCATTTGTGTAACCAAAGGGATTGAACACTGCGAAAAAATGTAACTCCGCTTTATATTAGTTTATTTGATGTAGAAAGTAGAAGAACAGTACTATTTACTGGATGATATTCGGAGCACAACTTACTCTGAAAATTACAACAAGACAATATTGTCTCCTATCAGATTCCCTCAGGCTTGACTCCAATATAAGTAGCGTTTAAATAAATCAAGGTAAACTTAACATGTCCGTTTCCCAGTCGAGAAGGTAGATTTCTGGTAACGCTTTGGTTCGTAAGTTAATCAACTTTTCCAGTGAGGTTCAACCCCTCTTCTATATAGAGCTGAGAATACAGGAGAGAGAGAGAGCAACAAATCCCATGTTGTCTAGTCCTAAGTTTGGATAGAATTCCATCGATCCTCTTGTAATGCGACCACCAGACTAGAAGACTCAGTATCACTACAGATTTTCTCTAAGATGACAGGAGACAACCCAGGTTTCAGATATGGCTTGACAGGGAGTGTCGACAAGCATGAAATTTACTTCCAGGACCTTCTGGTGATGGCTTCCAACCATCTAAAATCAATTGACACTATATTGTATTCAAATGAAATTTGTGTAGTCTTTATTTCTGCCTTGGTCAGGAAGACTTGATGACCAGTCTTCAATATTAGTTTTATAATGGTCTTACTTTTCTTTTCACTTTTGTCACCTGTCTTACACCCTTACTACATTTATGTCCTAACTTTACTTATCCACTAACTTCGTCCTTCAGAACTACACAACTATGCTGTCCTTTACAAGCTCTCACCTACTTTGTCTGTCTGAAAGTTTGTTTACATTACCATTCCGTTCACAAGATTCGTAGTCACTTATTCTACCACTAAACTCATTATTGTTATTATCGTTGACTGACAAATTATTCTGATTGATTTGCACATATATCAGAGTAAGGCCGGAGGTAATCTGATCTAAAACAATGCTGTTCGTTTACATGTCTTGTCACAGTTTGTTGTTCAGAATCATATCAAAGTAATTACACAACTTCTAATGTCTGGTTTTCACAGCCCTTCTACTTGTCATGCCTTGGTTACATCGACAATAGGACCTTCTAAATATTTCGAATCAATGCAGCATTACTTGTGTTTCATATGATGGAGGCTGACAAAACGAACAGATATTCAGCAGTCAAGCCTTGTTTCTTTCCATCTTAGTTCCTGGGTCTTTTGGATTAATTCTACGTTGTGTCCTGTTGTTTCATTTTGTGACACTACGTAGATTATAGTAGCCAAGGTTTTCGCCGAACTGTTTATCTTATTCGTGTCTGTCATTCTAAACTTAGCTAAGTTTCAATGTTCTACAGGCTAAACTAACCCCAGTTGATTCATTCCAAATACTTATTTGACCCTATTCATAATCATTGCATCCTATTTGGTATATATAGCTTCATTGGGTTAGTAGGATCCTTACGCCGATAAAGTTTCTCCTTGTGAAAGTTTGTAGATTTAAATACCCCTCTGCTTTCCGTTTTGTGAAGAATTCTATAAGACAGACACTGAGGACAAGGGAGAAACAGACAGGCATTCAGTCCATTAGGCTGAATTCCAATAGTTTATTTTTCTAAATACTGTTGACTTTTGGTACCAAGAATGAACAAAATAGAGAAGAACTTACACTATTTTCTCTGGTTCATAGAAAATATGCTCTTGTACTGGTGTCCACAAAAGTAAAGAGCGTATGGGTTCCTTTTCTTTTTTGTCACCTTCATCCTCTTTATCCAGTGATTTAAACGGGAAGTCTAGTGGTCTTGGTCTAATCAACTTCCATGTAGGTATAGCCTTTTCCGGAGTCGGTGGAATAATCGGTATAGTCCGACGTTTTGCAATGCAGACTGGATAAGCATCTGGATAGGTGAATCCAAATTCTTTCATTTTCACTGCAGTCTCCGTCTAAAAGTAGAAGAAATTACTCAATTGTCTTTCTAAGTGGTGCATTGTGCATTAACCCGTGAATAGTTTCAGTATGTCACAGTAAATAAAGGTTTGACTAACCATACAGTTGTAAAAGGTGTTGATTCCTCCCTCTTTTCATAAAATATCATTTGACGGACAGTGTGCTGGCCCAAGGAAAATCATGTTCACATTCTAATTATTCCTACAACACATCTTAAAGGATCGATTTTCTTATACAATTGTTCAAGGATACGAATAACTGTTGCAGTGAACTTTGATCTGAAGGAACAAGACAGCATGGATCTCAGTGTGTTTCTGATATATCTTCCTGTATTTTATCGTAACTACTTTCAATAAAAAAAGATTTTTATGTCCGTAAGTTAATTATTCTTTCTGTAGTAAATGCGAGTAAAAAATATGGGAGTCTAACCAACAAGTTAGGCCACATCAGGTCAAGCACTTGTCGGTTTGAGAAACTGAGACATTAGTCAGTGTAAGGTAGCTGGTGAACAACGCAAAACTCATTCAAGTCACCTCTATTTCCCGTCAACAAAGAAGCAGATATGGGAGGAATAAATAGTATGAGCGAGAGTCCTTTTAAAGCATTTATCCAATTTACTAGTATGTACAGGAGAATATTGCACTTCATTTATCGGTTGCACTAATGAGAATGCCTTCTCATCAGTGATTATGAATTGTAGATATACGACAGGCAAACTAGTAAAACAAGCATAGCCTTCTCATAGGTGTTTATATTCTGTCTACTTGACTGTTTGACTTTATTTTAACTGACTAACTAGTAATTTACTTTTTCCATTGAATAGCTGCTAGTGTTTTGTAATTTTGGTGAACCCAATTAATTTTCAGGCCTTAGATTAGTAGAGACACGTATGCATGATAGATTTTAAAGTGTGGTTCTGATGAATCCACTTTACAGTAATGACTGGACTAATTGAAGCAGAAATCATTTTAAGTTGGAATTCATTATAGACTGACATCAGTGAAGGAACATTGGAAACCTGGGAAAACTCGACAGCTGTCTCGTCCTCATATGGGACTCCTTAGCAGTGCGCACCCATGACCCCACCAGGGATCGAACCCAGGACCTTCGGGTCCTATGGCCAGCACGTTACCATTGAGCTAGTCACTGGGTTGGAACCAAACAGTCCACAAATGCATGTCACCAACACCCCCCCCCTAATTAAAACCGTGGACTACATTACGAACAGTTATTGGAGAGGAAATTAGATATTGACATTCTGATTATGAATTTGAAGGAACTGTTGCTAAAAGGTAGAATGAATGTCCAGTCCATTTTTAATAGTAATTTTAACAGGCAAATTGACGGAGTGGCTATGAGATCTTCATTAGGCCCAATACTTATGGATATATTTCTGGCAAAACAGAAACATCATCCTTTGAAAGATGAAATTATCAATATACAGTTGTACTATCGGTAGTTTTTCAGTCTGATAAATCCCTATGCATTAATTCTGTTATAAATCACTTCAAAAGTGCCCATCCATCAGTTCATTTTACTTTTGAAAATGAGATCAATGGTTCAATACATTTTCTTGACCTGCTAACAACAAGAAAAGAAGACGGCTGTATACTGAGTAGTATAAATAGGCAATTCACGACTACGTCACAGTATACAGACTTTCTCAGCCGCGTGGTGATAAAGTACAAATGCAATGTAACCAAACAATTGTTGCTTCGGTTTGGGAAAGGTGGACTGAAAGTGGTGAAAAATTCTATCTTAGCCCACCTGGTAGATAAAAAGCTTCACATCGATGCTAATATGGCATTTACTTTTATAAACCGTATTCCTAGAAAATCATCACATGTGACTCGCCGTCTTTTCAACATTGCTGACACTACAGGAATAAGACTGATCAAGCAGGAACTCCGTATTCAGAAGGAACATGTACCGCCATTAGTCTGCTGTTCACCTTTGATGAAATAAAGTCTACTCCCACATTTGCTGACTACCCTTATCTTAATTAATAGATGGAGTACACTTCAGTCTCACGACCAGCTAAAGGAAAACTGAATGCTTAAACTGACCAGATATAACTCCAGTTTTACAATACATTACGGTATGGTTTTACCGGCTACTTAAGCAAATCATAACTATTCATAACCGATGAAGCCTATCTATTAGCAAACACTGAGATGGCACTGTAGTGAATTTTAGTCAGTGTGAGTTATTTCATATAGGTGACATGCTAAAGCTGTAAAAAAATCAACTAAAATATGTATGTAGAACACAGTTCAGTACAGGGTCAGCTATGGTAAGTAAAAATAATTGATACCATCTCTAACACTGATCCACACATTGGTAAACCTCTTAAAAAGCTCGATTTTCCACTGGTGGAGAAATACACCTTTGCAAGTAGTGCATATCAACATCCAAACCAGATTCCGAGTCCCCTACCCATTTCCATATTAAATTTCTAACTTCAGTTTTTTCTGCTCTTTGGTTTCAAAATGAAATTAAACTTTACAGTTAATACAGAAATTTAATGACAAATTCTAAGATATTTTAAGGTATATATACTGTAGGAAATGCACTCATTGAGTCATAAGAGGAATCGGCACAACTGTGTATGTCCATTAGAATTCCATAGGACTTAAATGTTAAATACAACTATTTTCTACAATGAAAAAACACGTCATACAGTTGTGTAAATTTGATAGATAACGGTACAATGGATTATTTTTGAGATATAGTTTAGATAACAGGTGATTTTGTTTTTCAAGGCTTTCAGTAGTTTAACAGACACTGGAATTAACACTTAGAAACGTAATGATAACTAGTGAATATTAGGTTAAAAACGAGAGAGAAAAACTAGATTTAAAGTGAGCATTTACGATAAACAAAAAGCTCACTGGAATACGTAAAATACAAGTCAACTGGTAGTCACTGAAGGACCGTGACATGACCCATTTATTTCTGTATGCATAGTTCCGCCGTCATCGGAAGGATGACAGTCTTACCGTTTTATGAGACCTAATTTCTTTCATCCTTGTTGGACAGATAAATTAAGAATCGATTAGTAGGAAGTCTGGCTGAGCCCAGGTTTTTTGCTTCTTACCACTTATTATCACAGTGTATCCGTAACCTTGAAATCATCCCTGTTCCTTTGATGACGTGAGCCCATACGCTTCAATTTCAGACTCGGATGCTTCACCAGTAATCTTCGTGGCCCACAAATGTTACTCTGTAGGATTAAAGTATGTGCACTAATCGGTTACTAGATAATTATCATTGTAGCTTTCCAGTCCTCAATGCTAAGCATTTGGCCGAATTTCCTCTGATCAACTCACAGCATCTAACATCAAACTGTAGGGAACTCCAGTGTTGAATCACTTTGGTTTATTGGTTACGTTACCAGCTTGGCTAATAGGATTCAATCAATGCTGAACATAAAGAACATCACAGCTGCATGCTCTACCATTCGACGAACAGTTCTAATGATAAGGTATCTTATGAACTAGTGAGAAGATAGATTTCATACCGAATATCTGATCAGTGCAGATAGTATCGAGCTAGTAGGCTTTTTTACTTCCGCTTTCGCCAACAAATGTGTTTCAGTATATAATTCTTTATTGGTTATAGAAATCACTGTAAAATAAAGTGAAACACTATGCAGCCTACATCCCAAATGTCACTGTCTAGATTTGTGTATCCAGTTGGTGAGACAGAAAACTTGAAAATAAGCAATGTGTTACAACTGAAACATGATAAATCTAACAAGTGTTTTACCTTTAACTCAGATGGAACAATACACGCCAATGATGCAACAGTGTTTTTACATGACGCAAATATTAAAGTTTCTGGAATTTTAGAATTTAATTCATCCACTGAATTATGTGCAGCTAGACAAAAACAAAGTATAAAGAAAATCGTAGGTTAGAGAATATAAGATCTTTTCGAGATTGAGAAAAGGGAAGAGGATTTGCCACAATTCAATCATGGTAATAGTGGTTCTTAACTACCCTGTTTCAAGAGCATGTGGTCGTCTTTGCTTCAAATGAATGTTTAGACGACGAAATATGCTTATTGAGTCTTAAAAGAAAAAAGAAACAATTCAGTGACTAGTGTTTTCCTTTCCGATGATGTCATTTTCTGAACCTGTGCAATCGTATGTACATCACAAACATACAAGAGTTTATATTAAAGAACAATAGGGTATAGCTGCATCATTAGGCTGAAATGAAGAGTGGAAATGAGTTGCACAGTAAATCTATCAGACAATTCAAATAACAAGAAAGGCAATGAGCTTGACGAGGTAAACATTTTGGATAAATGTGAAATATAAAGATTGTCTGTTTACTTGAAAGTGAAGAAAGAACCAAGGGTCAAAATGAAGGTGGTAATAGTAAACTAACTTATTGCAATGAAGTCGAAAAAAGGGGAGTGAATGAGGGAGAATTAAAACTATGACAAGATAAGAAGTTGAAAGTACTTCTCCTCTCATTAATCAGCTTTAAATTAGTGAACTGACATCGCTTCAACAACTGCACACAATTTTCGGAAATCCACTTTTTGAACTGTTCACTTCAAATCTAAAGTTGACATTGAAGAAAAACTCCAGTAGAGCTGTATAACCAAAGTTGACCAAATGTTCAAGAATTGATGTGCATTCTTTCCTGGACAGTCATTCAGGACAATGCTTGGAGGTACGTTTGCAAAGTACGAGCTTTGTGAGTTCTATACAACTAGCTCCTCAAGAGAAAATAAATTTTTAGACACAATGAAGTGACCGAAAGCTGTAGCTTGTTTTGAACACACTCCAAAACCATTCATCTACTAAAGAAACTGATCTATAGCTTGGTAGAGGAAATTTTCTCCGTAAAGACTTGGGGAGCCGATTCTTCAGGCTCTCTACTGCCGTATGACATTTAAAAACATTGTTCATAAAAAGCCGAATACACCCATTTGATCACAGGAAAAGACGAGACATGGTTTCAATGAAGAAAAATTTTCTTTTCGACGAAGTCATTTACTAAGCTGTACATTCGTGAATATATGTTACAGTGGGTAGAGTGTTCCATAATTCTTTCCGGTCAAGGGGTGAAATATATTGAGTGACGAAAGGAAGTTAATTAATACACATCTGTGTTTAGAGTGGGAAATCTTCGAAACTGTGATTATTTGTTTCGTATTCTGTTTGGATTCCAAGTTTTTCTCAAAAATTTCTGAATGGATACCCATTTGTATGAGTATTTGTCGGAGTTTTCCCAATTTTATCAATATTGTTATATCAATCACTCAAATCCTTTTGGTTCTTATGGGCAAAAAATGAATCAGATTTCTGTTTGTCGTAGGTGATTAGCATTACAGGGTTCCTTACAAATGTTCTTTTGGTGAGAAAGGTAAGAATACAGGCGTATCAACATCGAACCTGACACAGAATCAAATCACTTCAAGTTGCCTCTGTTCACCACAAACATTTTCAAAGAATGATATCGAAGTTGAGAAAATGACTACGCGAAAAAGGATAGATAACTGAAAGTTTCCACATTTTTGAAGAAGAATGAATACATTTCCATCACATCAATAAAATTCTACAAAATTTGATTCCTAGTATTTCAGGTACCCTAGTCATGGAGTCTACAAGGCTCAAGTCGATAATGAGAGAATTCTTTGACTAGTGCTATGTCCTAGCCTAGTCAAATTTATCTTTTTCTCGTCTTAGTCTCATTCGGCTAACATGATGAATAGAGGAAGATGGAAGTTTTGCATGCAGAACATATACACAGCCACCTGGTTTGAGGTAATTTTACTGTTTCATCTACCTGCATAGCTTCTTTGCTTAGGACCCTAAACTCAATTTAGGCGCTGTTCCGTCAGTAGTTCCATCACAAGATATTGTTATATATCGCAAGCAAATGATGGGAAAAAAGTAATCTCTTTATGTTTCGTGGCTTAAAAACGGTCACACCTCACAATCCTCAAAAGCTAAATATGAGGTTTCCCGTAGACTAACTCGAACCACTTAGTATGAGTATAGTATTGCTGTGAAAGATATTTCACACGGCCGATTCAATTCATTTTCTTTTCGTTAGTGTCAAACTGTCACCAGTACTGAATAACCTAGGGCATTTTGGATACTTGGGTATAATAGGTCAATAAAAATGGTTACTGAAGTAGCAATGAATGGAAACCTTGAATAAATTTTCGTATTGGTTACCAGTCAAAGTATTGGTATATTGGGTCAAATCTAAACTCAAACTAGTATAGTATGGTGATGGTTGACGTTGAGATGTAAACCCACAGGGTTCGAACCACAGGTTTTCCGGTTGGAATATCTTCTAACACATGAAGGCCAGATTGCTAATCTAAGACTGTCTACAATATTTCCATCAATAAAGCCAGTTGTAAAGAAGGGACAGAAAGACAGTTTTAGCACAGAACAGAGGCAATACTCAGCTTCAAGGCTTAACACTCCATTAAAAAGAAATACATTTCGGTAACTGCCCTTTCTTATTTTAGACAACAAAGGAATTTCGAGTGTCTATATTTCTAGGAAAAAAGCGTTTCACTAACCAACTTCTTTTACCTACCAAACCACCTTATATTTACTATTTTATACTATGTGCGTATTATGTTATATTCTGTCCCTTGCTTTCTAAACGCTGCTTTCCTCACCCTGTTAAGTCCGAATACTCATTAAGTGTTATGTAAATTACGACTAATGTTGATCTTGACAGTTGGTAGAACAAAATTTCTTCGGTGTAAACCCTTTCACCTTGAAGTTATCCAATATGTTTGTTATTTGTTCACTTCAACTACCCAAAGATGATTCAGACTAAGCATTTTGTTCTGAAAATTCAAACACTTCAGTAAGTTTTTTCGCCTTTCTAGGATTACTCTTAGTTTGTGTATAACTGCTGTTTTTTTGTTTTATAAACGCACAAGGCTTTATTTTAGCCTAGCCACCTGCCATTAAACCACATCTAAATCCAAAATCTAAGTCTTCATTAATAATTGTATGATTTAGGAGACCTAAAGACAGATTAAATCCTGCATAGGTGTCAGGTTCCAGTCTTTATAGCAAAAACAACAAATGCATCCAGTTGATGAGTCTTAAACAAGACGAAACGCTCATTTTTGATGTCACTGCTTGCAGATGTTCATCTTTAAATTCTACATGTTTGTAAATGTTCAAGTACAAAAATGTGTCGACTTCATTTTTGAAGATATTTTTGAACTGTCTCGTTACTAAGGCTTCGGAAAACCTGTGTATTCGACTAATATGTCCTACCTCACGATATAGCGCGAACCGCCACCCAATGTCATCGTTGAGTATCTGTCCTCACGGCCATCAGGCTTTATCGTGAGCTAACAGAAGTTGGAAATATGGAGCATTGGATTCTGACCCAGTGGCTCAATGGTAACGCGCTGGTTGCGGAACCTGAAGGTCACGGGTTCGACCCCTGCTGGTGGGGTCGTGGGTGCGCACTGCTGAGGAGTCCCATACTAGGACGAAACAGCTGTCCAGTGCTCCCAGGTTTCCTTTGTTCCTCCAACTGATGTCAGTCTTCGATGAATAACAACTTGAAATATTTCCAAATCTCCACAACCCCCTCAAAAATTTAATATGTCCTACATTGGGATTTTAACGTTGACCTTGTAGTCCTTTTTTAATGATATTTTTATCCTCAGAGAAATCATGATTGGAGATAAAAGTCACTATAAGGTCAGTACAGCCATCAATTTAAATGCAACCATCTCAGAATCATGTCTGCATTGTTTCTTATGGGTACCCATAACCCTTACGAACAAACATGTCACTTTTAGAAATTATACCTAGTCTGCAATAGTGACTGACAACCACGCTATCACCAATAATTATCCACAGTTATGAAGTTTCGTTTTTTTGGTTTCAGGTTTAGTAGTTCGGTGATTCCGTAAGACTTTAGCGATTAACATCGTTCATATGCTTTTAATGCTTGAACAATATACTAACCATTACTTATTACTTTATTCACTGTGCTGTATCACAGTACTCAAGGTTTACAGTTACGACATAGTGACCAAAGGGTGTCCAGTTCTTTAAGTTCGATAAAAGCTGTCTCTTGAAAATAGCCCAGTTACACAGACTCGAATTTAAGTAAGTTACAAGACAAAAATTATCAAGAGAAGATTTTCAAAACTTCACAGTCACTGTTAATCAGCTAGTCTTACTCCGTCATCCCCATAAAAAAGGTTACATTCAATTCGTCATAAACAAGAATGCAAACTGTGGAGTAATGAAAACACACCAGAATATTAAAACAAAGTACAGTTATTCAAAAGCCAATTACTTGATCTTTCTTTTCCTTACCGCCATCTTTGTTTTTCTCTCCTCCTTCAATAAAAAATAGCAGTTGTATTTATTACCATACCTTTTTTATCCTTCACTTTCTCTTTATTCACCGCTGACTTATTACCAACATCTCGGTGTTCCACTCTTTCAAAAGTTTCAAACTGTGGTTGTTGTTGTTGCTGTTCAAGTTTTAACAGCTTCTCCTTTTGCTTTGCCACATCTTCCGGTCTTTCCCAGTCTGCTAAATAACTGGTTAGATAGTTCCAAAGTTTATCTGTCGATTCCTTCCTATTAACAATTTGATTATTTTACATATTATTAAGGTAAGCATCAAATGAATATTGAACAAGATTACTTCACCACAATTGTGTGTCTAATCCATCCAGTTAAACATTGAACAGTGCTAAAATCACCCATTTCTGCTAGGGAATACCCACTTCTGTAGCTAGAATTTCAACAGCAACAAAAAAGAATAGATTAAATTGTTTTGTTTTTTCAGAGTGAAAATATAAATGGATTTACTCTACAGAGGCAATCTTTAACAATGCTTTAGTCAATAGCATCGGCCATAATTCATGGGATTGCTTTGTTTGCGGAAGTAATGGTTTGTCTTCTTCATCGAATGGAATTGTATCATCTACAATCAATTTTCGCCAGCAGCCCTATAAACGTTGGATAGAAATGAAGAAAAATTTATTTTTCTTCATAAGTTTGACAAATGAATGAACAAAAATCGTATAAAAACAATTTTCATAATACTCTCCACCACTAGATGTTACTCACTGATTCGATAAGTAATTGACTAACTAATAAGGAACCTAAAAGCCTCTTTAGGATAGTTATAATGAACACTACCTAGAAGAAGAATCTAGGAAGTGCGTTTCATCTTGACTTAAGCTCATCAGCTAAGTGTACCTGGCTAACGCTGGGACTTAAAACTAGTGTCCATCATTTTGTATACTAGAACCTAATCGACTAAGCTACGGGATTACGATAACCACTCCTTAGAAGCACGTCTAGTCTGACTGTATAAATTATAGTTACCTTACTTCAGAAAACTGAAGTTATCGCAATTTCATGTAATCTTCATAGAATATCGAGTCAGCCCAATCAACAACGAGAAACGACAAGCGACTATTGGTCTTGAAATTCTAAAGTTTGTACAGGTAAGTGATTTTAAACTCAATCGTTTAACAGTTTTGAAAATTTTAAAAGAAGGATGATGGGACACACAGATAGCTTCTATCCCCGGCCATGCCTAAACCATGGTTATCCTTAAGCGGTCGCCTTTAGGTTTGGAATACGCCAAAACACACACTGTTTTGGACTGAATAACTGCCAATCCCGTGGATTACTTTTTCAAATAACAGTCCCTTCTAACTTTTTGCGTAATGAAATTAATCACAAACAAGTTTTATTACGGAAGCCTCTGGAAGGAGATCAGATCGTGTATCTTATTAAGTAGTTAGTTAGTTGTTTTTTTGTGAACCAAGTAGGAAGTAATACTACTGAATACTGATTATTATTATTGTTTCTCACGTAAAAAATATTTTTTCCCATGAACCATCTTAAAATGGGTGGCATATACACCGGGCGGGTAACCTATGTAGTTAACCAGTCCTCAGTGACTGGAGTTTGTTTAATCCAGCTACTAGGCTACATGATGCAATAGTACAGGAAGCCCTAGAACTAGATTTCACATTGATAATTCTAGCCCGAGTCATTCAACGTTGTAGTCAGAGATTTTACCACTGAGCAGTTTAGGGCTAAACACATCCCCTCATAGTTGGAGATATGCCTTACTGATGAGGGCCAAAAAGCGAGAAAGTGAGGTAAGGCAGGACATCTTGGAGACCACTCCCAAAAACGCCAAGCCAAAATTGAAACACTAGACGATTTTTGGTTATTGAAAATGGTATCGAGTCACAAATAAGTATCATTTCACGCTCTACCCCCACCAATGAATTTCAAATTACTAGGAATTAACTGTTTATTTTCCCATTGTTTTCAGTAGCCCTCTGGATAATTTTACTTCGATAAACAAATGAGATCCTAAAAGGTTGCCTATTCGAACAGTAATACAAGCACTCATTCGTAACTCTTCGAAATGCATTTGTTGAGGGCTTATTGTTGGGCTACGAGTAGGAGGTGATAATACACACCCACTGATGACGTTAGTAGACGGATACATTCTATCACAAACTCAATGATTTAGAAAATGTCAGTATCCTAAGCTTAATTTTGTGTGGTTTCAGTGGCAAACAGTTCTGAGTTCAGAAGTGGAATAAACCAACTTTGCAATGGTCCTGGCAATAGTTACGATCTGATGTTATCTCCTAGAAAACAGTATCAATCTGAATTAACGGTATTCCTTTATCCAACTCCTAAAATGCATGGTCCTGAACACTACAAAAAGGTTTTTTATAGCTTCATATACTTTTAATTCCGAATACGCTATCAAGTATGCTTTCAGAAAACTCTGTTTCTTTGTACCGAGTACTACTCAACAGGATGTGGCCTATAATGAAAACGAAAGCTCCACGACTCAACCATCCAGCTGAGAGGACACAACATCACCAAAAATAGAAGACTACCTTATTACTGAGCGTCATTTCTAACATCCATCCAGCTTTCTCAAAGCATATTAAAATGACTTATGCAAGAAATAATGAATTCACAATGTTTCCAGCGACATCACCCTCAGAGGCTGTACAATGGCATTTCAGTAATTAAGTAGTATATATATATATATATTTGTCAGTCAACAAATCTTAGCAGTTATTGGTCACGAAAATAATATGCGGATGAAAGTTATGTAAGAAACATGAAACTTTATGACAATGTGAATAAGTGAGGGTGAGTTGAAACCAAAAATAGAAATAAATCATTCCAACCATCGGTGTGATTACGGGCAGCAGTTTTGCTCGAAATATTAGCAAAACTAAGTAGGCTTTAATTAAGTGTGAATATTCATTACAAGCATATCTATCAATACGACCATCTGGGATAGCCGTGGTTTGGTAGGCTTATATTATTAACACTGGGTGATGACTGAGAGTAAAACGAAAGTCTGGGTAACGGCGGGATTCAAGTCAGTACCCTCCGGGTTGCCCATCTGTGCTCTACCAACTGAGCTGCGAAACTCAGCTGCTGACCAGATCTTAATTTCACTTCAGTTACCAATGGTTCTCCCGGACGGTGTGATATTCCCAATCTGTGTTCCTAGGTACCATATTTAGTTATGCTACTGGTGAGATATTTGAGTTGTGATGAAATGTCAGGTTACTTTGACTGATCATATTTCAAAGTCGATGACAAGGATTCAACCAGTGATGGTAAGCAGACAACATGATCTGGTAATTTTTAAGTGGTTGGTGAATGAAGTTACTTAGTTTTCGAACAAAATTAGGCTGGAGTTGATTAGATGGCTGAAGGCATCGTATGATACTCTTTGACCTAGACTTCCTCCCTATCTGCTGTTTCTAACCAACAATACAAACTGATGATTTTCACGGAAAATACACTTTGCCTCTCTTCTTAGACCTTCTTTTGGAGTGTCAGTATAAACTAGTTATGTATTCTTAGTAATTTCATTAAAAAAACTTGGTTGTGATATCAGAAAGTGCTGACAGTTGAAAACGTCACATTAAAACAAGGTAAAAGAGATGTTTGAAACAAAAGATTATCATTATTCAACATACCATCCAGTAAAGTTTAACAATATATTTCCCATAAGGATTATACTGGGGCATATTAATGTTATCTTTGGTAATTTTGGTCATTGCATATATATGCTCCCAAGGTTTCCATTCATAGGTATAAGTTAGTAAGTTGGCTGGATTCATCATATTCAATTCCGTTAACTCCGTTTGATTACTGACGACTGGAGGTAGAGTTGAAGGTGACACTGGTGTTCTACACGCCAACCATAAATTTTGTATATCACATATAATCCATCTTAATATCTAAAGTTAATTTGTTATAATTTTCGGGAATGAATTTTTGGCGGGGTGCATACTTCAATTTTGAATAAATGTTCATTGCAATAGAGTAAATCAATATGATTTACGCATTCTGAATCGTAGACAACAGGAGTCTGTTATAATAAATGTAAAAAGATAACAGTTAGGCGTGATAATATTTCATTCAAAAGTTATAAACTGGAAAAAAGGATTGAGTTGATATTACCTGGTAGTCCTGCTGTTTGAAAATTACACTCTGTATGAAAGGCTGGTTGAAAACCATATCATAATCACTGCTGCTACATCTTCGTGATCAGTGTTCACTGAGTTCAAATAACCACCAAGTCAGGTAATTATGAATCAAGCCTCTTTTTAGTCAGACTTGACTAATTTGCTAAGTTTACTAATACCTAGCACAACTTTCTGAGGACTTTGGGCTGTGTGAAGTAGATATCTCACTGTCATATCAGGTGTCATCATTACTGAAAATTGACACAAAATCTACACTGTAACTAACTTGATACTGAAATGTCAAAAAAACTTGAAAACAGGTGATCCCAGTCAGTTAATGTGGAACGCTAGCCCCTCTTCTTGAAGGGATATGGAGTGATGTGACAAATTGATCGACTTTCTTTAGGTTGGAAACGTTCAGTTGCAAAACGGAAGATATTGCAGAGAATAAACAAAGTATATAACTGAAAGTTATCCTAATCATCAATGGAAACATTGTAGACAGAAGGTGTACAACTGATCACTCAGCCAATAATACGACAGAACAGCCGAATGAATTTCACCGCCACCACTGGTTTATTGTTTGACTTGCGCGATTACTAGGAATTGAAGTGTTCTTGTGGTAAGAATGAAAAGAAAACAAGTAGCAACCCGGTTAGCAAATTAAACCGTGGCGTATTAGTGGAAGACAAAATCTTCAGAAATACTACCACTAGCTGATTTAAATAATCATGTTTGGTCAGTCAGCTAGCAAAAATAAGTACACTCTGAAGTGAATGACTGGTTCAACTGAATCGCTTTGAGAACACTTTTGATATTTTCAACCCCATACTAAGGAGACAGTTGTCGTTTGTATGAGTACGTTTATCAAGATCTGCCGATTTGCATGCTTGGTCTCTAGATAAAAACGCTGTCAGTAATATATATTCTGGTTTTTCATTTCATATGTTTCTGCAATACATTTAAAACTTCATTCACGTGGATGGACGCTTACACTAAATTTTCCCATATCAAGGTCAGACAGGGAGCGACTAAATGTCTATGGTAATGGAAAGCTGTTTCCCCTTAGTTTGGTGCTCCTGATCAGTGCATACCCTTGGCTTCATACGATATTAAACCCAAGAAAGAAGACTTTGTGGTGATATCAGTCAGTTGTCCACAAACCTTCAAATGGAATTGTTTTGTATGTCTATAAAGACATCATATTCCACTTCCGCTTGACTGCTTGATAGCGGTTAACACTGGATTTTGAAATACGTATCTGATCCAATTTGCGACTCTTAAACTGGGGTTGACTTTACCTCGATAAGTGACTGTTTTCTCAGTGAAAAACTAGTTGAGTACCTGTCACTTCAAAGTATCATATGTGAGGCTGTTGAGTAACGAAAGGCACCTCTTTTACAACTGATATCTTCACGTTTGCTTGTTATTTAGATTTTTTACCGAACGAATAGTCTGCTGCCAACGAATATAAGAACATCGTAGTATATAGTTATCTGAAGGCCACAAAAGTACACTGCCTTTTTTATTAGCCATGTTGTCCCGTTAAATTTTATGACCCAAGGGTGCATTCGAACCCATCTATCGAGGTCGTACGACAGCTTCTCTCACTTAAAAAGGTGTTGAGTAGGTACATCACATTACTGAAGGTGCCTTACTGGGTAGCTTACGTTAGAGCCTATGGTGAGTTATATGCATGGGGTCTCTCAGGGACGTGCACTCTCTATTCATCGTAATTTATTCATAGTCATCTGACTTAACAGGGACTGATTCTGTTATAGAAAACATTTTAGTAGACCTAGAGTTCGCAGATGCTATGGTCTTGTTAAGGGAAAATGCTGATTCTTATGAAAGTCTTGGGTGACAATTTGAGAATGTCTGGGATGAGTTTCTTATCACCTGAATCCTAGTTTTGGTTCCAGGACTAATCTGCATTGCTACTTTTCTTAACAGTAGGAAGTGAAGTAGTTCAGCGCATTGACAAATTCACTTACCTGGAAAGTTGGATCAATCCTGGTAGGACAGTGACCAACAAAATCTCAACATGGATACAAAAGACTCGCTTGACGTCCGCCAACTTACGCTATTAATACCACCGCCATAATATCCGACTGCCCGTTAAAGCCCGAGTTCATTCCACAGTAGTTTCTTTCGTTCTTCTATATTGTTATGAAATATAGTCAACAAAGGTAGTGGAAATAAGAAGGCTTCAGGTATTTGACCACTGCTGCCTTCGTAGCATAGGCTATGGGTCGTTGTGCCAATACATTAGTAATACAGAAGTCAGGTGTAGTGTTAGGTAAATCGGTTGATGTAGTTGTGAACTTTCGTCGTGTGAGCTGGCTTCGAAATGTGTTACGCATGTCTATGAGTGATGTTAACTGTAGTTAAATTAGGCTAGAAAATGGTTACAGGTGACCAGCCTAAAACATGGCATCAGTTCATACAGTCTCTGATTGCTGATCTGAGCCGTGTGGGAGAGTGTAGACTTCATGTTAAGAATCAGCTTGACTGTCAAAGTTGGGGACTGGGGGATATGGCTGAGAATCTATTCCAAGGGCATCTACTAATTATCTTCAGCTTACTCTTTATAATGATTTCCGGTATCCCTTCGATACTCTTTGTTCCCTTCTGACGATGTGATACCACTTTTGACTGTCTTCTTTTTTATTTCATTATCTCTCAACTTGGTACTTCGTTTGATATGCTGATGTAAGGTGTGGCAACATGGACTGTTATCTAGAAATAGTAAGTTCCTTTTGATCCTAAGTGACTGAAGACATGATGGGATAGTTGTGCATACATCTAGACTTATAAACTGTGTATGCATTGATTTGCTCACATCTATCTTGTAACTTAAAACAAAAACCCCTGACTATGAAAGTTGGGTAGGAGCGAAATTTCAACTTGTGAATTCCAAGTCGATATCCTAAAGCTTTATTCGTTGAGCAAAAGCTCAGACTAGATTCAGAATTAGTAACTATCAACTTTGAATTGTGCTAAAATTTAAACTTGGCAGGTCGGGAAGGCAGTGAAGTTGGAAATATTATGTACTGTTACAAGCTCTGAGTACTGTTGTCTGATATCGCTTTACCAGTCGAAGTTTCTTAAAACTCATTCAATAGCTTGTTCAGAAAATCAAGGATAGCCGTTTGGCGGTTTTAAAAGCTTTGGTGAGGATATGTTCCACATACTTGGCCTATGTCTACAGGACTTCATTTAGATACTGCTTTCATCCAACCAGTTCAAGCCGGTGCACATGAGTGTGTTAATGAAGTAATTGATACGTTGGTGATGAATCTTTCAAATTTTACCTTACCTGTTGTTTACCGTAGGAGAAAAAGTAACACTATGATAGCATTTCAAGTCATTAATAACTACTCTGGTGTTGTCATGTCTTATCTTCCAATCCCTTTTAGGCTCGTTTTAGAGCTAATGACAAAGAAATTTCCAAAGCCACGGTCAAATCAACTCAAAGTGAGCCTACACTTTTCCCACATGTGTCAATAACTAGAACTCCTTACCGAAGCAACAAAACGCCTGCACATTAGGTTAGAAAATTCGAGGTGAAGATAGATGTAAACCTTAGCGTTACACATATATCCAATGCCAAGCGGAACATAAACTAGGTGAACCAGCATCACTATCAATGCAACGAGAAATAACACACAAATCAAACAAAATTCTCCAAAACATCGCTTATCTCCACTTTCCTGAAAGCGCGATATAAGAAGCAAAATATAGTCCTTCAGGGATTCTATCTGATGCTTGAAAAATGGTATTAAAAGGAACATCAGAAGAAAATACTTGGTTGAAAATTTCGATTGTTTAAATCTTAATAATTAGTTGGGAATATTAGGAATTCTTTGTCACAAATGACTGCAGAAGTAAAATCAGCTCACGATGTACCATCGCATCTTAACTTGAGTGGGACTGATAATGATGTATAAGTGTAATTCTTGTGAAAAGTAATTGGAAAAGTGTTGAAAACAACCACCGTGGTTTAGTTACCACAAAGCTTCGAGAGGCCAATCAAATCGCTTCAAAAGTGAACCTTGAGGGTGTCTTGGGATTTTATATCTGTCTAATTGGTATTGAGGCAAACTTGATCTCCATCCTATCATCCTACTTGTTGTTTGTGGTACAGGTGTCGGCGAAGGTTCGACTTTTATAAAATCTGATGTAGGAACAGCTTCAGTGATCCTCAAATGTTCTGGAACTTCCACTTTCTTCCTTTTGAAATCAATGAGATCATGCATTTCATCCTTTAAAAGCTCTTCAGCAGTCAAAGTCAGAAAGCCCCAGTTTTGTGACCACTCTTTAGACGCACATGCTTCTTTGATGCAATGGTCGCGCCTTTAAGATAAAAAGAAACCACAACCACGTACCAAATTTTATCTTTTGCTACACAATTGCACAAAGGTACCTCCAAACCAATTTTATCCACCTTATGAGCCATTATTTTAAAAGTAAGCAAACCACGTGACTATACCAACAGGCAATTTGAAACAGAAGAACAAAGGGAGCAGCAAGTAAAAGCACCTTGCAGTCACCCAGTTTCATGCTCAGCCACATAGGAGACAGGTATCTTCCCCAGAAAACACTCAAGCATTTCGACGAAAATGAGTCTTCGCGATAAGGTATTTGTCAATTGCAGGTGTAAAACTCTCCTAAAAAACAAGTGAAATATCGTGCCCGCGGATATTCCTAACACTTCTGATCCTTACACATCAAGGGCTCCTGTATTTTCGTATTAGTCGGAATATTATCATACTATAGTGAAACAGGAACGTTTCTAGCTTAGTTTCTGTAGCTTCTGCTACGCGGTAGACCAGATGTGTCGTAAAAATGCTTGTGGTAGACTCCAGTGCCACTTCACAGTGGCCTGTGGTATGCAGTATACCGAACGCGGGAGTTGGTTTCACGGCGACTACACAAGCCTCACACCCTCATCAATCATATAAGGGGTTCAGTAACGCAGGGAGCGTCTGGTTTTGCATGTTGTGCGGCTCGGATATTCGCACTTTGGTAGAAGCAAAAGCACTCCTAGATGCGGTAGCTAAGACACCAGCATCAAAAGGGAAGGTCGATAACCGTGGCAGCGATAACGACACGGCATCGACCGACACACAGACTGCTGTGCTGTGTCCCACGACAAGCCGTAAGTCGGACTCGTAGACTACCCGGTAGGTTTGCTGACAGCAACCCAGAAAGAACTGCGCCAAGCAGGGCGGAGCGAGTACCTTCAGGTTCTCGCATCCCCAGGGCTGATGGGCCTAGTCTGAAAGCCACCGACCGTGGGACTAGATCTACTTCAGAGGAAGGGAAGGGGAGTGAAGCACTCGCATGCCAACCACGGAACCACGCGGGCTGCGGGTCACGCCCAGTTCGGAGACCTGACTAGTGACGAAAACTAAACAGGAAGGGACGCAAGTTCCTTTCGAGGCTATCAGTGTCAGTGTCACTGGACTAAGCTTTGGTAAACCTCGCATACCCGGCTCGGAGAGATGGCAAGTAACCAAGAATAAACGGCATACCAAGAAACCAGTAGCGACCATCGAACCAACTGTCATCATCCTACACAGCAAAGACAAAGTAGAGCCCCTTGGTGGGTCTGTAATCTCCCACAGAGTGGAAGAAAGTAGAAACCTGGAACCATGTGAACGTTTCGAACATGACCTCGGCAAGGTGCAAAACTTGATAACTAACCTTCACTAGAAAATATACGAGGGGTCACCCTACTTAAAGTGTGCAGGGTAGGCAAGAAAGAGACAGTTCCCATTGAAAACAAGTTTCGGTTACTTAGAGTCGTGTCCAGACCAAGAGGGGAGAGGGATCGGCTTCTGGAGAAGACTCATAGACCTCGGGGATTTCATGTGTTCGTGTATAAGGATTTGCCTCTTGATGATCGAACCAAAAACTGAGAAGCAGTACTAAGATCTAGGCCTCTGCAACAAATGATGCCGAGGCCTGCATGGATAGTACGGGAACTCATTCGAGTAGTTCTCTTTTCTTGCCTGCAAATGCACGTTGTCTGTTACACGATTGGACCGAGCTGAGTGATGTGATGGGCAACGAACGTTGTGGCATCATCGCTGTCCCAGGTACTTCGCTGTCTTCCGAGATCATTGACGGTGAAACACATTTACGAGGATTCGTCGCACTTAGAAGCCACAGGTTAGCGCACAAAGGTGGTGGTGTCATCCTTTACGGTACGAATAACGACTGTAAAGGCCACAGAAACGGTTGCTAATATAAAGGGACATGTGAAATGCTGCGCTGCAGACTAAAATGCTAGCGACGAGGTGTTAACATAATCGCATTGTGCTGGGGCCCTAAGTGTGAGACAGCTGACTCCCTCCTGTCTCCCTTGATGGGCAAATGAAGACGCCTAGCTGTAGGAGACTCCAACTCATCATCATTTGATTGGGATATAATGACAGCGGAGGCATCAGGTAACTCGTTTGACCACAGCTTAGCGGAAACATCTATCTCCTTGACACCTACACGGCACATTGGAACAGTAGCCAGACGTGGTCATGACCACGCTTCATCGGTTCTAGGCTTGGCGTTCACGCACACAGACGGTGTATGTCTCATCAGGCGCCGTGAACCCGTTGATAAAAAAGACCACGCCGTAATCATTTTCACATTCACAGAAGCTGTCTTGTACCAGCCCGGCGCCTCAGATTGACCCGATGCATGGAAAGCGAATAGGGGGACCATTTACCTGGAAGCCTCTTCAGGAGACTAAGGCTTCAGTCCAGAAGCCTCAGTCGAAGCTGCATGGTGCTCCTTCAAACAGTTGTATGCGAGAATGACTGAACCTTTCATTCCATGGACTGTTCAGGTACAGGAGACGGAAACATTGTCCTTCGTGGATAAACCACGAAATCCGAATCTTGTTGTAAGGTTAGAAAAAGTGTTGGGTCTTCCCACCCACCTCGATACTACTGAAGTGATGAAGCATTACGACAAAGCCCGAAGCAAGTGCATCACTGCTATCCACCGATCTCGAATATGCTTTGAAACACGTCCTGCCCAGACTGCGTCGCAACATCCAAAGAGGTTAGTTCCTCATTTGAACTACAGAAGTAAGATGTGTCGTGGTATGCCCGCCCTAATCAAAAGGACCGAAACTGACTGTTTGATTGAGGGTGATAGGGATAAAGCAGAAGCTATGGCTGGATATTTTACTGACGCCTTTACACGGGAATATTCTGTGGACACTTATCCAACAGTAGAAGCATTGACATTCAATAGAATGAACTCTGTGCATATCGATCACAATGACGCACTTCGCACATTAAATACCCTCAACGTGAATAACCAACGGCACCGAACTAGCTGCACCCAAGGCTGCTCGGGAAGCTTACATTCTATGTAGCCGGTCCACTTACCACCATACAATATAGACTGTCTCTTAGTGAAGGCACACTCCCCTATGACTGGAAGGATGCCATGGTCATACCTATCTACAAGGCAGATTCTAGACAGCACTCATCAAACTGCAGACCGGTAAGTTTGACTTGTGCTGTAGTAAAAATCCCAGGAGGAATAATCAACAAAGCCATCGCAATTCACGTGGAGAGCAACACTATTGTCTTGTTTGCAGCATGGCTTTCGCAGAAGTCCCTCATGTTTGACGGACCTCTTCACAGTCAGAGAAAGTTGGGTTAAGTCTAAAGATGATGAGATACCTGCAGATGTCGTTTTTCTGGAGCTCAGTAAGGTGTTCGACAAGGTACCTCATTCCTAGCTGCTCGGGAAACTGTGATATTTCTGTATCACTGGCAGTCTGCTTGCATGGATAAGAGAGTTCCTCGTTGGTGGGAGATGAAGAGTATGGATTGATCCTCGTCTGTCCTCTGGGAGGTCGGTGGAGAGTGAGGTCCCGCAAGGCACAGTCTTGTGTCCCTCGTTGTTCCTCCTATATGTAAATGATCTGCCAAATGTCATTAAATCACCCGTGGCTCTCCACACTGATGATGTGGGAATCTGGATGGAAGTTAGGAACGGCGAGGATACATGTTCATACCAGACAGACCCAGGCAGCCTGTTTACCTGGTCAGAGAAGTGGCTGGTGCTTGTCAATGTGGGCGAATGTGTGAGCATGCACTTGGGGCACACACAGCCACACCTACTATGTTGGTGGAACTCCTCACCCATCGGTATTTACCCATGATGTAGCGACATGTACACTATCTTAAACACATCCATATTTATCTGAGAATTTGGAAACTGTAGACAGGCCGCAAATCCCTGCCGGAAGGGTGACGAAGACTCTCGACAATGAGTTCAGAAGGCAGCCACTATTATGGCTCTTGCGACGACTGGCCGCACCTATGAAGATTGGTTCGAGGAGCTGAACTTCTTCACTTTGTTCTATCACAGACGGGAGGCCACAATTATGATATACAGGATTCCAAGAAAAGAGATCGGACATGATATATCCCCTCTTTTCCTTCCAACTGGGCCGGAACACATCAGAAGACAGAGTAGGGGGCTACAAAAGTAAGGGACGAACGTAGTCTACTCAGAGTACCGGCTCTCGTGACGGGAGGTCAACGCCTGGAACCGACCTCCTAAAAAAGTGGTGTCTGCTTCATCAGTTATCTCGTTCAACAGGAGGTTGGATAAGCGCAAAAGTCTACGCGAAAGGGAATGATGCAGGCTCTCGGCCTCAAAACTTCAAACAACAAAACTGAACTTGAAGACACTGATTTTGATTCCGCTTCTCATTTTTAAGTTCGATCATCAAGAGGCAAATCCTTATACACGAACACATGAAATCCCCGAGGTCTATGAGTCTTCTCCAGAAGCCGATCCCTCTCCCCTCTTGGTCTGGACACGACTCTAAGTAACCGAAACTTGTTTTCAATGGGAACTGTCTCTTTCTTGCCTACCCTGCACACTTTAAGTAGGGTGACCCCTCGTATATTTTCTAGTGAAGGTTAGTTATCAAGTTTTGCACCTTGCCGAGGTCATGTTCGAAACGTTCACATGGTTCCAGGTTTCTACTTTCTTCCACTCTGTGGGAGATTACAGACCCACCAAGGGGCTCTACTTTGTCTTTGCTGTGTAGGATGATGACAGTTGGTTCGATGGTCGCTACTGGTTTCTTGGTATGCCGTTTATTCTTGGTTACTTGCCATCTCTCCGAGCCGGGTATGCGAGGTTTACCAAAGCTTAGTCCAGTGACACTGACACTGATAGCCTCGAAAGGAACTTGCGTCCCTTCCTGTTTAGTTTTCGTCACTAGTCAGGTCTCCGAACTGGGCGTGACCCGCAGCCCGCGTGGTTCCGTGGTTGGCATGCGAGTGCTTCACTCCCCTTCCCTTCCTCTGAAGTAGATCTAGTCCCACGGTCGGTGGCTTTCAGACTAGGCCCATCAGCCCTGGGATGCGAGAACCTGAAGGTACTCGCTCCGCCCTGCTTGGCGCAGTTCTTTCTGGGTTGCTGTCAGCAAACCTACCGGGTAGTCTACGAGTCCGAC